AAATGAATAAAGGAGAAGGAATCAAAAACCCCAAAACAATACCGTACGGATCATGGAATTTTGATGTTTTGGTTTCATCAACCAATTTGTTAATCAGCATATAGATTAATAGATTCTTCAGCATTATAATAATCTTGGTGCAAATTATTACAAACCAAGCCTGCAGATTCGTGATTGTCTAAATGCATACAACATTAGCCAACTCTTATTTTTATACGTGCACTTAATTCGCTCACTATATATTATTCCAAAATTGGAATTTGGATTTTATATAGTTTCAAAGGCATAGTAATTATTTATTTGCAATCTTGGAGAGACTCACTCAATCTAAAATATTTGTGGACCATGCAGATAATTAATTTATAAGATTAACAAGTTTATCTTATTTTTGCATGGGCTTGTCATCCATTGAGATCATATATACCAAGAAAACGTCCACTCATTTTAAACCATACAAAACCCTAGTTGACAAGCTCTATTGACCCTCCTGGTTTTCAAAATTTGTCAACCATATTGAAGCATATATTATATATACTGGCTTGCGCATTTTAAATTCCATCTCCAACAGAAAACAGCCGCTTCTAGCTAATTCTGATTCCTTTCCTTTGGTAACTTCCAAAAACTTGATGCTCCCTTCCTAAGCTCAACTATCCATAAAATTTTACATGCTCGACGGTCACGCTTCATTGGATTAATTGGAATTTTAGCAATTGTACATACAAATATTTTTTCACCCCCTGGTTCATCTCCTTCATCATCATCATCATTATTATTATTTTGGGTACAATTGGTATTAGAAATTAATATTAAGACAGGATGGCATCCACTCATTTAATGCTCGAAATATATAATGGAAGCCATCCTGTCGCAATTTTTCATGATCAAGATACGCATGTTAAATAAGAACATTAAGGGAACCGATTATGTTTTCTGGGAACAAAAAACAAAGGAGGATGAAATTAATTTAGAGGCGACCTGAGAATCCCAAATTATCGAATGAATTCCACATGTCGCCACAATTCAGAAATTGTTTTGAGGAATAATGTTAGGAAAAGAGGTGACAGGCCGACTTTCAAAAATAAAAAATTACAGTAGATCAGTGTGATTGGAGATCAAGAATTGCATGAGAGTTTGGGATAGCAGCAATGGTAGGTTCTGTTCTAGATGGATAGAAACATCATGATATTGATAACCTATACATGGGCATAGTTACACGTGTTAATCGCTGGAGAACTTTGGGTTTATGATATTTATGTATTCTGGATACGTATGCACGTACTTGTGCAACGACAAAGAAATATAAATAAGCTTGCGTGTTGACAATAGTCAAGTCAACGCTTTTTTATATTTCAGTAATTTTTAGCTTGCAAAACTAATAATGAACTAGTCAGATATTGAGAAAAAATGTATTCAAAATTGGACGTATAAAAACAAGTTATTGGAGAAACCCAAAATTTGTATATTAGTAATAATTAATTTAAATACATATTATTTTTGTTTCATTTTATTCAATAAATTGTGATGAAGGTCGATTAAAAATGTATATGGATTAGTATGATTAATTAATAACTTATCCGATGATAAAACTGCCACGACAGAAGGGAATACGTCAACATTCCTTGCGTCTGACAACGAAGAGGATTAAGACTAGTCGGGGCATGCGCAGACAAACAGCAAGAACCATGCAGGGAAGACAAAACAATGAGCCTGGTAGATTCTTTTATAATTACGGAGTAAATATTATCATTATTGTAATCCCAACTTGAAATTCATTGAAGATCTAGAACTCAATTTTAACATAAATTTAAGTACCTTAGCCGTCTATGATATTTAACGAAAGATCGATGATAATCTCGTGGTTCAATTGGTAGTTAAGGTAAAATTGTCTTTTTAAAGAAAAAAATACATATGAGGGTGAAAATTTCCCCATGTCCTTGTACTATTATTTCAAACCAAATTATGCACTAAAAAAATTAAGAAACACTAACTCTTTCATTCAACTCAGTTATCTAATTAACCTAACAGTGTTAATTGACATATATTTATCTAATCAAATGTCGGCACATGTCAAATTATATTTGAAAATATAATTTTCAAATGAAAAATATTTTATTTTTTAAAAATGATCAATCTTTTTGTAAAATAATAGAAAATTTAATTAATTATTATTGACAAACGAAACTTAAATAAAGAAGAAATTTTTTTTTAGTTTTTCAATAATAATGAATTGTTTTAAAAAATATTTTTTTTACAAATCAATATTTTTCTAAAAATTGAAAATTAAAAAATTAATTATTATTTAAAAAGTAAAAATAAATAAAAATATATTTTTTTTAAAAAAAATAATCAATCTTTTGGTCTTTTCTTTTCAATTATTTTTATTTTTAAATAATAATTAATTAATTTTTGTATTTTCAATTGTAGAAAAATATTTTTCTTTTGAAATTATATTTTTAGGTGTGGGTTGATATGTATCAACATCTAATTAAATAGACGTAAATCAGCTGACGCCGTTAGGTTAATTGGGTAACATAGCTAGATAAAAAAGCTAGCATATTACATTTATGTTCCAATTTTTTTAGTATTCATGTGAAAATTGAGTAAAGAATTTCAAAAGATCAAAAAATAATAGTATAAAGACATGAAAAGATTTTTGCCCAAAGATAAAATTGTCCCAAAACGATTTCATAAATTAAACAGCACATCTTTTGCCGTCACATTAGCCTTTTACCTCAAATTTCCCTTTCTTGCACTGGATTTGAAAAATCAAACCAGCTCATCAATAATGGAAAAAAATCTTTTCTTTCTGTTGTTGCAACTACTAATATACAGCTTCTTTTTTTGCTATATATATTATTTTTCTTAATCTTACGTCATCTGAACCCTAATTTCTTACATATCATTAACTAAGTGGTTGCAGCAACTCTAGAACTTTAATACAAATTATACATTAATGTTCTCTGCTTGCAACTCTCTATTTGGATATATTTTGATAGTATGTTTACATTTAATTTCATCTGACTCCTTTTGGTCCTAGAATTAGCTGTATATAATAAGCTTGAAACCAACCAAGATAGAATTGTTTTTTTTTCCCCTGCAAATAGAGTTTTTCGAGAAACCATTTTATTCCAAAAACTTAAATTGTTAGAAAGACAACGTTAATATATGATTTATATTATTTTTTAATACACATTCTCAAATCAAAGCTTTTTAGACATGAATTTATACAGCTTTATACTATTTTGCTTTTAGTTAATTAAAAGAGAAATGAGGATGATGAAATTCGAATTCACGATCGTTTAGTTATCAAAACTCGATTATTATATTAAAAAATTATATTGATAAAAAAATTTAAATTATTGATAAGACTACAAGATATGATTTATATTTTTGAGGTTATTAGTAGACTAGTATCGATATGGTGGTTTCTGATTTGAAGCCAATTAATTATAGAATTCTGTTTACTCTTTTAATTTCTCTCTTCGTGTGAAGTGCTAATAGATCACTATCCTTTTACCAAAGAAGGTACTCCAGGCAAAGACTGTTTGATCAAGACTATAAAATTTTCCCCCAACCATCTACCTAATTTTTTCCAAATGGTATCAATCGAATAGCACTTAATTGACTCATTTATCAAAAAAAATTATAGAACTTAATTGACTAGTTCAATTTTTTAGTTGTTTTATAAAGGGAGACTGAAAACAATTAGACATCTCTATGGTTTTCCTCATCTAAGTATTACTAATATTTTATTAACAAAAAAAAAAGGTATATTTTAATTTTTGTCCTGGAGTCAAGACAAGAACTCCCAACAAAACGAATCCAAAACATCCAATATTTTATTCTTAACTTGCCACTTTGATGCCGGTGCCACGCATGTTTTTACTTTGTGTTTTTCTAATCACACAATCAAGTTGATGAATCTTGATAAATTACTTAATTTCCACTAATTAAAACAAGTCAAAATGAAAAGAAAGGGACATATATGGAAGAGCAAGTAAATAGCCAGTTAGGGCCATTTCTCCTACTTGTAAAGTTTGTTCTTTCCTCGGATGAGTCACCCTAGTCGTTTCATATTCCTTTCGTCGTACAATAAATAGACTTAAGCTTTGCCTTTTTGGTACACAGACTTAAGCTTTGTAGTGACCTTAAAACTACTCTGTCTTTGAAGGGAAAGAGCCGTTGCTACACTCCAACAAATCCTACATGATCATATTTATATCAAGAAAATAATTAATTTCTTCACTCAAGAGACTTTTCAAGTCCCTAACTGCAGGCTACAGAGAAGAGATCGTCGTAGAGCATATATAGAAAGGAGGGCTAGCTAGGAGGCATTTCTCTGTCTTTCAGAATCAGAGGTGAGGGAGCTGGGAATATTATCAGCCATTACAAGTTTTCATGCTGGTCATTTTTATTTTGCGTCTTCCATTGGTGTATCCATTTGAGTTTTTGATTGCCAGTTAGTAATGTTCAAAAAATAATTTCCAATGCTCATATTATTGAATTATTCATGTGCATTAAGTATCTATGAGAAATTAACATTTTAATTATCAAATTCTAAAAGAAAGAATATTTTGCAAGCTATATCAAAAGTCGACATACATACATGTACGTGTGTTTGTTTATCTGCTATTCTTTTATCAAAATTGATTCACATGTTTAAATTTAATTGTTTTTAAAAAAAAATCTTAAAGCATGCTCATGCAAAGCTGAAACACTTCTTCTTTCCTTAATTATGAGATAAATCTCATCTTCTAATTAAGAAGAATCCGTTTAACATTATAAGTTTATCAATTTTATTGTGTGTGTGTGTGTCTATGTTGCTTCCCATTTGATTTTATCATAATAGAATTACCTTTTTTTTATCCGTTATTTTGATTCTTGGTTCAGGTCGCTGCGCAATCAGAAAACAAGCCCTTTGAGTTCAGGCTTCTGTTCAAGAAACATTGGTTCTTGGAAATCTCATTATTGCAGAGGATATATAGTTGTAATTTCTCAAAATGAGGAATGCTCTTCTTCCACCAGTATCTTCCCATCTTTACAACTTCGGTAATCATCTTAGTCTTTTAAAATCTACAAGTTAAAATAATTGGCTTGCTTAAAATGTGATTAACCAAGCCGGAGCTGGTTTTGCCTTGATTAATTGGGGTGTGGATACACCTTATGGGGGTGGACCAGAGTTCTTGATCATCAGTTACCTAAAATATCAGCAATTTACATTTTAGAAAGGGATTTGTTGCTTTCAATGTTATAATATTGTTTTTATTTGACCAATTTCTTTCAGGGAACAATGAGGTTCAGATGCCAAATTTGGACGTCTCTATGTCAATGGATGGAAAAATGTATGTGTTCTTGCTCTCGTTGATTTTTTATTTTAACAAAGAAGAATCTTAAAAGGTGTTTTTTGTTTGTTTTATTCGTCAGTAATGAAAATTATTAGTTAAAATCAAGACCCGTTGAAGAAAGACAAGTAGAAAGATACCACATACACATTAAGTAGTATTTTTATTTCATGATCACACTGCTGATACAAAAGACGCAATAAATATTCCAAACTTCCTTTGGATCACGTTGATGTAGATTCCTCCCCCTTCAGCTTGACTTTGAGTTTCCATGAAGTTGGACTGTTGTGGTTGTAGCCAATATCTATTCTGTACTGTTCTATGAAACGTGATGGCATGAACAGAAGAAATCTAATAGATTCATACCATTCACATTTAGACTTTAACTTATGATCTTACAGAAATAAATTTTCTTTTGTTGTTTGGCTCAAATACAATTGACCATATTCAAGGTTATACTTAAAAGCACTTGATGTAACCCTTGTTTTGTCTATGTGATTTTTACAATGACCTTTACTTGACAGATTTCTTGTATTTCTTGTTAAAGACATTCAAAGCCAACTTTTTTAACATTTGAATTAGGTTGGAAGTTAATTGGACAATATGAGAATTCAAAGTTGAAATGTCTCTTTTACAATAGCAGAGATTAATCCTTAATTCTGCAAAATAGATTAGGCCCACATCTTGTTAATGTTGCTTTCTGATTTCCTTTTAGCAGAAACGTCCATGGTACTAGCTTTTATCTGGACTCCAAAGTTTTCAATGATGGCCACCAGCTAAGAGATGGAGGCTTCTCTATTCCTTATCAATCAGTTGTTAACTATCAACCAGGTTCAGTGAATCTCCATACCCCAGACACTTTAAAGAATACCTCTCAATTCTGCCTGATTTTGGAGTTTTCGTTCCACTTTGCTAACCATCAGTTTCCTATGTTTACCCTTGTTTAGTGGCAGGTTGCCAATCTGTATCCTCTACCTGCAGCAACATCTCACAGCAGTTGATGCTACCAAGCAAGAGGGTCTCTATTCCAGAAGTTCAAATGGTAACCAGTCTATTATTCCCTCTTACATTTACGTGTGAGATGAGAAATAGGGTAAGCACTATTCGATTAAAATCGAAAAACCAAAGCAAACCGAATTAGCAATTTTAGTTTAGTTTTATACAAAAAAATTTAGAAAAAAAAAACAAACAAAACCGAAAACCAAAATTATTTTATTTTGGTTTGGTTTTTTTTTTTTTTTTTTTCACATACACACAAGGCTCCTAGCAAACTAGTCCGTTAGGATTTTAACCCGTGATCTCTTGTGAGAGACCACTATCACCGAATTACAAGCTCTTTGGTATATAATTTAATTGATATGTTTTTATATTTCATACCAATTTTTAACTCTTATAAATTTGTGATCCGTACATATTTTAAAATGTTTTTTTTTTTAAATAAAGGTCTTCCGGACACTTAATTAGTGGTGGAGTGACGAGTTTTTTTTATAGAAAAATAAAAAATATTTAAATGAGATATTCCTCTATAAATAAAATGATAGAATTATTAAAGATGAAAGGAATAAAACTATGAACTTTCATAAAATAAGCATAAAAGTTTAAAAATTACATCTCCAATCTCTAGCCTATGTGTTTTGCCATTGCATCTAATGATGTGAGAATATATATATATATATATATATATTTTAATGCAAACTCAAACAAACTCTTAGGTAAATTTGTGAGGTTAGTGTTGATCAAATTAGGATGAATGAGATATGATATTAAAACCGGAGTAAATTATAAATCAATCTTTCTAGTTTTGAAAAAAATAATAATTAATTTTTTTGTTTTAAAAATTAATCATTTAGCTTTTTCTTTTCATTTTATGTTCTCATCAACTTTTTTTAAAAAATTGCTGGTTAAAAAAAAATTAAATAAATATTTGGGAATATTAATGAAAAAAGAAAAATTTTTAAATTAATTAAATTGAATATGGTCAATACTAATAAAAAAATAAATTTGCTAGGATATCAATATTTGTGATTTAATTAAAAAAATTTACAAAAAAGTGATCTTTCTTCTTGGTCCAACAGAAAATTCAAAATCAAAAAGAAAAGATGCAAAAAAAAAAAAAAAAACAGTTTTTAACCGAAAACCAAATTGAACCCCAATTCGGTTAACCGAAGCCCAAAAAAAAACCAAAACCAAATGATCACCTCAGTGAGAAAGATTGAAGTATTTTTTTCTAGTAGTTCAAGAATCCTAAGTCACAGATGATATTCGAATGTTGTACAATAAACTAAATCTGGTCCAATTATTATTATATTTAGACAGCGTAATGTCTCTAGTTCATCTCCGGCCTATTAATAAATCTTGCCATATTTTGGCTAAACCACTAATTTATGATCATTTGAAAGATTAGTGAACAATCAGTCCAATAGGATTTAGCGAATTAAATAAAGGATCAAAAACAGCCCTAGCTTAAAATGGTCGGCCAAATGATGCATGCATATATCTCATGGACAGCAAAATTCATGAGACATTAGATAATAGAGCAGTCCTTATCACATGAACCGGAAGAAAACATATTGTTGAAGAAAATGATTATTTTTTATTGTGGCAATCCTAATGGACTTGCTTGCACTGCACCATCAAATTTGATTTAATAACAGTTTGTAGTATAAAAAAGTAGAGCATCAATCTCCTAATTTTACTCTTACTCTGCAGGACTTTCAGGCTATGCAAATGAGGAAAAGGTCAATTAATGAGCTTAATAGCTTGTTACTCCAAAGAGGACCTGGAGACTTCATAGAAAACAAGACTTCTTTGGATACATGGAAGACAAATAAGAGGAAGAAGGCTAATTCCCCTGAAGAACCATGGATTCACCAAGCCAGAGAATCAATCAACATCCAAGAGCAAAAGGTAAAAAGTGCATAACAAGCACCAACAATAAGGGCAATGGCCAAAAGATGAAACAAACCAGAAATAGAACCAAACGAAATGAAAACTGACAAAAAACGTTATCTATTTTTGGAACATGAAAAGTACCAAGGTGTTTTTGCTAACCAAGAATTTTTTTAAGTTCTTAAGCTTTTCTTTTTTGGCTGACAGTTTCAGGTTCCTGTGAGGAGAAGCCAAAAACTTAGTGACAAAATTACAGCTCTTCAAAAGTTGGTTTCTCCATATGGCAAGGTTCGTTAATTTATATGCAAATAGATAACATTGATTTTATATTTTGTTGACTTTCTATTCCTCAAGTGGAAACGTTTATTCTATTATCATTTTAGAAAATCATTTATGATTCTGGTTCTATTGCAGACAGACACTGCCTCGGTTCTTCAAGAGGCTTCTCTTTCAATCAAGCTCCTTCAAGAACAGATTCAGGTATAACTCTGCTCAGCTAATTATTATTGTCTATAAATCAGGCAGCAAGAGATCAAATTAGAGAAGGAACACCATTGAATTACTTAGTAATTAATTATTTAAATGTTGTGTAATTTTTTTTTTTTTATTATTTTTTTGTCTTCTTGGTTTTGTTACAGAATCTGTTTCAGATGCTGACTAGCTCATACAGTAATGCAAGACCCATTCAACAGTCACAGGTTGCTAGATATACATCAAAATTCTATATTAATAATCATTTTAGGCAAAAGTTAATTAATGCATGTGCTTTTATGTATTAGTATGTCTCTATAGTTCTAATACTTTTGTTAAAAACTTGGGCATATCGTAGGAAATTGATGGCAAACCACTAGACCTACGAAGTAGAGGACTTTGCTTGGTTCCCATCTCGTTTATGCAGACAATGACCCAGCAGCCGGACCAAGTTGATCCTAATTCTTATTCAAGGAAGACCTCCGGTGCCAGAAATTTTTAGTTACTGCACCCAAATTACTTATATTTAGCTTGACCCCTACACGACAGTGATTTTTTTTTTTAGTCAATGTTATCCATTTTAAAGCTGCCTTGATTAAGGAAACCAGTCATTTTCATACTTAAGGGTTTTTGTTCACCAACTATTTAATCTTGTTTTATCCGGTGACCTGACTTCATAAAGAGATCTCATTTCTTCTTCACCTCCTAATACCATTTACTCCTTTTCCTTTTGTTTGTTTCTTTATTTTATTTTATTTTTAATCTTTCTTTGGTACGATATCTCTGTGTTAATAAATTCAAGTGGGTTGGCCTCACAATTCAAAATTGAAGTCATGATATTAATTTTTTGTTTTACGAGTGCAAAATTTTACATTAATCAATAGCGCTCCTTTTCTTCTCTATTTTCAGATATATGGAGTGCATGAATTTTGATTGTCTGATTTTGATTGATCAATAGAAGTTTGAAATATTTTCCATAAAAATTATCTCATGATCAGAAACCGTACCAAGAATTGGGACTACAGAATCACAAAGATTAATCTAGTTGTCGTTGTTTTTCTTGAGACCATGTTTTCACTGTAGCTAGTTTAATTTCAATTGCTCTAACCCCATCGTCAAGGTAAAAACATAAAAAAGAAAATTCTCTACCATTTCAGAAAAGCTAAAAAAAAAATCTCGAAAAAAATAACAGTTTAGATGAACTTATTATTAGCCTAGGCTCATCAGATCATAAACTTGGATCAGCACGTCATATTGACAAAAGTCGCACTGGATCCAGGCCTTAGAAATCTTCATTCTTCAACAATACACATACGTAATCAGAAGGGTTGCAAGGTTGATCTCCGAATCTGGTCTTTCTACCTCGAATGTGTCCTGAATTGTCTCAAAGGTATTTTAGTTCTTGTCCAATTCTATGATTTTCTGTAGAAAAACACCAATTTCAGTCTGTTGACATAAATAAGCAATAAAGCAAGAGATAGTTTAGATTGGACATTATATCTCATTGTGATTTAGGTTTAAGATTGTACAAATCAGGACTTCCTGAGATTCCTAAGGCACAGATAATACCTGATTCGCCTTAACTCTATTTTACTTTCTGAATATAAACTGACCAGAATCTGTGCCTTTTCTTTCTTCTTCTACTTCTTCTTTTTTTCCCTCCTTTTCGGGTTTTCTTCAGCATGTCGCTGCGGAGAGTAGGGGAAGAGACCTATACCAAAAGGAATTTGAAACGTCTCCCGCCCAACATCTTGCATGATATTTAATTTTACAAGGCTGCCCATTAAACCACTTGCACGATTCGGGTGCACAAGAAAATCCTGGTATGCAATACTGGTTGATCCTAAGTTCATAGATTTGCACTTAAGTCTTGCAATAGAAAATCCTGGCTCTCTGTGCCTATTTTGACCTTTCTCCGCTAGCAGTAAGAACATTTATTTTGTGGAAGAAGCAGAGTATTGAATTCATAAGGGAACCAAAGTACTTGGACAGCTGTGTACGTATATATAGTGTGTCACTTGCAGAGAAGAGGAAGAAAATCTGATTAGCTGGAGACAACCCATAGAGGGGTAGAATTGCGCTGAATATCGATGGTGCTAGCTAGTAGAGGCAATCTAATAGAGTTGGAACTAGCGGGTGCTACGGGATGGGTCAACAATTGGCTTTCAAGCTTTGCAGCAAACATGGGTTACTGTGTTAAGGAGACTCCAGAAATTTTATAATACTTTAAAAATAAATATATTATAATCATTTTATGAGCTAATTTTGAAAAAAAAAAACAGATAAACACATAAAAAAATATTATATATGAACCCATAAAAAACGATAAGAATATTTCCACCTTAACTCAATTTTTTTTATATAATACTTAAAAAATAAATGTATAATAATTATTTTATGAGCTCTATTTAAAAAAAAATCAGATAAATATATAAAAAAATTATATTTTCACCCATCAAAAGTGATAATAATACTTTCACATTAACTCAATTTTTTTTAATTTTTTCTTTCTTAAATTTTTTTTTATTCATCTCTTTCCATAAAATTTATTTATAGAATAATTATTATATATATATTTAGTAGTTATTTTTTGAATATTATAAAATATATAGAGAAGACCTTAATAAGAACTCTGTAATTTGAAGAAGAAGAGAGAGAAGAAGTAGAAGGAAAGGATTGTACGTCTATTGTATTTAAAAGAATGTTTCAATCATCAAAAGTACCTCTTGGTCAATTCTTCTGCTAGTTATATTTTACCGACTAAACTAACAAACTAACTAATTAATGCTAAATGACTAACAAACTAACTGCCTTGCAAGGTCATTGTAACTGATTAATGCACATAGCCAATTACCAATCTACTTAACAGTTAATGCTTGTCAGCTAACCTTACCACTAAACACATGTTTATTACCCTAACGTACATGCTAAATTAATAACAACAGAATTGTCAAATCAATTAACTAATATTCGTAACAATACCCCTTTTTTTTTTGAAAAATACTTATCCTCAAGGATTAAATGCGAAATTTGGAAATTGCTGCTCTAATTCCTCAATAACCTCCCATATAGCACCCTCAGCGGTCATGCCCTCCCACTGAATGAGTCCCACATCAACTGCCTGGACAAGATTTACAGTTGCAATTTCCAAGACAGGCTAGACAAGCATTGGCAATATCATCTTTTGTCATCTTAGATACCACTAGTTAGATACTAATCAAACAATTATTATATATATAGAATTAATAATTCATATGATGTGATGTGAGTAGATATTTTATTTTTAAAAATTAATGTAAATCGAATATATATATTGAACAAACTTGTTTGATATATATATATATATATATTAACAAAATAATTTATAATATTAGTATAAAATTTGTATTTAAATAATTAAGAGGTTCTTTCAAAACATTAATTAAATTATTTTATTTAAAAATATAGATTTTTAGAATATGAAAAAAATAAATAACAAATAATTAGTGTTATGTGTGCAAATATAATTAATTTCTAACAACAATATATATATATATGTGTGTGTGTGCGCACGCGTAATAAAAAATGATATTGAATTGGAGTTGCCTTGGATTGTAAATTGCTTGAGGAATTACTTAAATTAAATTTAGGATTTTAAGACTCATTTGGTGAAAAGTGATTTTAGGTGATTGTAATGACTTGAATGATGATTAATTATCTATGATAAGTGAATTAAGAAGTTAATTTAAAATAAAATTGAGTGAATTTAAAAAATTGAGAGGTTAAAGATGATGAGTAGTGACAAATTTAAAAATAAGAGAAAATGAGATTTTAGTTTTCTCGAAAAATCTAAAACGCCCTTCAACCAATGTCAACAAATTTTGCTGTTTTCAAAGTGCATTTGTTTTGGATGCTTTTATATTATTTTAACACAAGGCCTGGTGGCTAAGAATTTTTTTCTTCTTCTTTGAATTCTTAGATTTCGAATCTTGAGGCCAATATTAATAATTTATTTGAATTTGTTAAAAAATAAAAATTTAGGTATTTTATATTTTTTTTTGTCTATTTGTAAAGTTTAAAAAATATAATTGTAAGTAATTATTTTTCACAGTAATTAGTTAACATCCTAGATAACTTAAATGAATCATTAATTTAACGAAATTTTGATGCTTCAATTGTATAAGAGAACAGAGCCACCAATTTAATATGAGCTCTGGTGAAGTCATTAGCTCTATTGCTTCATAGACCATTTCTTTCTCCTGTTAACTGTTGTCATCCATCAAATCAGTTCCAATGAACCAAAATTCATTGAAAGAAATTTTTTTTTAAAACCCACAACTTAAAAAAAGAAGAAGAAGAAGAAGAAGAAGAGAGAAGTAGATAACTAAATATAGTAAAACAAAAACAAAAAATATAAATGCACAAAACCTAGATCCAGGATTATTGATAAAAAAAATATTGAAAATAAAAAGAAAGAAATAAAGAAAAGAAAACCTAATAGACTCTCAAAATGAGAGAGAATAATTAATGTATTTTGTTATTTCTTTTCATTCTTTCTTTTCCTTTTTTTCTCAAAATACATAATAAAACAATTTTTATTTCTCTTTCCTCTATCACCGTTGATATTTTGATTATTTCATACCTTTCCGGTAACAATTTATACTTCAATTTATTATGACAATAAACATCCTTAAAAACCAATTTTTGCATTCTTAAAAATCATTCTTGTAATAATTACTCATAATAACTCGTTTAAGGTTTTTTAACCTCTTCCTAAACAATACCTCAAGTCACCTCTGAAAGATGGAGTCCCACGGCATGGTCAAGCACGAAGAAAGTAGGGCAAATGATCCACAATAACAATAACAATACATAGATTATAACAAGTAAATTATACATCAGCCTCTTTATTTAAAAAAAAAAATTAATTTTTTTGTTTAAAAGTGTAATTATTCAGTCTAAAAAGCAATGTTATTTACACATAATTTAATATTTTTTTTCATTTCATAACACATCATCTTTTCTCATTAATACTTTCCTATTTTTTACTTTTTTTTCTATTTATTAAATCAAAAAATTAAAATAAATTAATTTAAAATAAAATTTAAAAGTATAAAAACTAAATAATTAATTTCTTTTTAAAAAACTAAGTAATTCGTTTATGGAAATTAGAAGTAATAATTTATAATTTATTCTAGAAAGAACCCATCACAGTTTTCTAGTGAATTCAATCGTTGACAGGCCCATCACAGAACCATATAAACATGGGCTACAGTCCATATTCACTCCTCCTCAAACGTAGTCGTACTGACTCGATATATTCCATTCTCACCGCCCGAGACGTGGCGCACTTTCCCACCTAGTCCAAAACGTGGCACCATACCAATGGATCAAACGCCAGTCATCGATGACCGTGACGGTAAGACTAGTGAAAGAACGACCACAGACACACGCATACCAAACGTGAAAGAAAGGAAATCGAAAAAGGCCACCACAACTACACATTTTTTCAAGCCCACCAAAAAACCAAAAAAGCAGAAAAATAAAGGAGAGAAAAATACAAGAGAAGTCTATCTGTATCGCCTCCACTTCTCCCCCTCTCTTTCTCTCTCTTAGCCCTAGATTTTCTCTCAGTAGTTTCGCTTCCGTTATTTTTATCAAAAGAAAAAAATGGTAAGCACTTCGATTACTCTTCACTCTCTTTCACTTTCTGTTTCTCTATCGTTTCAATTTTTTGACTGTTTGTTTGGTTTTTGTTTTTTATGTGGTATTAGTGAAATCGGTGTTGGGTTTTGTGTTTGATCTATGAAATTTAATTGGTATTTTGAGGCTTTTATCGTAGATAAAAAGTTTGGTTAGTTTTTTTTTTTCATACTTTTTGTGGCTCACCGATCTGAATTTTTATTTTTTATTTTTGTATTATTATTACTTTGGTTGTCGTGATCCGCGTTCGATTATGCTTTTGGTGGTGTTGATATATCAGATATCTGTGGGTAGTATTCTAATTTAATATTAGAGTTTGTTATTTGGTAATTGAAGTTGGTAGATTTTGTGTGTATTCTATATATAGGTGTGTTGGTAAATGGCTGTGTTTGGATTTGTCTGTATTTTTTCTTTTAATGGGTGGATAAATGAAATAGGATTTGTAAGCATGATACTTCATGGAATTTTTGTGCTCCAAAGATAAGGAATTTTGTGGGATTCAGTAAAAAGTGGGATGCATGATTTAGATTGGCAGTTCTCATGGATTGTGAACTTTTTACTGTGAATGATGTGCTAAAAGCTTAGAATGAAGTTGGGAGTTGAGAAGTGTTGTATTTTGTTTTGGGACTTCTTTCGTTGTTGTGAACTGTGTATTCTGCTAATTGTTATCATTTTGAAATATCTGTCTTTGAAAAGAAGATGGGGTGTAATGTGGGAATTTATTTGGAGGAGGAAGGTAATTGCTATTGGTTTTGATAGTAGGACATTGCTTAATCTTGTGATTAGTTACAGGCGCGTAGAAGCATTCATTTCCTTTGATTATGGATGAACTGCGTCTTAAGCTGCAATTCAGCCACATTTGTATATAGATGGTACATCAGGAACGCCTTTTGGCTTATAGTACTGTATTAAGCAAGTAGCAATTTCCATAACGTGTGGTGCAGATATCTGGGTTACTTACTGGCTGTTCATCTCATTTGCAGGCAAACGCAGCATCTGGGATGGCTGTGCATGATGACTGCAAGCTGAGGTTTTTGGATTTGAAGGCAAAAAGGACTTTCCGTTTCATTGTTTTCAAGATTGAGGAGAAGCAAAAGCAGGTGATTGTGGAGAAGCTTGGTGAACCAGCTAATAGCTATGAAGATTTCTCTGCCAGTCTGCCTGCTGATGAGTGCCGATATGCTGTTTATGACTTTGATTATGTAACAGACGAGAACTGCCAAAAGAGCAGGATTGTTTTCATTGCATGGTAATTGATTACCCTTCATAGAATTTATCAACCTCCTATGTTACCGTTCTTAAATTTTTTGTTTCTGATTTCCGTTTGACTGTCTTGTTTCCTTTATTGCTTTTATATGTATGAAGGAGCCCTGACACAGCTAGGGTGAGAAGCAAGATGATTTATGCAAGCTCCAAGGACAGGTTTAAGAGAGAGTTAGATGGTATTCAGATTGAATTGCAAGCTACTGATCCCACAGAGATGGGGCTTGATGTTATTAGAAGCCGTTCAAATTAAATACATTGCCTACCATGCAAGGGAGTCCATATCATTTGTTCGTTAAGTGTAATGTTTATATATTTGCACTTAGAATTTGCTTATTAAACTGCGTCTTTTCTGTTATGTTTGTGGATTCATGGGGCGCGTATCCCCTCGGTGTGATACTTACTTACAGTTATATGGTGGTTTGTGGGGGTATAGTTCAGTTTGATTTGTTTGGAGGCGTTTATTGTATGTTGCACTCACAATAGTTTTTCACCCTAGTTTCAATTATGTACTGCTTCACTGTCAACAACGAATAAACCAAAGGGAGTCATGCATGATTGGGGATCCGTGATATTTAATGAAACCTTGATAATGAATTAAGAGGCTCTGAGTGGGATCCCCAAGTGTTGAATTGTTAGATTTATTACCTAGGAGAAATGAACCTCAAGCTGTTAGCTAAGAACAGACGTTGAAAGTTTCATGATATGGGCTTGGCTAGGTAAATTTACGTAAGTGGCATTTGATTGATAGTGTTTGTTGTTACTTCTTGTGTCCTTGTCATATCTAATCTAAGTCCAATCTTTTACTGTTGCTGTCTTTTAATGTGGTTGGTGCTTTTGGATATTTTATTTATTGGTGCTCGGTACCATCAGGAGTGGTAAGTTGTAGTAACTGAGGCTGAGAGCGATCATGTGGAGATGGATGTGAACTGTGCAGTTGTGTACCGACAACAATAGAAAAAACAATCTTATTTCTACTAGGTATGTCTTTTGCGGTAAAGTGGACCTCACAAAATCGGATTAAAAGTCGGCAAGTGATGCAACTCGATCTAAAAAGATGTAAGTCAGAGAAGCTAAAACAAAGGTCAACACATTAATCTTCTTTCATTTATTGCGAGAACTTATTCTGATAGGTCACTTGCAAATCAAGCTCTTTGTAAATCAATTCCCTTGTGACCAATGAAATGTCATATTGACAAATCAATTACGTAATGGAGTGGAACATCACCCCCTCCACGGCTCCACCGTAGTGTCAGGTCGTTATATCAAAATATAACAGAGCGATATGCATCACATTCCTTGCTATCGGCTCGGGTTCGGACTCGTGTTAAATAGGGTGTTTACTGTTCAATTTTGGTTATGTTTTTAATTTTAAATTAAAAAACAAATTGAATTTATTTCGATTTTTTTATTTTTTGGGTTGGTATTTGAAAATTTTTGTTCGGTTTTCTTTGAAAATCAAATTTTATTTTTTATTTTTTATTTTAAATTTTTAATTATTATTGAATTTTGATAGTTTGGTTAACAATATGTTTACACCATCAATGATTTTATATCATTATATATTTTAGATGTAAATTCGTATATATGTATTTAAATTTTGATAACTTGTTATGTGGTATAATGTGTTTTAGTGTTATTTAAACAAAAATTTATTATCTTTTATATAGGTTAATTAAGATCAATTGAGTTAGGGAAAGGATTTTATAGTTTATAACACAATTTCTTTAGTCTATTTACATTATGTTAAAAAATTTAAGAAAAAAATAAGAAAGAAGTTTCCATTTTAATCAAAAAATCGAATCCAAAAACTAATATTTCAGCTTCAAAAACTGAAAAATAAATTAATAATTCAATTCGGCAATTTCTTTAATCTATTTACATTATTTAAAATTTTTTAAGAAATCGAAAAAAAATAGGAAAGAATTTTCAATTTTAATCAAAAAGTCGATTCCAAAAACTAATATTTCAGTTTTAAAAACTGAAAAATATATAATAAGTCAACTCGGGTTTGTTTGTTTTAAGTTTGGTTAATCAAATACTGAATCGAAATGTTAAAAATGGAATGCTCATTCTTTTATGCTAAATCCATGACTCAATTATAAGCTCACTTGAAGACTGAAGAGTCAGGACTAGTAACTAGTTTGAAGGGAAAGCGGCAAACATATTCTTACCACTTCTTCAATGAGACATCTTCGAACGACAATGATCAAACATGAGCTGCCCCTGCGTAGATTCTTCCATGAACTAGCAACAAGAAATAAAGCTCCCATTTTACCCCCAAAGAAGATTGAAAATTACCGCAACTATCTTACCGTACTCTCCTCATGCAAAGCTTTAAACTCTCTCCTTCAAATCCATGCCCGTTTAATAGTGTCAGGTCTTCAGAAAGACAACTCAACAAATACCAGTCTCATAAATTCTTACCTTTTGTTTAAAGAATGTGACTTCGCTCGCTTTCTGTTTGATTCTTTGCCAAACCCAAATGTCAGATTATACAATTCTACAATAAGAGGTTACACTAGAACAAAAAATCATCAAGAAGCTATAAATATGTACCATTGTATGTTAAATAAAGGCTTAGAGCCAGACAAGTATACTTTCACCTTTGTTTTGAAAGCCTGTACAGGTGCATTAGACTTTAAAGAGGGAATTTTGGTTCATAAAGATATAATTCTCAGAGGGCTAGAGAGTGATGTTTTTATAGGGACCAGTCTTGTGGATATGTATTGTAAAATAGGTGATTTAAAGTTAGCTAGAGAAGTGTTTGATAATATGCCTGACAAAGATGTCGTAGCTTGGAGTGCAATGATTTTGGGTTTGGCACAGAGTGAGGATCCTAATGAGGCATTTGGGTTTATTAGGAGCATGCAATTGAGTGGAGTGGAGCTCAATTTAGTCAGCATTTTGAACTTGGTTCCTGCTGTCTCGAGATTGGGTGATATTGATGCCTGTAGGTGTATTCATGGTTATGTGATTAGAAGGGGTTTTGATGCAATTGTTTCGAATGGATTGATTGATATGTATGTTAAGTGTGGGAATGTAGATGTTGCTTGCCAGATTTTTGAGTGTATGGCAGACAAGGATGATGTTTCATGGGGAACGATGATGGCAGGGTATGCACATAATGGATATTTTCTTGAGGTTTTGGAGTTGTTTGATTGGGGGGAAGGAGAGAATGTTAGGTTGAATAAGGTATCAATTATAAGTGCTCTTATGGCTGCTGCGGAGATGAGAGACTTAGAGAGAGGGAAGGAGGTCCATGATGTTGCTAGACAACAAGGGATTGACTCAGATGTTTCAGTTGCCACTCCTGTAATGACTATGTATGCAAAATGTGGAGAGGTAGACAAGGCTAAGCAGTTGTTTCAGGGAATTAAAAGAAGGGATTTGGTTGCCTGGTCAGCAATTATAGCCGCTTTTGTTCATTCAGGGTATCCTCAAGAAGCACTGTCAGTATTTCGAAGTATGCAGAATGAATGTTTGCAAGCGAACAAGGTCATTCTCCTGAGTTCACTTTCAGCTTGTGCAGAAGCATCATCCCTGAAATTGGGGAAAAGCATGCACTGTCGTGCTGTTAAGGCCAATACTGATTTAGATATTTCAGTTGGAACGGCTCTGGTGTCGATGTATGCTAAATGTGGATTCTTTGCTTTGGCACTGACTATATTTAACAGAATGCCATGTAAAGATGTTGTGACTTGGAATGCGATGATAAATGGGTACACCCAAGTTGGCGAACCTTATCCTGCAATGCAGATGTTCCATAAATTACAGTTATCTGAAATACGCCCAGACTCAGGAACTATGGTGGGTTTACTTCCAGCATTTGCTCTTTTAAATGATCTGGACCAAGGATCCTGCATCCATGGGAAAATTATAAAGTGTGGTTTTGAATCTGAATACCACGTAAAGATTGCTCTAATTGACATGTATGCTAAATGTGGAAGCGTGTGCAGTGCTGAGTTCTTGTTTGATAGAACTTTGTGTAGAAAGGATGAGGTATCTTGGAATGTGATGATTGCAGGGTACATGCACAGTGGACATGCCCAGGAAGCTATTTCTGTTTTTTGCAAGATGATATTCGAGAGTGCTCGTCCTAATTTAGTCACAATTGTGTGTCTTCTTCCTGCAGTAGCGCATCTGTCAGACTTAAAGGCAGGCATGACTCTCCATGCTTATATTATCCAAACGGGATTTCAGTCCAAAACACCTGTTGGGAATTCTCTTATCGATATGTATTCTAAATGTGGGTGGCTTGATCTCTCGGAGAAGATATTCAATGAGATGAAGAATAAAGACATTGTCTCGTGGAATGTTATGCTTGCGGGATATGCAGTTCATGGGCAAGGGAACAGTGCTATTGAACTTTTCTCTCGCATGCAGGACAGTCAAATCAGGCTTGATTCTTTGTCCTTTATCAATGTGTTGTCTGCTTGCAGACATGCAGGTTTAGTTGAAGAAGGGAGGAAAATATTTGATTCCATGAGCAAAAGGCACCAGCTTGAACCAGATTTGGAACACTATGCTTCCATGGTGGATCTTTTAGGTCGTGCTGGATTATTTGATGAAGTTTTGGATTTAATCAAGGCAATGCCAATGGAACCTGATCCTGGAGTGTGGGGAGCCTTATTGGGGGCATGTACAATGCATTCAAATGTGCAGTTAGCAGAATTTGCTCTGGATCATCTTAAAAAACTTGAGCCTAAAAATCTGACACATTATGCAGCTTTATCAAATACATATGCTAAATCTGGAAGGTGGGCAGATGCAGGCCATGTAAGATCAATGATAATTGAGACAGGGTTAAGGAAAAGTCCAGGATGTAGTTGGATTTGAGGTTAATGGTACACGTTTAAAGAATTTCCATGCTTGCATTTGGTGAGAATTTTGTGCATTCTGGAATGTTTTACTTGAAAAGATGGAAAATTGTGTGCAGCAATCAGAGTAGAAAACTATACTTTATGTGCTTCACGAAGGTTAGCCATAGCTCTTATCCTCACAAGCATAGAGTACCGATCCGGATTTTTTAAATTCCACGTCAGCACAGTTGACCTTGCTCCTGCAGGGTTCATTTCTGAAAATCACACACTGTAAATGCAATGTTCTAGGCTGTTACTTATCAGGCATTTCTTTCATTTGCCATGCTATCTGCTCAGGCAACAGTAGCTGTTTGGCTTGTAGAGAACAGAGACATCTTTTGCCGAGCAGCTTAGAAATCGAAAGCAATCTGTGTAAGAGTGCTCCCTGCTATACCATGAGAAAGATTCATGTCTAGAATACACGAGACAAGTCACGGACCAAGTACACTGAACCTAGGTGGATTCCAGCCCCATTAAATTGATGAAACTTTAAGCGCTTCCAGTTTCAAGAAAATTTAGTCTTAGATCCAAAAGTGGCTGGATCGTGAACCGGCAAAAACCCATAAACTAATTCATAAGAAAAAAGATCATAAGCTTGAAATATAACTCCTTGAACTGGAACAATATGTTAAATCAAGGCGATTTTTTCTTTTCGAATTTTCTTTGTGTCTTGACACCTTTGTTGTTCTTTGTGTTTTTTTTTTTTTTAAGTTTTGCAGTTTGGAAGGGATCTTTCAAAGGATGGAAAGATTTAAATGCATTCAATCTGCAGGATCTGCCAAGGAAAGGTAGCTTGCACTTGTTCTCGGAAACTTGTTGATTTACCTCTAATTCTATGATTTTCTGGTGGGATTGAAATTGAATTACTTTATGAAGAGTGTAAGATAGTGTTTTTTTTTGGAAACTGAAGATCAATCAACGGATGTAAATCCTGTTTGGCTTTAAATGATTATGTAACCGTTGGAAGAGTGAAAAAATAGAAAAAAGAGAAGGAATCTAATTTCGTCCACTTTTCTGTGATCTGCAGATGCCAACATTGTCTGTCTAGGCTTGTAAATTGGAAAATTGGACTGCCGACATGTCGCTAGTCACTCTTCATTTTGGGAAGACATGTTGCTTATCTTGTCACACCATTTTTTCCCCCGAATTTGAGAACCCAAAATAACATTCCGTTTGATTTTCTGTTAGCTTTGACATGCCGCCTGGTGCTCGCGTGATTTTGGGGTTCCATTTTGTGTCATTGATTAATTCTTCACTAACCATTGAAATCATTTTTTGGGAAAAAAATAAATAAAAAAGAAGAAGAAAAGAATACAAGATCCTGCTCACAGATTCTCATGTAATTCTTTCATGGTCAGATTTTAGGTGAAACGTGCTTATTCTTTCAAAAATTGAAAATCCATTGCTAAACATGTATTCATTATTAATAAAGGCTTTTGCAAGCATTAGAATATTCCAAGTTAATTAAATTGGACTCAGATTGTCAAATGGCTAATGGTTTTTGTAGAGGTTTTCATATTAGGTAGGGGCTCTGTCAACTGACATATTTAGACAAGGAACCGAGACAACCTTACGTTAACATAATATCAAGTTTTACATGTAATGTTTTGGAAAGGAAAAATTGGCAAGATAAGTTGTTCCCAAAACGAGTTGGAGGAAAAAGATTTGCATTATAAGGATCGTCTAACCAGTGATGTACCGGTCCATCTCCCCCACCATCAATATTGTTCCTGGCCTCTTCAGATGCAATCATCCGTAGAGCAGAGGTGATCACACAAATCATTTTGTTATACCATACAATAACCTTTAACCAGAACATACTAACGTGACTAGACTAAATACCTAGGTTTTTTTTTTTTTTTTTCCTGCATAGCTAGATCTACTAAAAGTGTTACAAAAAAGAAAATACCTAGATCTACTAAAAATGTTACAAAAAAGAAATTTTTTGCAAATAAATAAAGTGTCTTGTAAAATATCTGTATTTTTAAGTCGACGATTGTGATGCTTTGAAAAGAATGAGATGAGAGAGAATGATAAGCATCATGAATTTAATTATATTTTTTTATTTGGTTTCACAACATCAACATGGGTCCATAGCTCAGTGGTAGAGCATTTGACTGCAGATCAAGAGGTCACCGGTTCGAACCCGGTTGGGCCCTCTGTTTTTTTTTTTTCTTTTCAATTTCTAATATCAAGTAAATTATAAATTAGTCCCTTTAATTTTAAAAAAAGAAATAATTGATCCTATTTGTTTCAAAAGCTAATTATTTAGTCTCTAAATTAATTGAAAAAAAAAGGTTTCACTTCACTAATTTTGATCTACCACCTATGATGTTTTACCTCCAATGTTCCTCCAAATTTTTGCGTGGTTGTTCAACTTATGCAATGTTAAGTAAAAAGTCACAGGATTACTTCAATAATAAAGACAATAGTGGCAAGACCTAGATAAGTTAATTTAAAAGAATAAAAACCGATGGCAATATTTTCCCAAATAGCCAAATCCGCAACACTTCGCTGCCACTTAACCAGTTATTCCATGTAGGATAAAGAGAGTTGGGCCAGAGAAGTTCAACCTTTGTGATATTTTTATTTTCTAACATGAGAAGACACCGAAGCATGGAAGATTGCAAGGAAAGCTTGAAAGATCGTTCGTCCTTCGTCAGTGAGAAACGAAAATAACTAATCTGGGATTAACTTGGAAATTCTCAAACACGAACACGGCTTTGATAGCTACTCATATAATAAAAAAATTAGTCATACAGTAAAATGAAAGCTACTCAGCTACTAAAAAAAATAATGCATAAAAAACAAGCACGAACACGGCCGAGCCCAGTTGCAGATGAGGATCGCACATTAAGCAGCTGACACAAAAGCCAAGAATGAAAAGACTAACTTCTAGGAAAGAATTCCACCTAATACTTCGGCATTCCTCCCTCTAAAACCATCTTGGGTCTTGTTAACAACCACTGATTCCTCACGAGCAAGCATAAAGGAACGCAATTCAGATTTGGAACTACTTGGCCAGCGACAACGGCACCCTGCATCATCAGGATATGTTAAATTGTGATGAAGCATATTTAATCAAAAGATATAACCCACTATCGCCAGGAAAGCAAGGTTTGCATGATTTTATTGTAAAATAAGTAGATATACATTTGACATTTGTTGATTTAATTATATCAGCAGAATAAAGGAAATAGCTGCAGGAGTGGAGCATCAATTTTGGTTATAACTATCGATTCACCATATATTCGCACCTAGTCTACAAGCAAGGTAACCATGCAGTGGAGCGAATCTACATGTATCTAACCACAGCTCAAAGGTATTGTTGGGGCATTTAAAATAGTTACCAAATATTTACCTCTTAAAGAAAAATGAATACTTTAGATCGCCAAGAAAAAGAATCTAAATTTGGCAGTTCACTTCTCATTTGTCTACTGTAATGCTCCAAAGTGTGTGCCTGCTCATTTATGATATCAGTAGAAATTGTATCTTCAGCTAGTTTGACAGCTGCCATCTGAGACAGTTGAAAATTCTCTCCAGCCAATTGTAGCTTTCTTGCAATTTCGTCCCCACCAAGCATCACAAGGGTAACCAATAAAGATCTAAGCTCATGCTTGGCTCCAGCCGTTAGAGACATGCCTTTCAAATGCTCTACCAGTGCTAACTCCTCATCAGGGCTACAATGTCGCAAAATTATTTTCATGCAAGGGTTATTGACTAAGAAAGGAGGGAAATGAATCTAGGAATCAAGAATGAAGATACATACCTGCCAGGGCGAATTTTTCCTCTCTTCCGCTGACGCCTCATGTCTCTTGCCTTGCTAGTGACACTGGAGGTTACAGAAGCAGCAGAGCCCTTCCTTGTTCTGATCATGAAATAAAGCAACCACATGAACCAACTCGGATTGGCATAAACAAAAACATTTGGATGCACGAGAAACTAAGTGAAAAATAAATAACTTGGCATGCCAACTGGAACAAGTTGATCATACTACACTAACATAGCTTCAAGACTAGCTCAAACATGAGAGCTTGTGAGAGAGACACAAAATAGAGCAGATGCATAAAAATCTAAAATGGCAATTAAACAGGGACAAGCAGAACAGGAAAGAGAGAAAATATCCACAAAAGCTAGGCTGAAACCACTCAAATGCAAGAAGAAAAGTTGAAGAATAACTAATATGACAGATAAATATGACAAAGAACACAATGAAACTAAAAGCTCTGCCACCAATTCTAACATTTTGTTGGTTAGAAGTTCATGTGCAATGTTTTTTTTCTAAAGAAAAATAACTGAAGGCAAACAATCCTAACATTTGTGAGCATGAAAATCATAGGATTGTAGCAAAGCGAGTGCATCTGAATTACGACCAATAATGAGGGCTTCGAACTGCTGAAACTAGTATGACACAAAGTTCAGAAAGATACCCTGTGGTGTAGGCACTCATGCCACTGAAATTACTGCTAGCTTCTGAAACAGTATCATCATCCAGATCATTTATTGACCGTTCCTCCGACCGAAGCTTTGCTGCCAGAAGTAATCTTCTCTGTCGTACAGCTAAATAGCGAGTCAAGTACTTCCCCACCTTCTCCAAGCCTTCTTTGTATTCACTGATTAGTGTGCTTGCACAATCTAAAGCAGCATTCTTCACTGCCAATACCAGATCCTCTTGCCTATGCATAAAAGCAACCCTCAAAGCCTCCTCCCAGTTCCTTGCACTAATTAATAAATTAATCCCACTGTTAACATCTCCACAATACTCCAGGGCAATTTGGGCAGCTTCTGCTGGTTTACCGAGTGCTTGGAGCTCTTCACAAAGATCATGAGCCAGAAGCATTATCTCATCCTTTTCCAGTTTAAGGAGCCCAGCAACAGTAAGCACCCCAGTCCAATTACCACAAGCGCGATATGCCTTCAAGGCGTTTTCCAAACTGGAACAACACAAATAAGTTGTTGCAGCATCCTCAAAACATTTTTCATAACTAAGATGATCACCCCAGGCTTCAAGGACCTGCATTTTCTTTGCAGGATCAGTGATCATTTGAAGACCTAGAGGAAATAATTGAGGATTTTTGATCATGAGGTTCATACAATCAGAATAATAAGCATCACCAGCGGAAACAATATGTGTGAGAGCCTTCTCAAACCGGTGCAACCGAAGGTCAATATTGTAGCACATTATGAGGCTTGGCATGCATTCTAATTCTTGTAGATAAGGAAGAAATTCCTTTGGGTCTCGTTGAGAGTTCAGTGCCACAATAGCTGCAAGGTTCAAATCATAAAGTCCTAAGGCAGCTTCGAATACGGCATCGGAATCAGATAACCACAAAAGATGCTTCAGAGCTTCTTCAGCAGAAGGATAGGATGTCCTCCTAGGGTCACTTGAACCTAATAATTCCATTTCACGAATAACTTTGATTCTTTCCAAAGCTTCCTCAAGCATAGGGCGATCACTGCGAGCTAGAGTGGTTAGAATGCAAAGCTCCCTTGCAGGACTTCCGGTGACTTGTTCCTCAAGAGCCTTCCTTATTGCCAGGAGGAGAGAAGAAACCTTGCTGGAAGCATCTAAAGCCACAAAATCCTTAGTTTGAACATCTCCAGCTCCATTTTGGCAGGGTGTAGTAATATAATTTTTGTATAGAGTCTCCATAATGTTTTCCTTTTTAGGGAACAAATGAACTCAGTTATATAGCTCAAATTGTTAACCTGTTTGACAAATTCTGAAGCTGACTGAAGAAAAGTTTGCCAACCACAATGGTCAACAATAATATTGAAATCTATTCTGTGCCGCCTGACCAACAGCAGTGCATCCCTAAAACGCCTTTGGATCAAAGCGTTGACAATTGAAGCAAGGACCAGCTTTCTTGGGCAAATGCTTTCCAGATTTCCCCGAGTTGTCTGTATAATAGCAGCAGCAGCATCACCATGCAGGACACCAACAATTTTGGAACCTCTTTCCCAAATATTTATGAAGTTCATATTTTCTTCTTTTCTTCTGTTACCGGTGTGGACGAAGTTCTCATATTTCAACTCCATTTCACCATGCAGTATATCACTTATTTCCACAACAAAGAGAAAGTCTTGTTTGGTTGAAAGTATCAAATGAGTAATTACTTGGTCAGCCAAATTTGAGTAGCATGAGAAACTACTGCAGTTGTTGCATAGTACTTTCCCTTCAAAATGCAGCCTCCCAATGTCATCAAGACCAAAAAGCAAGGGCTTTAATGACCCACTGTCACTGACCTGAGACACACTCATCCAAGGGCAAGATGATGAAAAGCTCATATAATCATGCTTTGTTGAACCTCCAGTAACAGCCAAGCCCAACATTGACGTATACTCAACAACTTTTCCACCATCAAACTGAACAAAAGCTGAACATTTCTTAGCAGGGTTAGGAGCAATGCCAATCACAAGCCCTTCCAAATAGTTTCTACAGGAAACCTTTGCATGCCAGCCTGATCCTGTTACCAAACTTGGTACATGATCCTCAGAACACACTAGTTCAATTTCCTGCAAACAAAAACCACTAAATCCATCCTCACTCATTGAGCTGTGGGATGCGCAATTACTATGAGTGAAGTCATAATGAGAAACAGCAAGTAATATGTGTGAATCCAGCCATGACAGGTGTACAAAGGATCCGAAACCTGTCTCAGAAATAGAAGCTTCAACACTGAATTCTTTGTCTTCAAGTTCCTCCCATGTATCTGGGTCAGGAAGTTCTACAACACCCAAAGAGCCATCTGATAAAAATGCAGCCACTCTATTCTTAGAGTTATTGGAATATAAAGCCAGGTCCCTAACTGCACTTGGAAATTTGAGGCTGAATAAATGAAGGGGAGGAGGCATTAGTGATAAAGAAAGTGGAGTTACAAGTATTTTGGAGTCATCAATGACCAATGCTGTTGAGTTCTCCATCACAGCAGAAATCCAAGCGAAGTTGTAAATTGTGATCTGGCCTCCAAGAGTCCAACAAATCAACTGTAGTGGCTTTACTGGATCCCACATGAACCTCACTCCATGCTGCCTTGAGTACCTAACTTCATGTTTCAAATACCAATGGTTGTTGCTGAAAAACCAGACCTTAAGAGCATCATATTTCTCACATCTGACAACAGATGCAAGAAGGTCCGAACTACAATTCCACTTAAGACTTTCCACTGTTGCATCCACTGCTTCTTTAATACCAAAAGAACTCCTAGCCAACCCATTCCTCTCATAGAAAACAATATCAGGACACCTGTTCTCTGCTTTTCCATCATACACGGCAGCAATTTTCGCTCCACTTGGCATCCATTCCAAAACCGCCCCCTTAAGTACCTTCGAATCTGATGTGGAATGCAACGCACCAGAATCCCGTTCCCAAACCTTAATCCTCTTCAGCAAGGCAGAAGAATCACTCACTTCACTAATAGTTGCAAAATATTTCCCATCACCTCGCCATGAAACAGAACCCTCATACATATTCTTGCCGTCCAATTCACCTAAAATCCATAATCCATAAATCAATAAAACCTTCCAAATCAATCCAACCAACGCTATCACATTTAACAAAACAAAATTAACAAAAGAACACACATACTAAAACACAAAAACACTAAAGTAACAATAGAGAAAGGTCCTTACGTACGTCAAGACAAGCACCATCACCGTAATTTTCCTTCTCCTCAATGGCAGTTTCATACAACAAATCCCAATCATGAGTCATAACTAACATTTGTCCGAAACCAGTAAGAATAGCAAGCAAATCACCGTCCGGACTCGGCGAGATACACTTAACCCCGCCTTCAACTTGACCAACGATTTCAGTGGAATTATCATCAACATTATGCAATAATAAAAGACCATTTTCCGTTCCAATAATTAAGGATTCTTTCTCCATTAGATAATCAAATGCAGTAATTAAGTCTCCGTCTTCCAATTCAATCTGATTAATCTCCGACGGTAATAACAAGCTTTTCCGTTTTCCATTCTAGTACACAAACAGACATATAAAATTACAAATTTGTTAGAGACTCGTATATTTGCATGCGTGGGTGGGTGCAGAGTGTAAATAACTGGAATTAGATAGGGCATACTTGGAAAGAAGAAAGATGAGCTGTGTAAATGATATTCGCCGAAGAAGCGAAGAAGAGGCGGTTGCGTTCGATGTCGAAAGCGGAGAAGAGGAGAACTTCTTGCAGCGATTGTAATTCTAGATTCTGAGAAATCTCCGTGTACAGCTTCAGGTTTTTCATTGTTTTTCTCTTGAGCTTTCAACTGCCTGAAAGCAGAGATTTACAGAGAAATTGTGTGTTAGAGACAGTATGTTATTAGGGGTTTTTTTTTTTTTTTTTTTTTTTTTTTTTTTTCCAGAGGGTTTAAGGTTTGTAACTTCGAAGCTGGAACTTGTTCGTGAGAGCTTAGTGGGGTTGGGGCTGGCGAAGAAGGTAAAGTCGACTCGAAACTATGCTAGAGTTGTTATTGTGGACTCTGAAATGATTCAAAAACGGGCTTATCGTATTTCAATGGGTAGAGTTTGGGGCCTTTAGGCCTTAAACGAAACCCTTTTTTGCTTTCAACAAAGATCCAATAGCAGTCTTATATGGATGTTTTGATTGATTTGTGGATCAGTCTAATATTTTTATTTATTTATGCTTTTGATTGGGATTCCTGCTTGTTTGAAAGTTTGAACCGCTAATGCCAGCAACGTTGGTAGCCTGAAATTTGCTGAGTTACCTAACGAATATATATATATATATATATATATATATATATATATATATATGCACACTTAAGGGTATAATTAAACATTCAATAATTTAAAATATAGATATACATAAAAGTATAGCTTTTAAAATTATATTCGGATATGGCAGTTTTCGCTAGATTACAACTAAAGTGATGCCCACATGTAAAAGAAAAATAGAAAAAGAAAAAAAGGATGCCGACAGTGAACTTGTTATTTCTGTGATCTTTCAGTATGTGAAACGAAAACCTTGTTCGATTGTGTTTACTGTAACGAATAGTCCACGTGTAGCAATAAGGAGTTGTTGAAGATTTTCTTGAACAGGTGGCCAAGGCGGTAGGGGAAAAGGGACGGAAAAAAAAAAAAAACTAAAAAATGTTGCTTTCCAGGTTAGGTGAAAGGAGCAAAAAATCTTCACTTTTTCATTTTTGAGTGATTTATGTTGGTGAGGCGCATTCACACCTGTACCCACCTGCACATTTTTTCTTTTACTTATTAGTTTTCCTCGAATGGAATCGCATATGATCGAACACACAATTGGTTTTTTATAATTACCATTTTGAACATAGAAAGCGAAGATGGTAAGGAAAAGCGAAGTAGCAAAATATATATCCATGGCTCAGGTTATTTAACTGAAAAACATATACTATTAGTCTGAGAGGGACACCTAACGATTACGGATAAATTTTAAAATATCTGAGGAGAGATTTCAATGAAATCCCAATATCACATATGCTATTATTCGATGAAAATCCAGTAGCATTCAATTACAAAAACAGATTTTAGCATATAGACCATTAAAAGATTACAAATTTAAGCTCTATCTTCTTCAACTTCTTTAGAAGGAACAAGAGGAGGTTCAACTGTGCTAAAAGCTCTATACGCGGAGATAACTGCTAAGATAATGAAGCAGGAAAGAGCCAAAGCATGGAGAATCACAGCCAGCTTCATTCTATAGCAGAACTTCCCATAAGAAGTGCAGGCTTCACTCCATGTGACTTCTCTATCACCATTGTAAGCCAGGTATAATATCTCTAAGACGGCAGTCCCGGATGTAACCATCAAGTAAGCTACAATCTGCTCAAAAACACCAAAACGATAAATATAACGAGAAGTGAAAGAAAATTCATGAAAATGAAAAACAATGATGGATTTCTTAGAAGGATTTTTAAACAATGGAATTAGTTATGGAACTAAGAAGTTAAACCTGGTCAGAGACGAAGAACAGCCAAGCTTTAGTAACAAAGCATCTTATCCATGTGGAGACAGCAGCAAAAAAAGCATAACTAGCACAAATACCACTGACAAAAACCATGTACCTGTAGAAAAAGTTGTTTCGCAATTTATTTCTTTAAACAAATATCACATCAACAAAACATAAGGACGTAAAAGAATAACGCCAATTTTATCAAATATTAGTGCCGAAATCACTTCTGGTAAAAATCATAAATCACAATTGAAATTTTTTCAAGAAGTGATTTGAGGAAGAATATTTGGTAAGATTGGCATTATCCGGACATGAAAATGGAAAGTGTGCCTCACTTGAGTCCCGTGAGATTGTTGTATTTCAAATCACCATAGATGCTATTATCCTGCTTGCTGGTAACAGTTAGCCATATGGTGGCAACACTAAGAGGAATAACAGAGAGCCTAAGAGAACAATCTAAGAGCTTGAGCATTGGAGCCATATCTCGACTCAAAATCTACTTGAGTTACGATTAAGAGACACGATTAATTCCTAAAGAAAAAGTGTGGGGGAGAAAGAATGAAAATCGTTTTGAACTGAAATTGGTGCCTGTGTAGGTAGATATACTGCTTTCGTGCATCTGGTATGAAAAGGACGTGCCTGGAAAGAATGTGAAGAGGTATTGGTATCGGAGCCTTCGTAGTGGGTAGAGTGAGAAGCAGTGGGGGTTGCTTTTCTATTGGATGAAATGATGGTATTTATTTGTTTTGTATTATCTAGACTAGAGAACTAGGCATGATTGACTCCACTTCAAAGCTTTATTTTTTTGCTACTGTCTTGAGCCTTACCTAATGGTGATGAAATAAGTGCGATATTCAAAACGTTTTCTGGTTTCTAAGCAATTTCATAACCTACCTCTGACCTATTGACTCGTGACTTTCTAAGTTTGTAACTCTACTCATTCTGACGTGTGCAGGTGCATTTTGGACCTCATGTGACATGCAGTTTGAGATGCAAAGTTGAAGGCTCGCATCTACAAAATGACCCTCCCTTCTCTGTCCTAAAATTGTATTGCATCTGTCTCCTCGCTAAAACAGAGCAGAATCCAGTAGCTAGAATTTAGAAATTCTCTTTATCTTAGATTTATCTATGTCCTTCCTTAAAACCGTTATTGCCGTCCATTTTGCTTCCTCCTGATATGAGACGAAAAGCTATTTTCAGATTTATGCACTACACAAAGCATTCCCCCTCTCCACCACACCAGCTAGCCTCATAGATCCTCTCGACAGACTACCAAATTCCGCTGCAACTCCAATGAAATGAAGAGAGGCCAACAAATGACTTCCCTTAAGCCCACCATCCATTGCATTCAAAGATTCATTCCCTGTTTCTCAAGGCATACGAGTTCTTTTTCTGCAATCCACCACACAAATAAAAAAGCTGCAGAAGCCCACTATAACCAGAAGAAATTGAAAGCAAGAACCAGAAAGTATAGGCGACACAGAGGAAACTTTCAAAATGATATATACTTCCTTTATAATGAAACTAAAATCTATTTAATTGTGTGAAGTCCTCGGTACAAAGAACAATGGGAAGAAATGTAAAAACAACAAAAAACAGAAAAGTAATGAAACAAAGAATGACAAGGTTGTTAATACCATAAACCTGACCTGTAAGTAACTTCTTCGCCTAAAATAAGCTAAAACCTATTCTTTCATCATTGTATCCTGTGTGTATTTCTATAATTCCTTTTTTCAGATCTTCATTTAACATTTTACGGTGAACAGGCACCCAAAATGACTTGCTAGAGATTGTCATGCAAGCCAGCACACCATCTATACATAGGGATTCCTTCCCTCCTGGAACTTCAATCAGTAAAACTGACCTCAAATATCTCTCCAGCAGAACTAATTCTACCAAACGGACAACTATCTTTAAGAAAAAGACATCAACCAACTTCAATACCCCTCTCTCTTGCTTTTCGGGCAACAGTTCCTGCGTCTCCTCTAGTCTTTGATAGATTATAATAGCAACTCCACAACTTCGCAGAGAATGGATGTGCAGTTAAAGCTTTCTTGTAAAACCTATCCGAAATGAACTCTATACCGGAAATATCACCCAAAATACCTGCAGCTTCAACCCATACATATTCTGGAGGCATTGGAATAGCATGAAAGATTGCGTTGACCAAGATTGAGCACGCCCAGTACAGAACACTATCAGAAGTAACATTAATTGAACTGTAGCCTCTGCACAAGAGCTTACCAACAGAAAATGCTAATGGGTAGTTGGAAGGCACCATATCTAAGATGGCTTCAACAAAATCCACCAATTCCTTTGGTTCGTTTGAATTTGGGGGTAAAAGAGAGGGACCATACCACACTTCAAGAACAAAATTCACCAGAGAGAAGTCAGATGAAACCGGACTCAATATGTTACTGATTAGCTGCCGAACTTTTGGCTTCTCTATGTTGTCAATGAATCGTCTAGATAATGGTTCATAAACTGGGAGAGCCTGGACATCATTCAAATAACCATTCAAAATTTTCAATTGCTCACTGACAGGAGCATCCTTCTTTAATTGTGGCACATAGTTAAGGAAGAACACAGCATGCTCTCTCAAGCAATGTTTGACGGACTGTAGAGGAGCAACCTTCAGTGCCCTGTCAATGGCAACGCGGGCTTCAGTGAGGTCATTGTGCAATAGCTTAGCAAGAGAGAGATTAATTAATCCAAACATCATATCCATCTGATTAGAATTGGATGTCAGAAAGTCTGGATTTGATGCTGAAGTCAATTGCAACAATTCATGTGAGCTATTACTATCCACTGCATCCAAAATTTCATTCGGAGGACATCGAACTTTTGAAACAGAGTTAAACCAGCGGACTGTCAGTTCTTTTGCAAAATTAGGACCTTCATTTTGGAGGGCACACTCAATATACTGATTCCAGATACAATGAATTCCAGGGACTTCTTTTGGCCAATTACTAATAGCTCCCTCGAACCCTTCAAAACTCACACCGCCCAAGCCATTTGTTTGAAGCCTTGTTGACACAAGAACAAGTTCTACGCAGGATGGGTACAACTTCATATACTTGCCCAACAAATTCTGACAGCAAGCTAAGCCATCAAGAACTAGCATACACCTAATATGGCTAAGAGCAAATTGTTGAGCCAGTCTAACATTTGTGTCACTTTCAAATGATTCACTATTGACACACACATTAACAGAATCCACTGCCATCTGAACTAGCTTAACAGCCCTCTGCTTCTCTTCATTTTGTAAATGAACAGAAGGCCATTCAACTGCAACGAGTTCTTTCTCACATTCAAACCGCTGTACAATAGCATCAGGTAACTTCCTGTAAATAACTAAGTACACACAACAAACCCAGAATATATATTTGTCAGAAATCGTTAAGCACATGAGGATATCAGAGAGCAACAGAGAGTGAGGCTCATCTGAATTAACAGCCACAGGAAAGAGTCCTTGGATTTTCTGAATGGCTTTGCCAACATTCCCAGACATGCACAAACAATCCATCGTCTGTAAAAACAGATCTAATATGCATGCACTAGCATACGTATTGTCCCTATCAAAAGAAGATGCATGGCGGCAAAGTGCTGAGAGGGCAGCATTATATGCAACCAGTCGATCATCAAGATGTATACGACTGTTGATGTAAATGAGCCAAAGTCCATAAGATCTGTCGTTGTTTTTAACCTGAAGAACAAGAGGAAAAGGGTTTCCATACAAAAGTTTGCATTCTGTCAAGTAAAAGGTAGAAAGAAGATAAGATTTGAAAGAAAAGATGAAAATACAGTCCATTTTTAAACAATAACAATAAAGAATAGCAAGCACATTTACATGGAACAAAGGCAAGAGCACATACTCTAATTCAGCCAAGCCTATATCTGATCTGCTTTCATAATGTCCTTGTCTACAGATTTATCTATATATTTACATAAAGGGAATATGTGATTGAAAGGTGGGCTGATGAGAAAAAATAGCTGAATTTTAAAAACTGTTCCTCTCTTTTTAAAAACTCCAACCATTCACCTAGACCTTGCGGGCACAAATGGATTGAAAAGGAAGTGTGTAATAGTATTTCAGCTAGATATAGGCTTGTGAAATCATCTAATTACGAAAATTTTGTAGAATCCTTTTACTGCAATAGAACTTGTACATGCAAAACAGGAGACTATGAATAGAACTTGACTTACAGCTCCACATAGTCAAAGCTGCTTTTCATTTCTATGAAAACGATTTGTACTTTTGAAAACATGGAAATATCCCAACTGTAGCTTAATTATAATCGCAAATCCAGAAATCATTAGACGAGTCTCAGACTCTCAGTTTAAAGGACCGTTTTGTTGAGAATAGGGAGGTTTAACACCTTAGTTTTATAACATACCGCATAGGAGAACATGTCATCATTCCCAACTGACTCAATGTTGCTGTAGTAAATGAGCAGATACATCATCCACAGAACTTCAGCTGTTGGATCAGTCTCAATAGCTCGTGACAGCACAGAGAGCGACTGTAGAAACATAGGTTTAGAATGATAACGAGAAGTTTCTGAACAATAAGGATAGTGCAAGTAATAACTGAAACCACAAACTTTACCTTTTTCATACCCTCCAGTTTGTAAACCTCCTGACTGAGAATAAGAAGAGCCATTTCAAGGGACTGCACACTGCTGGGTAATGCTTGATTGAGACGATTCTAAGGATACATCAAACAGGAAGGATAACATAATGAGAGAATGAACCAAACAGAAGAAGAAAACAGCACACAACTACAAGGCTTTAAGGAGGCGGAAATGTTAAAGCATACTATATGATTAAGAGAATTATAAATGTTTCTGAAATAACAATAATGAGAACAGAAATGACAACAAGAATCTTTTTAATGGGCTGTCCACCCTTCTTCCTTTCATTAGATGGAGAGAGGAGAGGGATTCCCCAGGAACAGCAAGGTTTAGGATGCAAAAATGCAAAAATAAATACATAGGCTTGATGTCATAATTGGAAAATAGATCACAAAAAACACGCCAATCAGCCTAGGACAAATTAGGAAGAGAGGTGGACAGTAAACCATATCTTCAACTTACACACTGAATTGAAAGTAAAAACAGATACAACAAGAAAGCAAAGTCTCACCAACCATTTGGAAAGTAGATCACAAAAAACAAGCCAATCAGCCTAGGACAAATAAGGAAGAGAGGTGGACAGTAAACCGTATCTTCAACTTACACACTGAATTGCAAGTAAAAACAGATAAAACAAGAAAGCAAAGTCTCCGCACCAACCATTTGAATCAGACAATGAAGAGACATGATTCACTAAACAAAATTTTCATAACTAAAAAGCATAATACAGTGAAGGATACGGAAACAAGGTCAACACGAGATGAACATGCAGCAAACTGTAAAATCTATGAATAAAACACAGCAAAATATATTCTCACCAAAGGCATTAAAGTTACTGACAAAATATCTTAGCAATGCAACAAAAGCTAGCAATAAAAGAGAAACATTAGGCCAGGAATATAGAAAACAGTAATAAACAAACCACTATGTTCTTTCTACTCTGAAAGTATGATGTCTGTCTATTCCAACTCCCATGGACCTCAATACGACCATCATCAGCACGGAAAGAAGGCTGATCAGCAAGCAAATCTCTTTTAAGCAAACTTGATAGAGCTAAGAAAAGACTGAACTGTTTTTGCCAGCATTGCCCATTTTTCCATGCAATGACAGATTTATATGAATCAGATTTTAAGATATCCAAGCCAACAAGATAAGTTGGTGAAATCAAAGCACCGTGACACTTTGAAAGTTTTGCTCCACCATTACTTTTTTGTTGATGCAACAGTAATCCAACCTGACAATCTGCAGAAGCATTATTTAAAGAATGTAAGCAGCAATGCAAACCATTCAGAATTGTCAAAGGAATAGTCATACCAGCACCATCAGAATCATCATGCTGATTTTGATGCGCATTGTGATCAGAGAAGTCCCGAACATGTTGCCAAGGACATTCATCATTGTTGCATTTTCCTCGAAGCTCATACATGCAGAGTGGCCAGAATGGGTCAACCGCAACATTGTGGGTAAAAGTGCCAATTTCAGTTCCACATACATCCCCAAGACTCTCCTCCTTTGAGTTTGCTATCACAAGGTCATATTGGATGTCCTCAGAGTCCATGCAACCACCCTCTCCATTGAAACCAGCACAGGTATCATTTTGTTGACTTTTTGTATGCTGTGATTCTATTGAAGTCATTGGGAGCATAACTTTCATTTGAGCAAATGCACTCCTCAATACTAAAGGAGGTGAAGATATGACCGAAGTTGACAACTGACAACCTCCTGTGGAATTGTCCTCGGAATCAACAGCAGAATGAGAATTCAAAGAATTCTTTTCATGGCTCTGAATCTGGACAGGAAGCTCAGACATCGTTCTTTCAGGCTTATCATTCCCTATATAAAAGAACAAAAAATTAATATAGAGTTTTTCAATCAAGAAAAAGAATAGAAATATGAGACGAGAACAAGCAGATCATATAGAGTAAAATCATCTACACTACTAATATTACTTATGAATTATATTCTCCCTCGTAATGAGAGTGAATTTTGGAAAGCAGAAGTACAAGATGTTTTCCACTTATTGCTATCTGCTAAAAACTTGAACTAAAATGAAATTTTGCATTCCCCAATGGACAGCGTCTTTAGATTCTCAGAATTCCTCCACACAGTTAAGTTTGCCCAGTAATTTCAAACTAGAGGCAGTTCTCATCAAATTTCAGTGCAACATGCTAAGAATAAAGAGCAATATTGTCAATAACACGATCAAGTTATCACATTCCCAAATGTTAAATTATACTACTATGTTCTAGTGCAGCTAGTTACAAGACACCCAGTCATAATCTTTGCTGCAAATTACAAGCATGCCATGGTATTATGTAGTCCAGATTGCACCTGTAAACCAAGCAAATACTTGGGGACAGAAGAAAAATACAGCAAGCAAGTAACAGACAGACCTTTGACATGAGCACAAAGCATTTATTTTACATCAAAAGTCATTTAAATCTATTTACTAAACAAGTTCTTTAGGAAAGACTGGATATTCATTATAACAGTAAGTATCAAGAACAGCATTTATCATTTTTGCGTGTGCATGAGCATGAAAATTGCCACATACCCAGATAATGGTGGCAGTAAAGCCAAACAATGTCAGCAACTGGGATAATTAATCGCTTAACATTCAGCATGATTCCAAAAGCTAAATAGTTCATGACCAAAAAAACTGCTTCAAAAATATGTTCATTCAAATAGAATTACCTTCAAGGTCATAATCTCGATCTTTCTCTGTCTCTGACAATCGCATGCTGCCATTGCTTCCCTGGGTTCTTTCACTTCTATTGTCAACTTCAGTCCCTGGTTCTTCTGCAGGCTCCACAGCAGACAAACCGCCATTCTTTGAAAAGGTTCTTATTGGCAGCCTCGCAAATAGTTTCGATCTTAATTTTGCTTCAAGAATCAAAGAATCCTGTGGGCCATCAACATGGGGATGATAATCTGTGTGGTTTTCTCTTCCCACAGAATTTTGATCTCTTTGCTGAAGTTTGAAGCTAGGTTGATCAGTCTCATGGTCCAATGGAAATGTTTCTTCATCTTCGTCTGCTGAAATATTAGAATCATTGGATTGAAAGCTTACTCCATTTGCAGCAATCAGGCTGTTGCGGGGCAATGGCTCTGATGTACTAGCATCCGGTTCACTGCATGGCTCAGATCCCAAACTATGGCCATTCGCATGCCGATAAAGTGAATTTGTGGGAGCACCGGTCACTGAATCATACCTGGGCTGGTTAAAACCATCATACTCAAGCTGCATCTGCTCACTTGACGAGGGTATTAATTCCACATTTCTAGATACACCGTTTCCACAGTCCACCCCAGTTCCAAGATGTTCATGCCGCTGGGAGGGCAAAAACAAATTGGAATCATTCACAATGAGAGACCGCAAATGAGCTGAGTGCAGTTCCCTCTTGCGATAAAGTTCTGTACATCTAGAATTAGCCTCAATCAAAGCCCTCTGTGCTTTTTGATAAGCTTTAAGAGCATTTCTTTCTTCAATTTCACATTTGTGCCTATGCTCTTGAGCTTCATCCAGCTCCTTGTCTATGGATTCCTCCATTTCAACTAACAACTGCATATCTATGCTGTTATGTTCTACCACATTTACAGTTCCTGAACAATTCCAAGGGTTTAAATTCGGAGATGCCTGTGAACAAGAAGGAAAGCAAATCCAACAAAATCAGCAAAGCAGAGGAAGAGAGGAGAAATTCAAGACACTTTATTATGATAAATCAAAGGCCACCATTTTAACAATTGACACAGGAAACATACTTGACAAGAAGGCTTATCGCCAGATATGCCTTGCAGATGCTCACAGCTGTTTATTAAATTCTGCCCACTAGTTGATGTCTTTAACAAACATGCTGGTGGCTGGATTCCACAATTCTTTGCTGGATTTGAGTCAACACTCTGAAAGTCACGTAATATCAGTTGAGTCAACACTCTTCTGGTCACAGTAATATCAGTTGAGTCAACACTCTTCTGGAAAGTCACAGTAATATCAGTTAAGGAATGAAAGTAGTCACAGAGGCAAAATTTGCAGCAACTAGAAATTTAATCAAGCTAACTGCTAGATTCACTATCAATTTTTTTACTATCCACAAAATATCCATCGATACTTGTATGAGAAATACAGGAAATAAAATAGCTCAACCACAGAAAGCAGGGAGTTGTGATGAAAACAACATCAAGTGAATTAAATCCTCCTTACTCTCTTCTTCAGCAAAGTACTAGTATTTGCATTAGACCCTGGTGGGGTCTGGTTCAATACAACAGAAGGATCCACCTGCATTCTGCTCATGTCAGACTGGCTGGAATAATGATTGACGTTAGAAGCTGCGACACATAAAAAAGCTGTTTTAAGTAAATGATAGATTACACTATACGACAATATTTAAGAAAGATAACAAAGCTTCCTCAATCTTTCAACCCACCAGGTAGCTTTGCTGATGAAATATCCACCCGCCTAAAGTCTGGCCTTTCCCATTTAACTACATTAGAGTCTGTTCTTTTCGACGGCCTTTCTTTCTGGCTACAATCACCCATGCTTTTATCCTGAAAACTACTGCTCTCCAGTGCATTTTCCTTTGATGGCAAATCAGATGTTGCTACAAGCATTTTTTGTTGGCCATCTGAATTTAACTGTTTAGAATAAGATCCGTCAACTTTTAAGCGTTTCCTGTCCGGTTCTTCTGGTGCTAATTGCCCAACTTCATAGAAAGCTGCATTAGATTTCCTGGCTGCACCACTGGAAATGTTCATAGACTTGTAATCCTTGCTGGAAACTGAAGCAGATTCCTTATTTTGTGCAGCTGCTTTAAGCTTAAGTTCCCTTTCCCGAAGTGCAATCTGCTGCCTCAAGTCCCGAACTTTAGTGCTGTTCAAATCCCCACCTTGCTCGAGACCATGCTCTTGGCTTGCTAGATTTCTTTTTATGGAATTAAAGTTCTTTACTTGAGAACCTTGCCCGACAGATGAAGAGCTAACTCCCCTGGAATTAGCAACTCCATTTATCTTTGTCATTGATGAGTTAAATGTGCGACTCATTGATGATTTCTTGGGAATACTCTTTGCATTTCTTTTAGTCTGCTGCGACATGCTTGATTTTGCTGCTGAAACGGAGGGCAGCCTTCCATTTCCATTAACCACAGTCATGTTGGGTTTGGTTTTTAAAGCCTTGTCTTCTCCATCTTCAGATTCACTGCCACTTTCATCATCTGAAAAAAATCTTATCACTAGGCTATCGTCAGCCCCTGAAGATGCACACTTTCCAGGATTAGCAGATATGTGTGGCACTCTGTTCTTCTCAAAGCTCTTGTTATTATTTGGTTGTTGTGAAGTTCGGAGATTGGGATCAGCAGATCTTGCAGAATTAATGCTACAATTGGCCTTACCTGTAGAGGAGATACAGCTGCATCAGAAAACTCTCTATAGCAGAATGTATTGTCCTTACCGTCAATTCAATACATCACCAATTCTTTCTAACACGAAAATGTTGTAGATAGGTGTAACTTGGCAAACCAAAGTTATAGGGAAGTCCACACGTGACTGAGTTACAAAATGACGTAAATGACATTTATGCTTGATAGAAATCAGATTGCATGGAGTGCACAACTTAAAGTGGATCTAGTTCTTCCTTTGTATATGATAATCAAGTATCTTGTGATTGTAGATCTCTCTCATTTGGTTAAAAAAAAATGAATTCTTTGATTATTAATTAGAGGAACAATAGTAAACTTCTAACTTTTTTTAGATAATATCCAAGGAAAGATCAGTCTACAAAAGTTTATAGCACTAGAAAAGAAAAGGATATTATGAAGCAAAAGGCACAAATAATTTCTGAAAAGTGAGAATATATGCTTCTATATAAAGATCTATACAGGTAACTTTATAAGTTTTAGAATCAACTGACAATAGGGTAAATAACATATTATTTTTCATCCTACACCATGCCAATTTGAGCAATTAAATCAAATCCACTTCCTTAGCATAGAAGGCTACATATAAATGTAGTCATAAATAAGTATAATGACGATAAAGATCAGGGCAAGTGGCAAAAACTAGCTCTTGATCCATCAACTTACAGATCAAAATAGAAGTGAACAGCACTCTTTGTGAAAGACCCACAAGTTAAAGTATTGCTAAAGATGAACCCAAACACAACCAATGGTCACTTGGCAGGCGAGAAATATACCGTAAGAAACCAAAGTTCCTGCCATAAGATGGCATGCTAGACTTACCAACCCAATTGGCTAAAGTGAATTTGTTCATTGGAGGAACCAGAATGGTCCTTGAGGAAGCAGTAGGGTTAACAGCAGCAGCAGACAAAGTAGCAGAGCAAACAGTATATTGCTGCAAGAGAGAAAATCAAAATTCATTTTAACATATTCCACTAGAAAAGGAAAAGCTAAGCCACTAGAATTTCATTTGTAGAACCAAAGTTTCAAGTGCAAACACATCCAATTGATGGAACATGATGCAGTAACTTTGAAATAAATTAAAAATGCATTGAGCAAAAGGTATATCCCAGGCTAATCATAATTGCAGTTCACAGATCTGTAGCAAGATGCGGTACCAAAATAAAGCGATCTGTAATTATTTAATTCTCCCAGAGTCGATACACTCTCTCTCTCTCTCTCTCATTTACCCCAGCACATGCATGCAAGCGAGGGAATACCAACTCAGAGAAAAATTCTGCATGAAAGGCCATGCGACTCTACTTCAAAAGTTCAATTTCCAACAGAATGAAAATGACCTATCTGGCAAAATCATTACCAATGAATACAAAATAAGGTCATCTATGGACGGGGTCATTGTGGTAAGAGGAAATATTCAGATTCCCGCCATTGAAGCTCTCTCTTCTCTCTCTCAAACAACAAACATTTAAGGCCTAGAAATTGTTTATATAATGGGGCCCACAAGTATGTGCAAAAGGAAGTATCAACCCAGCAAGTATTTCTAGCGGCAAAGGACCATAAAATTCAGAGGAATCATTACCACAAGAATAAATGTAAGGCCATACATCTATGTCGTAAAATCAATTTCCAACTAAATGTTAAAGACACATATGGTAGAACCAAAAATGTGCAGCACAATCCTATCACAACGGCATATAACAAACTGAAAAACCTAATTATAAATCATCTATATGCATCAGTATCACTGGGACACTAAGCGAGATAAAATAAACGAATCAGTAAGCGGATCTCAGGTTTCTCCTCATATAGTAAATTACAGTCAACTAATCTAACACAAGTTGCCGGCTCAGAGAAGGCAACTTGAAATCGGAAAAGAAACGTACAAATCAGTCAGTGCAATAAATTTCTTTCCTTTTCCTCTGTTTTGTCATCAACCAAACAGAAATCTTATTTATCACCAACAGAAGTAGCATCTAATTTATATCAGTAAACAAAGAATTCAACAAGTAAGCAAGCAAATGCAGCTAAAATTAGCAGAGCAAGCTGAAACCCTAACTAGTGAATTTCTCGTAAAAATTAACAAAAAAATGAGAAATACGATTGAACAAACAAACTCGTTTTCATTTCTCTTACTTTCTAGTTTCCTCGGTAATCAAGCAGGCAAAAAATACATTAAAAAAAAAAAAAAAAGAGATAAGAGATAGGGTTTTTAAGAGAGGGAATACGTCGTCGTTGGATGAAGAAGAGACTTCTCCTTCTTCTCTTGCTTCAGTCGCGAGCTCTGGTTGACTAGGGTTATTTGACGCCATTGATTTAGTCTTTACATTATTAATATATTATACTCCATTATCTCGTTCTCGCTCTAAGAAAACCTTTTTTCTTTTTTAATGATTTTCTCTCTCTAGGAAAATCGACGCTTTTATGGGACCATATGATAGAGAAAGAGGAGATTGGTTGTGAGGGAAACAATGCGGTGGAAATCAAGAAAACGAACTTGAGGGCGGCCTGGAACGTGCGTGGACTTCACTAAAGTGACGAAATTGTCTTTGTTTGTGTCGTAAAATTACGGGATCTGTCATTGCTTTCCTTGTTGCGTCACTCGTGCGGAGGGCAAGCCGGCTTATACTGGGTTGTTGTGTACAGTACATTTTTGGAAGAAAAAATTCCCGTGTAATTGACACGTGGTATTTAGTTAAGTTCGTCGTGACGTGGTTGAAACGAAAAGGGTGTAGGAAATATCCGGTGAAACACAAGGCGGCAGTGAGTCTGTAAAGAGGAAAATCGCAGCTATCTGTTAATTATGTAATTAATCTTGTGTATTTAGATGTAAAACTTGGAAAAATAATGGTGCTTTGAACTCGAATCGCATTGTAATATTTTATTAATTAAATAAAAAAATAAAAAAAAGAAATGGAGGTGATTTATAATTAAATTATGCAACATTTTATCTTATTTCTTTACTGCTTTCCTTTAATTTAATAGTAGGAGAAATCCTATTGCTTTTTCACAAGTTCTTATACCCCAACACCTTACTTTTGTTATTGGCAATCTCATTAATAAGCCACCACACATTTGCAAGTTGAGTTGTCTGCCTTTCCGTAGGTTTAATCCTAACCAACTCTTCCTACATTAAAGGATAATTAATTGCTCGGCCACGATATAACATGCCATTTGGAAGAGCAGTTGCTTAATGGCCAAAATTAAAGCATCGTTGCAAAAATGAATGACTAAACATCGATCCACGTGTGTATATGCATAGGCTGATCATGTGATGACAGCTTGAAGAGAATATTCTAAGGCCAGATGGTCTTATCGAATTCATACTGTGGGCCCAGGGTGGCAAAAGCTACCCCAAAGTGCCTTAACTCACTCTTACCGTTTGATTATTTTTCAGATCAAACGGAAAGAAATATAACAAGAATTACAGAACCCAGGAAACAAGACTCCAACAATGTCCTCTGGAAGGATCTGGAGGCAACCGGCCGGCAGGTGGCACCGGAAAAAAAAAAGTGTAATACGCGGGTGGAACCAAAAAATATTCAAAATCAAAAGGGTTTGGTGAGTTTAAGCATGGATTTCTATTCAACCATAATGTTTACTTTAGGATAACAGTTTGACCGGGTACCATTTGCACCCTTTATTGTGATATTTTGTATTAATAACGTGTCGATTATTTACTAATCTTGATTTTCTTATAATTATGTAGATAGATGTAATTTGCACATTATAGATTAATGTGACAATACAATGAATCATGTATGGATTGAAAGTCACAATAGCTTCAAATTCTCTATAGAGTGTTGTATCACTCATCAAGCAGCAATACTCGCATGTAGCAACAACAGAAATGGAACCAGTCGCAGAAGCACAAAGCTCCAAAGAAAAAGAAGAAGAAGAAGAAAAAACAGTAGGTTCTGAAACATTATGCTACGAAAATAACGCAAGATACGAGCTTCGCAACTTTCTCCTTATGTCCTTTATTCACTTCCATCTTCTAAAGAAAGTTGGCAGATATTATAACAAGAGTTTTGGGACTGTCTTAAGATGTCAAAGCCATGTCACCACGCTCCGGTCTTTTTCTCTCAGTGCTTCGATCCAGACTATAGTTTCTAGCTGGTTCAGTTGATAAGATGGCTGCGCTTCAACTCGCTCAAGAGTGGAACACGTGTAATATCTGCGGTAGCTTGATTACGAAATCATGAGCAAAACCAAAGGAAATTAGGGTGATCGAATTAAGAACTATTTTTTTACGAAATCAATTTCTATTACACATAAGGCAAACATAATTATTAAAAAAAAATTACCTAAACTATTTAAAAAACTAGAATCCTTCTCATTTAAATCAATTCCCTTATATCAATTGTTTGTTTTTATAATCATGTTGTTTTACTTGTTTTTCTAAATTAATTTTATAGGTATTATATCACAATAGCCAATCATAATTTGCGAAAGTTTTTAGTTTCAGGAGCATCGGAACTCTTGCCTCTTAATCTCTTGATCTACCATGTAATGCAGCTCTAGAAAGAAACAACAACAATAATAATGATAATAAAAGAAATCCATCACCTACTGCTTAGACTTTCAACTAGCAGTTGCCCAGATTGCTATCGCTTTAATGGTACTACCAGCCTTGGAAGTACATGGAATACCAAAAATTCTACGATAGCACCTACAATTTATACATTCTGATTCTTCTGCAGATCCATTATTAAGTTTGGACCATATATGTATAACATAATTCTCTCATTTTATCGGCCATTTAATTTCATTCTTGATTAAGTTCCAAGCACAACTGTTTTTTTCTTTTTTCTTTTTTTTTTTTTTTTTTTTTTTTTTTGTGTAAGAAAGACACCTGTTTTGCTTTAAAAATACATTACGGGTCCTATTAATAGTTTGGTAACTTAATTTATATGTACAAGTTCGAGAATCTTTCTGGTGAGCAGTCACCAAGCAATTTAATTATTGCGTGGTCCATCATTTTATCTCTAGGTACAGCTGTATTTTAATTTTGTCAAAACAAAATAATTATACAGGTATGTAGACATATATAGATACAATGTTATGCCATTTTAGCCCTGAACTTTTCGTACAAGTCAAAACAAAATAATTATACAGGTATGTAGACATATATAGACACAATGTTATGCCATTTTAGCCCTGAACTTTTCGTACAACTAGATATTTTAAAGTTTTTTTTTTTTTTTTTTGTCTAAAATGGTTTTGTATTGTGCGCATTATTTTGCATACGGTATTATTATTATTTTTGGACAAATAACAAATTAATATCCGTACATACAAAACCCCACAATTATACACTTAACGACTATATAAAGAGAAGTTGTGAACAAATGAAAGAAGCACATTAGAGAAGCTCAGATAAAAAAGAAAGAAATTCAAGACTTCTAGCTGGTCATTCATGGCACCATCAGATTCTGTGAAAATACTGGAGCTCTGCCAAGTTGTGCCAGCCTTCAGCTCACCTGATCAGTCAAACACTGAGTTTTCTCTTCCCCTCACTTTCATGGATATACTTTGGCTCAAATTTCCTCCAGCTGAGAGCATTTTCTTTTTGAACTCACCGAGTCAACTCCAGCTTTTTTCGAATCAATAATCCTTCCAAAACTCAAAAAATCACTCTCTCATGCACTGGTCAATTTTCTTCCACTAGCTGGCAATCTCATATGGCCTCAAGATTCTCTTAAACCCATCATCTTATACACTCCAAATGATGCAGTTTCACTCACAATTGCCGAGTCCAGTGCTGACTTCAGTCGTCTCTCGAGCAATGAAGTTCGTGAAGCTATTGAGTCACATCCTTACCTACCCAGGTTGCCTATAACTGATACTAAGGCTTCAATACTTGCTTTACAAGTAACATTGTTCCCTAACAAAGGGTTTTGCATGAGTTTCGTTACCCACCACGCAGTTCTTGATGGGAAAACTACAATCATGTTCATTAAGGCATGGGCGTATATATGCAAACACCTAGAACTTGAAAAAAATGATCAGCCTTGGTTGCCTGATGAGTTAATCCCTTCTTTTGATAGATCAGTTATCAAAGATGTAGCTGGGCTTGAAATGGCACACTTGAATCACTGGTTAGCGATGAATGAGTTGGTTTTGAAGTCCAATCCTAGAAGTTTGAAGGTGTTGCCAAACATGGGAGAGTCAGGCCCATCCGACTTGGTTCGAGCTACCTTTGAGTTGACTCGTGAAGACATAAAGTTCCTAAGGAAAAAAGTTCAGTCCCAGTTGGACAAAATGCTCAAAGAAGAGCAAAACCAAACCAAACAAATTCATTTGTCGACTTTTGTGCTCATATGTGCTTATACTATCGGTTGCATGGTGAAAGCAAGAGGAGGAGATGGCAGTAAAAAAGTGTACTTCATGTTCCCTGCGGATTTAAGGAGCCGATCACTAGACCCTCCAATTCCAAAAAATTATTTTGGGAACTGTGTTGCTGGCCAACACGTTGCCACTGAAGCAAGAGTTTTTATGGAAGAAAATGGGTTTGCCATTATCGCGGAGAGGATTAGTGACGTGATTAAAGGAATGGAGATCGGGGGGCCTTTTGAAGGGGCTGAGGAAAGGTTAGTTGAACTGGCTTCTTTAGAACCAGGAACACGATGCCTTGGGGTTGCTGGATCGACCCGTTTTGATTTTTACAGGTCAGATTTCGGGTGGGGAGAGCCCAAAAAGGTGGAGATTGCATCCATTGATAGGACAACTTCTTTTTCTTTGGTAGAGAGCAAAGATGGAATAACAGGAGGTGTTGAGATTGGTGTGGCTTTAAAGACACAGGAAATGGAGACTTTTACTTCTCTATTTGTTAATGGCCTAAAAGATTAAATATTAAAGCTGCACTTGTTCTCCATGCTTGAGATAACTTGGAGTGATTCAGCGATGGAGGTGCCCCATATCATAATCATTGTCAATTATTTTGCTGTATAATGGTTGTTTTCAAGATTTGCTTTTGTGATAAGTTGGTGTTAAAATTTGGATTTTTAGAAATAAAAGTGTTTTGGATCATCTGTCTACTATATTTTGTAACAAAAAAATTAGCCTCCAACTTATTTGTGAAATTCACATATTGTGTATCCCATAGTTTAGTTTCTTTCATTATAATAAAAGAACAATCGTCAATTTTATTATTTTACTAGCACATATCCCGCGCGTTACTACGATGTGAGTTATATAATATTTTTATGTGTGTATCTATATAAAATACAGATTTAAAGATAATTATTTAAAAAAATCACACGAAAAAAGTTTAAAAAATAGAAAGACCGAAACATATATTTCGTACATTGGCGTCGCAAAGTTAGCTAAATGAAAATTTTACAAAACTAAGCAATATAATGTTGCTAATTAAATGTTGTTTGATACAAACATACATTTTATTATAAATATGTATAATAAATGGTAATTAAAATAATGGTGTGGTAGTTTTTTGAAGTTTTGATGATTAATTTCTACCTTATGTTCTTCATTTGTAGTTTGTTAATGAGACAGAAAAAGATCATCTAAAACAAAAGGAAAATTTTTTTTTGTCAAATCAAAATGAAATTGAAATATTTCAAAACCTGTTTGGCAAAAATAGGAACAAAAAATTACACATGAAAAATTTTAAATGATAAAAAAAAAATCATAAAATAAAAATAAAAAAAATTTCACTAAAAGGCAAAAAAAAACTTATGAATAATCGGATTAAAAAAGAAATTCATTATGCATGAGGCACGAATAAAATCAAACATGATAAAACTTTAATAAATCAAAAAACAGGAACCAAAATAAAAAGAAAATTTTTACTAAAAACTATAAAAGACATATGATTATGAAATTGTATTTAATTTTAATATAAAAAATCAAATATAATAAAATTTTGAAGACGAAACACAATAAAAAAATTCACTAAAAGTAAACTTGAAGTTCCTTGTTTTATTTGGGTGATCTATAAATGCAATAGATGATTTCTAAAGTTGGATTTGGATAATTTTGTTGCAGTAACACTAGCAACAATATTACAAATGATAAAATTGAGAACATGTGGACGTGGTTAATTGTTATCCACATCATACATAAGTCATTTTTCTTGATTTTATAGGAAAAAAGAAGAAGAAAAAACCTAATTACTACCATATGTACAACTGGTCGAAAGAAGATTAAAAAAAATAATAATAATAAATAATTAAAACGAAAGCAAGATAAAAAACAGGGATGAAAAAAAAAACTTAACTACAGTAAAACATTATTCTCTTTTAATGTATGTTATAATAATTATTACGGATCTACATTATTTGGGCCTTTAGTCTATTTTTATACGGTTCGGCAAATTAAGGGTTTTTAATTCGTACTCTCGTGGTATTGGATCGAAGATCAGCTGCTTTCCAAAATTTCTTATTGGATGTTACGCGTTGTCTTCTTATTACCATTCATTTATGGGATTGAAGTATAAAATCCACGATGATAGTTGTTCTTCGTGTCTGTAATTTGCCTCCTTGTTTGTCTCTATCAAAATAATTTATATTCCTCTCTAAGTTATTATCAGTACTTACCTCAAAAAAAAAAAAAAATTAAAGAAGAAAATTTGAGATAATATAAAAATAATTTTATCATTTTTTATATATTCAAACTTTCTCTTCAAAAATGGATTTATATAATATCCAATAAGTAACTTTTGATAGTTAATAAATTATTTTAAACTTCCTTGTAATCAAATTCGATCTCAATAAGCAAACTAAAAAAAAAAGAATTATGAGATTTTTTTTAAACAAACTAAAAAATCTGTTAAATTAAAACATAAACTCATCAAATTCGATCTCATGAAGCAAACTGAAGAAAAATTTACTAAATTCTTTATCTAAACAGACTATAAAAATCTATCAAATTAAAATATAAACTAACCAGATTGGATATCTAAAAGCAAACAGAAAAAAAAATACAATGAAACGAAGTTAAAATCACAAATAATATAATTCTTAAAACCCAATTGATAACATCATAAAATAAAACATACATACTCGCATCAATTTCCACTTCAATTTGCTCTTGATTTGGATCTGGATTGTACAACTTTCTCTTCTCTTCGATTTGCTATTCAATTTACTCTTGATCTGAATCCTTAGAATGTTCAAGATTTTGATTTCTCTCCGAAATTAAGATGAAAGGACGTCGGCTTTTGATTTTTTGCAGCCAAAAACCTAATCTCGCTTTTCTTTTCTTTTTTTTAAGGTAATCCAAGTCTGCTTTTTTTTTTTTCTCTTAAAATTTAAACAGGCCAAATTTTGTAATTACATAACAGCTGAGTTTTGTAGGAGTTTAGAATAAATTGTCAGCGACTAAAAATTATTTTTTTAGTATTATAATATTTCTCTGGATGAAATATGTCTAAATACAAAAGGTCTCTCAAAAATGGAACTAGTGTGATAATCCTTTATTCATTTTTGCGTTGTTGTTAAAAGCGAAACCACCCTTTGCTTTGGGGCTGTGACACCTCCAAATTCAAAATCTTTAATTTAACTCTTGAATTATTGAGCTTTTTTCATACCAATTAAGCATTTTGCGTTCCTCGAAAAGTATTGTATTTTCTTTTCGATTCTTTTAAGTTTCCTTATTTTGAAATTCACCTCAATAGTTTTAAAATTTAACGGGGAGATCCATCCTATGCAAGTTGCTTTGTGTTGTGATATTACTGACTTCATCATTTTTCGAGAGCAATTTGTGCCTTGTTAATTAAACACAATCCACATACTATTTAGTCAAGATCATTAATGGATTGTATTGAATGATCAGATAGATGCACTCATTTGAAGCATCATAAATCAAAGCAGTTAGTTTCCTGTCACCTTCTTACTTGACTAACATTAGCTTGTATTGCAAAGTCTTTCCCTCCTTTAATTCAACCAATTTGTATTTTTGTTTATTTATGAAGAAATAATTTGCACCATTTCTTAAGCATCTTTCTTTTACAAGCTTTTCTAATTTCGTAAACATTCGGATCCATAAAAAATAATAATAATTTTTTTTCATTTGCATAATTTTTTTTCCTGTTTTTCTCTATTTGAAATGAAATAATTACTCGTATGTCACTAGTTATTTTTTCAATATTATAATTTTTTAAAAAAATTTCTCACCATCACCACATATGCAATTATTTTACGCTATTTTCCCGAAACTACAACCCAAAGTAATCTAAATTTTCAAAAGAAAAAAAAAAAAACAAAAAAACCTTGATGAGGAGTCTCTTAAGTGATCAAATCTAATTTCTTTCTTTTTCACTAGGCCGCAAAAGTATAGCGCAGGGCCAAATCCATCAGCCTATCGGGGTCAAATTGGGACTAGAATCCACATCTCATATAAAGAAATACACGTGGCACACAGTTGGGCGCGTTTAACGAACCTTGATGCCCGTCAAAAAACCCATGCAGAGATATCCACTTAAACCCCACTCTGTTTCATTTTGCAAAAACCCTAAAATTCAAGACAAGAAGAAAGAGGGATAAATTTCCGAAAATGTCCAGCTTACTGGATATGTCACTCGACGACCTCATCCGCAAGAGCAAGGAACATGGAGGGCATGACAGTATTTCCAGAAGCAGAGGCACAGGCTCCGGTTCGATTTTGGGTCCAGGCCCAGACCGTTGGGTCGTCCGTCGTAATCTGACCCGACCCAAACCCTACTCGGTAAGACCAGCGTGGGTAATGGAAGTGCAGCAGGAGCCAATAATGTTAGCAGCAAGTGAAGGGTCTAATGGAGAGGCTAAATTATATGTATCAAACTTGGATTATGGTGTTTCTAATGAGGATATTAAGGTACTTAAGTTAAGAACACTATCTTGCTTAAGTTTTTAATTTCAGCCTTATTTTTAAGTGTTGTTAATTGTTGGTTTTTTGTGATATTAGTGATTTTGATGTTTTTATGGGTTTTATTATTTTTTTATGAGTTATATGTATGCAATTTGGGTTTGTCTAGTGGTGTACGAAAGCTTTTATATTTTTGAAAATCTAAACCATTAGGGCTAGTTTTGAGTTTTTAGAAATATTCATATTTTTTATCCAATAGGGACAAGGTACTTGTGCTGAATGTGGATTTTGGTGGGTTCTGGAGTAATATTGGTTTTGACAACAGTGGTAGTGAATAAAGATTTCAAGGTTTGGGCTTGGGGTATGGAGTGTATGTGTGCAGTAGTGCAAGTTCTGTTGGTAGAATATTCATTGTGAGCATTTGATTTGATTTGATTTGATTTTTTTTTATTGTTTTTTTGGTAGAGGGGCTTATTAATATGGTGTAGATTCCTCTTCAGCATCGTACCGCTAAAAAGTAGCTTTTGAGAGAGATTTAAGAGTCTTGTTATGATCATTACTGAAGTTCCATGATGATTTTCAAAAAAGGGCAGGAGGCTCTATGTTGTAATGTGCCTTATATTATGGCAAGTCTTTTTACAAGATGCAAGAGTTTGAGGACTGTGGATACATCATTTTAACATATATTAGTCCCTATACAGGTGCTTTTCTCTGAGGTTGGTGAATTGTTGAGGTACTCACTTCATTATGATATGAGTGGGAGATCCAAGGTATCTTCTTAGATTGATTTTTTACTTTTATTCAAGAAGTTTTAATGTGTGTCCCTGTGGCTTAAAAAAAGTTCTCTCTTTCAGGGAACAGCTGAAGTTGTATTTGCACGCCAAATAGATGCTCTAGCGGCCATCAAGAGATACAATAATGTTCAGCTTGATGGGAAGCCACTGAAAATTGAGCTTGTAGGAGTTAATATCATAACTCCTGTTCCTGTGCCCGTAATTTCAACTACCAACTTGGCAAAACCAAATGGTTCTGTTAGAAGGTACAACTTTACTGATGCTTATTCTAGTTGTTATTACCTATTTATTAACAAATAATGTGCAGCATAATAAATTAACAAACAATGCACATGTGGAAAAACCACAGAAAATTCTTAAGATTAGGATGCTATTCAAACTTGGACCCAATACTTTCATCCATTCACTGGGTCTTTTCAATCGAGGTGGAAAAGGCAATTGAAAATAAATTGTTGAGCGGATATGCAGAAACATTGAGTCTGACCTTGCTGTATGCATTTCTGTTTGAGGCCATATCTAGCATTGTGGGCTTCGCGCTGTAAATTCTATAAGCACGGGCCTCCCATGGAAATCCCCCATCCAGTTCATGGTCTTTTCTTGGATGATGGTAATATATATATATATATATATATATATGAACTTGCTTTAAAACTTGTGGTTCACTGGGGTAAAATAATTGATGGTTGAATGAATGTGATCAAGCCAAGAATGGCTTTTGTTGACAGAGAGATTGTCCAAGACGAGAAGAAGGAGCACAGCATTGAATAATCTCAAAGTGCATTCTCTGTGTAGACAGACCTAGTTGACTAAAGTGCTACCCTAAACATGTTCCCTGATCTATATTTTGATCACTAGGGTTTATGCTGTTGCGTATTTGAGGTGTTCAAGTTGATGCTTCCTGAAGAGACTTTAGGAAACTCTGATTGACTCATTAAATGTGATTTCTGTTAAGTTAGTGAAGGAAAAAGAAAGTTTAGAAGTGCTAAACAGTGGCATGATGTCATTGCATTAGCAATATTTGCATCATTGCATGTATGCATTTGATGCAAAGTAGCGACATAATCCATCAGGTGGGGTAGAATAATGCAACGTAACATCTAATAGTGACTAATTGGAAAGAATAGAAAGAAAGAAAGAAATAAAAAGGGTAATGTATTTCATTATATGGTGTATGAATATCTCATTTTGTTATTACTGGTATTACGCCTGTATCTTACACTTCTCTGTTTGGGGGTGGCCTTAGTTTTCAGGGGAACTTGCATTTTGGTGTTTTTCATTGGTATATCAATGTATGTGATCTTTGAATTGTGAAGGAGAGTTGACTCATTTTTTTAATCCTTTGTTTTGCATCTGTTATTGCTAGCAGTACAATACGCCTCATCTCAATGAGCAAATTTTCATTTTTGACTGGACAGTGTTCATGAAAGAATTGGTGCTAGGGGAAGGGGCCATGGTGGCAGCAGCGGCAATGGCAGCAGTGTTCAAGAATTTGCCAGGGGCCATGGGCAAGGGAGACACCGTGTCGAGAAGCTAACTGCAGAATCACTTGATTCTGACTTGGACAGATACCACTTTGAAGCCATGAAACTAAAGTGATTTCACCTACTAGTTTAGGATATTTGCTCGCATATTCATTTTTCATTGTACTGTCTGTTTGTAGGTTCTACTAGTCTTTTTGGGGTTGGAAATAAGAATTTAGATACAAGCACATCGTTTCATAGGATCTTGGTATAACCAGAGGAGCTTTAGTTAATAGTTGCGTTTAACACCACCATTTTGTTTGGAAATATGTGCAGTGTTGTGCTATTTCTGTTCATGATTTTGGCACCTAGTGCTTATCATATATACTGCAGGATGAAAAGCTCACATTACAGCATCTTCTGACTGTCATGTACAGTATTATGGTTTTGTGAAAGATGTGCAACATAAATTGCCAATCTATGGTTCTTACTACTTGTCCTGCCATATTTGTAGCCTTATGAAAAATGATGCGGCTCATTTGGCTGGGTTCATTTTGCTATAATGTTTTGCAACGAGGAAACATCAGTCTTGTGGCTTCTATAGTTCAATACACCTGTAAAGCCTCATTTTACTTTAATGAAAACTCTATGCATGATCAAAACGCAATACTGACCTGACCAAACGCAATTCTGACCTGACGGATGATCATGCCAAAATGCATTTCAAACCAATTGATTATTCCTCCTCTACATTCTACAGGTTCTTTCTCCAAAAGGCATATAGAGGTCTCCGAAGGGCACATAGACGCTGCCTCTTGTCTTTGATTTATGGTTAAACAGAAATTACTTTCCATTAGAGGTCTAGTTATATGTAAAGTTGCAACTGGTTTGAAGTTCCATAACAAGAAAACTCAAATTTCCGTACAAAATCCACAACACTGCTGAACTTCAGTTAGTGAAGCGGCCACTGCGATCATCCATGGAATGGAAAACCATTAATGAAGTGCCTCTAAAGAATTAATGAACTAGTTAAGAGACGGATTCTAGCATCAATTGACAATCAAGATCAATGTCAACAAATAAAGAGAATAAAAAAGGCGCCAACTCAGACTTTTTTTTAATTCAGCTTGCACACTCAAAACTCTAAGCAAAATAAAATTTCTCAATAGCCACTATACAAAGAATCACACCAAGTTGGAGGAGGTGCATCAGAAAGGAAGAAAAATTACAAATTTACAGAACCTTAAAAAAAAAATACAGGCACTATGAAGGCAGCCTAAATTACATTTCCTAAAAATACAGCTGGAGAGGCTTGTGATCCAGGTCAGCTAGCACCTTCAGGTCCGGGTCACCAAGCCTACACAATCCAGTGTCTTGTCCCGACAAAATTGATAACCTCTTTGAGTTAAAAACCAACTCCAAGGTTTTTATTAAGAATGGTGGCTGTGTAAAAAAGGAAGCCGCTATTTAATACTGCCCTTGGTAACAAAAAATTAAATAAATAAAATAAGGCCGAGAGGAATCATGAATCTGTACAAAAAGAACAGGTTGTCTTGAAGCTGCCTGGAAGGAAGCCTTCTCTAAAAATTATGCACACAATAACTCCATCTACATGAAAAAGATATATTCATCAGTACAGGTAAATGACAAAATTGCGACCCAAATGAATTTTCTCTCTTAGAACTTAAATTCCATGACAGAAAACTTACAAGTTTCATTAAAGTTGTTATGCATCTAAAAGAATTATAAGTTTGGACATAAAAACAAAAAGGCCAATTCCATGACATAAAAACTAAAAGAATTAACAGTTAGGAACTACAGAAAGTGTATCTTTAAAAATATTTGCAGGAAGTTTTAGAGCTTCGGCCAATAACATCATGGTTTCAAGCCCAAAACATTTACGATTACATCTGACAATCGCCCTTAAATGTGAACCTATAAAGAACTTTTAAGATTTCATGCATGCAAAGATGGAGAGGTGATATTCAGAAGCACAATAAACAAGTGAAAAATACACAAATAGCAATAAAAAATTGAGGACTGAAGACAAATACCTGATTATATTTTAAATATCCGAACTCTGTTAGATTTAAGTGGCAAAAACCAACGACTGGAATTGTTGAATAGGTTACTCCAAGAAGTTCCTGAAAATCTTTTAATCTGGTCAATCTTTTAGTGCCTGCCGCCTGTTCAAACCTTCAGATATATTTCAACATGCCACACCAATTGAAAAATCACTCGGTCTGTTTAATGCATGAACTATCGTGCGACAATTGAAGAGGCAACTGATCTTGGAACGTGTATAGTCCACAGTGATTTCTCAGCTTCACCAATTTCTCAGTTCGTCTTGTGTCCAGAGCCTTTTCTTATTTCACTGGTACATGGGGGAGGAAGTCTAGAGACCTACTCCACTTTAACCAAGTATTTTGAAGGGCTGAAGTACTTCCATATAACAGATACCAACTTATGTTATTGCATGCCTAAAATAATAGGCATAGCCCAATTATGAATCTTGAAGGCTTTGTCAAATGTCCCCGGGTGAATGAAAGATCATGAGTGACAAGAGTAAAGAACTTCAAATTACTCAGCGTTGCAGTGTCTCCGAGAGTCATTATAGCCCATCATTTGAGAGTTGAAGCAGGCCACGCATCTGAAGGTATGGATTTTCCAACAGCTTCTCATTGTTGCTCTGCATAAAACAAAAGCAAGCACTCAAGGATGTTTTAACTGCTATTTCATGATTAGAACAACTGGAATACAACAGAACTAGACATTGTCATAATGAAACTTTATGAGAACTTATCAATGTTATATGTCAATACTTCAAACACAAGCTGGTCATACAATGGTCTCCCCTCAGACATCTCACCCCTGATCAGCTTACCATATTAGCATTCCCAACTGAGAATAGTCTCAGACAAATATTCAAATTTTCATTCTCACATATTAACAACTTTTCCCATTTGGTGAGCCTTCCATACTTAAAATTGCATCATTACTTCAAGAAAAAATAAAGCCTTACCTGCTGTGCTTTAAAGATGAGATTCTGCAGCCTGTGCTTGTACTCGTCAGGTTTTTCTGTCATCATTCTCTGAAAAATCCAGATTTGAAGGATTCAGAAAAATTCAACTTACAATAAGAAAAACAATTCAAGTTTTCTAGAGGGGGAAGACAGTATCTTGCCTTTAAAAGAAAAGATGAAGAGTAATACGCTACCCTTGAATCTGTATCATCTAAAAGTCCCCTGCCAGAAACAAAGAGCCAAAAGTGTTGGCACAATTTAAACAAACGCATGGCAAATCATACCTAGGAAATAGAGAAATGAGGATTTACCAAAAAAATTCTTCTCCACCAACATCTTGAAAAGCAGAAGGATCTGCTGTGCATTTACCGATTAGAAGCAATAGAAGAGTTGCCCTGATATCTGATGCTGCACCAGGAAGGTTTCCTCTTCCTTTGCTTCCAACAGCAACACCCAAAGCAATATTATCTGTTGCTGCACCAGCTAGCTGAATAAGTGGCCAATAAAATAATGCAGCAGGAACACGGGCAACCAATTGTATAGGAACAATAGCCTGTCCTTGGAGAAGCATCGCTGCCATTGATGCGTTCTTGCATATCAGAGAACTATTAATGCTGTAGCTGGATCTGGTATCAGCTTCTTCCATGAATTCATTCCATCGAGAGTCATCTAGTTGTGAGATGCGCTCACCGGAAATTTTATTTTCATCCGTTCCACTATAAACTTTACTTTTTTGCATTCCTTCACCATTTGGGATTGCAGTTGTAGGGAGAACTTTCAGGCACAATTGAGAGAACAATATGTCACACATCTGCTTAGAAACACCAATGGAAAATGAGTAGTGACAAATAAAGATTTTAGGAGAATTTAAACATGGTATGTATTATGAATTGAAAGATCAAAAAAGCAGATACAAGCAATTTAATTCCTGCAACCAAGTCATTTTAAAAGAAGAAAGAACATAGTTGCTTCCCGGACTGAAGATCAGATTGTCAATAGAAAACATTGTATTATATTGCATCTTTTATTTTACTTTTTTTATTTCTGAGATACTGGTACCGATGCATCCTTTAATTTTCAGGACCCCTTGAGTACAAGGAAAGATGCAAAGTATTTGACAAAACTGCATTAATATTCAGATAATTCAGCATATTAATCTCCAGGACATTTAAGGAAAAACAAACAAAATATTAGCAATCCAACAATCTAGTCAGATTATTCATCAAAAAAAAAAAAAAAAACTATCTAGGTAAAATTATTCTATGACAAAAAAAAAGATGATAAATAGATTAGGCTGATCATATCTTCTTCTTCTTCTTATTTACTTTTGCACCATAGGCATTGTCCCTGATATCAGGAAGTTATTTAGGTTGGTTAATTGTTGTAGTAGTTGACCAACAAATTACCTTCAAAATGTTGATGCGATCCGTTTCGTTTATTTGAGCCACCAAGGATAGAGCCTTGCTCATAATGTCTATCACAGCATTTGCTTTCTCAAGTCGGCTACCTGCATGCTCGTGACTGGCATTGCTGCTAGTCGGTTGTTGCATTTCATTCTCGTCTAACAAAAATTTGCATCGCATGAGAAGTCTCTCTAATACAAACAGGAAACCCCATCTGATGATATTATGTTTGGACTTCAAAAGTCCACACAAAAGCCGAATTGACAAAGGAACATCTGAAGCAACTGAAGAATCATGTTCACCAGCATAGGCAATTTTCCGCTGCAATTCTTTGACATTTGACCACACATTTACGTCCCTTCCCTCAGTAATTTCGGCAATAAGCAAATCACCCAACCAGGTATAGCCATTCTGACGGTAAGCAATCCTTTCTGAGTGAATAAGAGAATGCAAAGTGGCCCATGATAATTTTGCTTTCATGCCAACACCATTTCTTAGAACTGCACCCTCTACGTTTTCCAGAAACTTGTAAGATTGAGTTATTTCAATCAGATGAGAGAACTCTTTGTCCAAATGAGTAAAGCAACTAATTATTGCATTAAATTTCTCTGTAATATTCTCCAAGAGCTGCAAGAAACAAACTAGATTCAGAAAGAAGCCAATAATAAACAAACTGTAATCAATCAGTTCATGGTACAATATATATGTGCCTTATAAAGTCCATGAACTGGTGCATTATAAATGTTATGCAATTTAATGAGATAAGCATAAATTACATTGTACAATACTTAAGATGTGTATGTCAATGTGTGATGCAGTGTACACATCTGCACCAATCCAACACCAGCACAGCATAGTGGCGGTGCCAAAAGCTAGGCATGGAATATCTAGATAATGCAGCAGAAATTTATAAACATTATTTTTCGTATTTTAATTGATTCGATCTCCTGCTTACCATATTTAGTCGCTCATTATTGGGATATCTAGATAATGCAGCAGAAATTGATCTTCTCAGAAGCTCCCCAATGCCTTCCAAACCCAGCTTAACGGCAATGTAAAGAGCTTCAGGTGCATTAGCAAGAGTGAGGAGAGTTGCAATAGGTTGAATCTCATCATCACTATATTCAGACACCCCAGCAGCTTTGCATGCTTCATTTATTTGATGCAACACATAGTCAAAAAGAATCAAGTATAGATTTCTCCTCTCTTCTCTCAAGTTAGCCAGAGAATACTGCAAAACATAACAAAAGATATGGGTAAAGATGTAAAAGGTGCAACAGGATTGATTATAACTACTAATGCCTATAGTTTACATCAAGCAAAGGATTAATGATTTGCATACCTCATGGAAAATAAACTCAATTCCCCCAATCAGGTCAAGCTGGTCTATGAGAAACACTGGGCTCATTGAAACAGTCATCATAGACCCATCAGAAACTTGATAAAACATGTTCGTTAACATGCAAATGAGCTTGCTATGGACCAACTCTGCCCAAGAATTCTTTCTGCTAGTCTCTAATAAGGCTTTAATTACCTGAAAGTGGATGCATAAAAATTTGTCAATCAAACTCCTGAAGATGCTTAGTTAAGCTATTGATTAGGAGATCTGAATGCTAGATAGGACAAGTAAAAACTGTGGCAGCATGCTATGCGAAGAGGAATCTACATCGAGCCATAAAAAAAAAAAAAAAAGAATTGGAACTAACAGCTTATGAAGTTAACAACACGTAAAAATATTACATCCCTCTAGTTTGTCTTTGTTTTACACTATTTATAATTCGAGGAGCAATTCACCATCCAACACAGCACAAACATGAACATGACAAGAGCAGCAATAAACAGAGACAAAAGTCTTAGCTGGTCAAAGCAGAGTAATAAAGAGAAAAATAAGAAAAATGCATTCCCATCACAGTAGCATGTAGTAGGAAAGTTTGGAGGATTCCTTCTGTGAAGCCAATATGCAATGGTTGCAATAAAAACAGACGGTTAAATGAAGAAAGGGGATAAGAAAGTTGCATTTTCACGATGCTACCCTGAAGTAGTCAAGCTAGGAAAGAAATGCAAGCTTACCCTTATGTCAAGGCCTTCTAATCGGTTTCTCAAGATTTTGCCTCTATCACATACAAAATAAAGTAAACAGCTTAAAGCAGAAGCCCAAACAGATTCTTCCTTCTCCTCTGTCTGATAAAACACATTCAAGGCATCAGAGATTAAAACGTTATACAAACAAACATGGGAACTTGAGGTTAACAATAAAAAAATCCAAGAAATTACCTCTACTTTGCATAAAGGTGAAAAAAATAAAGTGTACATCAACTAACCAAAAACTTGCTTAAAATGATGCCAAATGGAACTGTACCTGGACAAGAAGAAGAAGTATCTCGTATAAAATATTTAAAATCCATGACTCAAAGTTATCAATTGCTGATGAAGCGCCCAACTTGTTAACAGAATCTGCTTTCTGGTTCCCCTCTGTTGGAAGTTGTTCTTCACAGTCAAAAAATGATTCTTGCGAATACTCTTCTTCAATTGTAGAAGTATCATTGATCAACATTGGTTCCAACAAAAGAGCATGCACCCCGAGGTTCAGAATTAAATCAAAGGCACGGACCCTACAAGCAGCTTTTGAAGAATTAAGCATTTCCTGAAAGATAAATTCAACAAAAAAAGAAAAAAAGAAAAAAAAAGAAAGAGGAATCAGAAGCTTCCACCAACTAATCATAATAAAAAGAATCAATATTTTATTGATGCAGCACCTCAAGCATAGACAGAGTGAGAGGAGCAGCTGTCCCAGAGTCCAAAACATACCTACAAATAAAAAAAAAAAACACCTCAGGTGACCTATAAGCAGTAATCATGCAAAGTTCTTTCTTAAAGAAAACACATTAAATGAACCCCTGGGAAAACTAAACCAGTGGAACTCTGGTAACTTTTTATGAGACATTTGCTTCTATTTGTCGTAATCTTGGGTCAATAAAAGTTATGTTCAAGTCAATTTAACTGCAAGAAATGTTTGATCAAATTTAATTATTTTAATTTGCTTGAATAGATATTTGATACTATTTTTGTTGCAACTTCAATCTCCAAAGCTACAACAATGGATCAACAGTAAAAAAAAATAAAAATAGATGTCCATGTTAACTAAACATGAAACACATTATTGGAAAAATTAAAATTTGCACCATTTACAATGACAAATCATCCTACTAAAGCACCCTATTTGAAGATTAACTTTGTTACCCAAAAGAGAATTATTAAAATTCGCAATTACATATCACATTTTTTTTTATCAAAGATTTATAATTGAAACAACTCCATTCTAATATCACTAATCTTGGTGAGCTAAAAATTTTCATGTTTCTTAGCCTGTCTAATGGCATTAACTTCCCAGTAGTTGTACACCGCCATCCTACCCAGCCATATTGCATTCCAGGGAAGTACATATTTTAGGTAACTCACTCCCCAGCGTAGGTTCACTAAAGCCACTAATATTTTATTGTTTCCAAGACAATTATAATCACATGAAGTCGCCATTGCAAATTTGAAAAGCTCCAACCTTTTCATGTGGATGAGAATCTATGAATAGGATATTTAACAAATGATTGCATTAACTAATCATGTAAAGAGCGTGAGTTTGTACGAGTGTACAGATAGATGGCAGAAGATGAGGTGCCAGGTTGAGCATTGAATATACAAGAAAAAGAAAACAATACTAGCTAATAAATCATAAATGAATTAAAACTTAAAACTTACATGTCAATGACAAGTTTAATAAGAACACTCACAGCCACATCCATTGACGGCTTTCCACTGTTATTACTTAATCTAGATGATATGGTCAAATGATTGGCACTAGGAGAATATGTCTCTGAGCTAACTGCAGCAATGACCTCACATACTTCGGCAGGGTTTAATCGTAAAGGTTGTTGTTCACTGATAACAATTAAAAAGAAAAAGATGAGAGAAAGGGGAGTAGTTGAATGAAATACCCTGAACTCACAACAGAAAAAGAACTTGGGCATTAAAATCAAAAACTAGAAAAATGAAGCCACCAGCAGAAAACTATTATAAAGATAAAGGTGTTTGTTTAATTTTCAAGAATCAACTTCAAAAGAACATTATGGATGTATGAAAAATGTAGTTATAGGACTGCATATAACAAGAGCAAAGGTAGAGGTGCATAGGTTTAGGAACGCGCAAAAAATAGGACATTTCATGTCATTATGGAAATGCTGATAAAGGTTATGTCATAACAGGGGAACCAAAAGTGATTCCAGTCACAAATACATGACCATATAAAGTTGAATATAAAAAAACAAGACCTGGTATCCTAGATGTGAAGAGAACATTGGAACCATAACCGAGAGGTTTTGTCCTTTTGTACCTGTAGTGACGATACTGGAAGAGTGGTCGAGCACGTGGGCGGAACGTGGTCACAGGAGAATCCTCCCTGAAACAGGAATCAATTTGTTCAGAAGTATTATCAACACTTTCATACCAAAGTTATGTTTATTATCATCATCTACGCCATGGTAATAAATTTCAAGTAAGAGGTATATGTCATTTGATCAAACTAAATGGTGAACAACCAACCTAATCTCCAAATTAGAGCACAAGTTACTCTACTATCACACAAACAACTTGGCAACCTTTATCATGCAACTTTTCCATAGCACAAAATTAAGTCGCTAGTGTATGTTTAAGGATGAAATGAGTTTACGCGTAAAGAAAAAACTAATCGTAATTGGAACAAAATTCTCCAGGCTTGACAAAGAAATAGTTTGAGTAAGAAGAACATGCCAGATTTGGCGAGGTCCTGCTTTACTGCGCTTAGATGCTGTTATTGCTCTCAAGTGGTGGCGAGCTGAGGCTGAATTGGTAATTGTAGTGACCGATGAAGGCTGCAACAGTTGATCAAGATAAGGCATATCAGCTGTTCCAAAATATTTCCAAGGCTGACCCTTCATTTTAGCTTCCATGTCTCCTACAAGTAGAGCAGCAGCACCTAATTCTAGGAATTTGCATATGCTCACGTCATGGAGATCCACAGGACGATCACTGCAATACCAAATAGCACATAACCAATGTAGAAAGCAACAGAATACGAGCCCTCACCATAATTAAACAACAAAAGAAAAAGGTTGACCAAGCACAAAAGTTGGTTACCTCTCAGTTGATAGAAATGGTCCCCCAACCCAACGCCACTTCAAAACATCAACCGCAATGTAATCAAGATCCTCTGCCACCTCAGCATTTTCAACATTTGATAAGTTTGAAACAGGTAAAGTGGTAGCATCTTTCTTCTCTGAGGATTCCACCCCACTTGCAGAGCTTAATTGGGAATTAAAAGATCTACTCAACAAAGATGACAGAGTTGGAAGTGACTGTCTTGACACAGAGGGAGCTCCAGCAAAAGCTGCTGGTTGGAAAGATCGCTTTGGAATATGTTGGCCCACAAGGGAACGCACATAGTTTAATGACTTTACAAGAGCTCCAGAAGCAAAAATGTATACAGGAGGAGAAGGTGAATAATTTGTAGAAGTTGATGAAACAGATTGTTGATTTAGAGATCCAGACCACGTTGACGATCTTCGTTTTAGGCTAATATCACACTCAGCAATTATGCTCACACAAAACCGATCAATCTGAAATAATGTCTCCTCACTAGGTTTATATCTGAGGCAAAAGAAAAAAAAAAGATCATAAACTAAACATAGAATAACAGAGCTGACTACTTCATAACAGGGCACATATGCAGCAGAGAAAATAATTTCCTGTCAGATGCACCCAGTATGGGACATGCATCCTGGCCTTCAATCCAATTATGTATTAACAAAATAATTGATAAACAAACGAAGGTTCTTCTTCCCAAATTTAAAGGAGTTGACTAGAACGCAGTTCAATAAAACCTAGTCTGACTAGCAGCCAAGGAGATGTTTGTGCAGGAAATCATTGAAAGGAAAACCCAAAACTCCACATATTCAAATAAAATCTAGGGCAGATGTGGGAGGGAAGCACTTTGATCACCCAAGATTTCTTTCTCCAATCCAGTTAATGCATCTATCTCATTTTTTTCATCTCACTCACTAAAATCTTTGTAATCTGCTGTTACGATAAACCGGCAAGTGCACTTAGTTTTCAGTTTAACTTGATGCCAAAAATTTCATGAGCTTATGCACCACGTAGCATAGAGTCCATAATGCCACCATTGTTGTAACCAAAGGGAGAAAAATCACATAAAGAAGAATGAGATAGTCGCATATCACCAGCGATGGCTCACATGTGAAAGACTGCATATTGAAGATGATTGTCTATTCTACATGCAACATGCTAATAGGAAACAACTCTGCGCAAGTACAACATACCGTAGAAGGTGTCGCTTCAAAAGTGCCACACATCTTCCAACTACTGCCGGACTGGTACGAATTAAAACCATGTCAGTGGTAAAAGACTTAACATTATAACAGTTACTATGATACAAAATATGCTCAAAGCAAAACATAAGAAATAAAAACGGAAAGTTTGCATCAGGAAACAACCCTTAGCTCATTAAGTAGAAAAAAATACACAAACATGCATCAAATATTCGGCAGCACACTAAAACTAAACTGGGAATACAACCATGACGAGCAGTTTTTTAGCCTTCTGTAGAGTTGAATATAGCAAATTAAAGAAGTATCAGAGTCTTAACATATTGCAGATGAAAGCTCCATAATATGGAAACTTGCAGTAGATGATGTGAAAGTAAGTTCAGCAATATTCCTAAACTGGGGGTTGATTTCACATATTCATTTAGCAAAAGAGAAAAGTCTCAAACAGAATAATACTCTGTCGATAAGGGGTCAACTTGTTTCAGAGCGCTTCACTTGAAAAACAGATGATGACAACCTTAATTTTACATTTGGCATTTACAAGGACATTGACAATCTGGTGTGTGAGGTTGCAACAATTCTGATGGTGTTGAACTTATTCTGCAGAATTGAGTTGCTTATCTTGGACTTATTTTTTGGTTGTACGTCTTCCTTCTCATGTTTTTTTTTCCCAGCGGACCTTTTTTCTATTTATAGAAAACAGAGCATGATAAAAATCAAGATGGTTCAATGCACCAGGTGCGACCAGCTATAAAGTTGAAAGCTTACTGTTCCTCCCCCTCTCCTTGCCCTCAAAAATGTTCCATGCCAAAAATCTCCTTTATATATGCACCTGATCATGCCTTACACGTATTTATGCACACAGGACAGCACATCAATTTCATTTCTTTCTCACAAGATATTTACGATTCCTGTTTCTCTAATTCCATCTAATGCATTAAATGGGAATAGGATGCCATGTCACTCATTTCTATGTGCAAAGCAAAAGAAAATAAGTTGAGAATCTACACTGTGAAAGAAAAAGAAACAATGCATTTACCTGCGTTCCCTCTCTGAAATTGTATGTTCTAGAATTACACCATAAGCCAGGTCAGTAGTTGTAGGGGCTGCCAGATAATCCTGCAATTTGTTCAGAAGTCGTAAATTCAAAACTGTATCCCATATACATCAATTTTAATAGCAGAATGTCACCCTAATTTGTTGGTTCGTGTGATTTTGAACCAAACAATTAACCAAATTCAATCCCTCATTTACCACCTCAGCAAAAGCCTAATTGCCAAGGGTGATGAACTATTATTACAAAACAGTTTATAAGGGAAGCAAAAGGTCTTTGAAAACTGAAATATGTATGTTCATTAATGCCAGATGTATATGCGTAAGAAAAGATGGTACATCTGAGGCACTATTTGGGATGCAGAAACAATGATCAAATCAAAAGAGTCACTTGAAGAAAATGATTCAGTATGTGGGTTCACAATGTCCTTTCCTTTCTCTGATTCTTCATATGGGATTTCAACAAAGGGACGACTACTGTGAAAATCGAATGCATTCAGTTAAGTCACAACCTAACAACGAATGCATTTCATTAGATACAAAATAAAACATCCAGCAACTGCCAATGAATCTGATCCAATTTACACTAATAGTTACTTAAAACTACAAAAAGCAATAAATAATTCAAGCACCATCAATCGTCAAATACCATAAGTGGCAACAATTTAGTAGAGTAGGAATCAAAAGCTAACAAATACGGCAAAAGGCACAACAAATGATAACTTTTTTCATAAAGTCAATCACAGAAAATTACTGAAATTAGAATAAACCAAATCAACTACCCATCTCCAAACAAAAAACTAAATGCACTAAAATTCAACCCGAATTTCTCTCAAGAATCTCACTTTGCACATGAATTCCATGTTTGGCTCCAAAGAAAATGCAAAAACAAATCCAAATTGAAACCAAATTCCAATTTTCTCTCACTTGCCACTTAAGAAATCAATAATCTTTCACTTACTAAGCCCAAAAAAAAAAAATTCCCTCATTTTAGCACATAAATCTCAAATTAATAGCTAAAATAGTAAATTAAATAAAAAATAAACGCAAATAAGAAATCAGCAACTTCAAGATCCAATCAAAATCAAAAACTTACTCGAAGCGTTCTAGAAGCATCTGTCAAAGTAACAGAGGAAGTTCCATGGTGAGAAGTGGCGACAACAGCGGAGGAGGACAAACAATCAGCAACGGCACGGCGGAGCAGCTCGGGCGGCTTCTTTAAAGACGAAGATCTCAGCCTTGAAACACCACCAAACTGGAGCTGTAGCCTGGAGCTACCAGGACTATTTCGTGATGGACTGAAGGTCGACATTGAAATTGACGGAGATTGGTGCACCAAATCTCTGTGCAACTATCGGGAGAAAAAAGCTACAATCTAAATTAATTTAAAAGAGCGAGTCATTCTTCTGCCATAGTAAGGTAGTCTTCTCTGCATTTGTTTACGCTGTAAGTGAATAGAGAAGGAAAAAGAGTAAGAGAAAGAGAAAGATGGGGAATGGAATTAGAGGAAGGAGGAAGGGTTGGATTGATCTATTTTTGTTAATAAGAAAAAAAATCTGGAAAGGAAATTCGTTGGAGATGTGTATTATTAGCTGGAAGAATATGCGTAGTTTTATGAGGGGGCAAGTATTATTAGCTGGCAAGCGCTAAATCCTGTTGTTTTCACTTTCGTAAGTGGGACGGAGGAGAGGAGAAAAGAAACCAAGGAAAGTATGAAATGCGTCAAATTAATTTGTGTTTAATTGATGTGGAGATAGTGATTATTATGAGTATGAGTAATTAAGGATCCGCACCGTTTTATGAGGTGGTTTTTTAATTTTTTTTTCCGGTTAGAATCTTCAATTCGTTGGGTGTAAAATACAGTGGCTTTAATTATTTCAGGTCTTTTTTTTTTTATATTTAGATGCAAAACTAGTTGGATACTCGTCTTACGTTACGGGTAGACAATCATTATATAAATAGGGTTAACGATTCTTATAGTGTAACGCAAATAGAAAGTTTTATTTTTTATTATTAATATAAATTGAATCTATATATAGTTAATTTCTAATGAAACTAATGATATATATATATATATAACCACCTAAATTGTATAAATATATTGAAGTCAATAGATTAAAGTAAAACAAAATTGATTTTGTTAAATTCTGAATAAATATATATAAAAAAATAAAACTTGTGAATTTTTTGAACTTATTATTATTTAAAAAAATTGAGTTAAATTATCTAAAACATACTTTTACCCCTCTCTCTCTCTCTCTCTCTCTCTCTCTCTCTCTCTCTCTCTCTCTCTCTCTCTCTCTCTCTCTCTCTCTGTGTGTGTGTGTGTGTGTGTATAAGTAAAACACTCATTTAAAAATATAAAAATAATTTATTATATAAATTATAATAATATATTTTTAAAAAATAAAACATTGACTTTCTAAGATTTTATTCCAAAATTCATATATTAAAAAACCAAATTTATTAACAAACAAAATTATACCAAAAAAATTAAAAAATTAATTTAATGAGAAATTTAATAAGAAACAAATAATTGAAGAAATAAATTTCAACAACAAGAATAAAATAATTAGATATGTATGTTGATATCAATGTCAAATATATAATTAACATTGGTTCATGGATATTAAAGGGACCAATAATATATATGTTTTATTTTCCAACAAATGGACCAATTATGTATAGCCGCTTAACTTGTACAACACTTGTTGAAGATCCGTTATGCTATGACAATATGTATATTCTTTTAAGGGTTTCCTTTTACATCTTGGTGATTCAATTCTAAAATAATCAAGATTTAAAATAATCGACCAACTTTTTTTTATTCTATCATGAGATTGGTGTCCGAATTTTAAAAATATAAAATAAATTATAAGAAGAAGAAAAAAAAGAGCAGGGTCATGCCTGGTTGGTATATATATATATATATATAACCAAATAAAAATGTGAATTTTTTAAACTAATTATTAATTTTTTGAAAAAAAAAACCAAGTCGATTAATTTTTTAACTTATTATTTTTAAAAAAATTAAATTAAATTATTAAAAACACACTTTTAACTCTTTCTCTCTCATTTGAATTTATATAAGCAATAATGACATTTTCACATAAAAATCATAAAAATAATCAATAATATAAATTATAATAATATATCTTAACAAATGAAACAATCATGTTCCAACATTTTATTTCAAAAGTCATATATAAAAAAAAAATTATCAACAAATTAAGAAAGAAATGATAAACTAAATTCCAACAGATCCAACCTCGTTAAAAAAAAATAAAAACAAGGGATGCCAACAAGGAAAAAAAAAGCCACGATGAATCGGACTATGAAGAATGCTATAGCAATAGGACTATGAATGACCAACTAAACGGGACGGTAAGTAGATGTTTTGTTTTTGAAAATTAATGTAAATCAAATCTATATATAAAGCGAACTTATTTTACCTATATATTCATTAATAAAATAATTTATAATATTAGTATAAAACTATTGTATTTGAATAATTAAGAGATCGTATCAAAACACTAATTAAATTATTTTATTTAAAAATATAAATTTTAAAATATGAAAAAATAAATAACAAATAATTGATGTTACGTGTGCGGATATAATTAATTTTTAATAAAACTATATATATCATACTTGACGATTTAGAGTATATAAAATAAATAAATAAATATAAAAAAATCCACTTAAATCGCATGGAATACATCGAAGTAAATAAATTTAAATAAAAACTACCGTAAATTTGGTTTCGATAAATTTTGATTATATATAATCAAATAAAACTTGTGAATTTTTTAACTAATTATTTTTTTAAAAAATAGAGCATTATTATTTTTTTAACTGATTATCATTTTTTAAAGAAAATTAAGTCAAATTATCTAAAATACACTTTTAGCTCTCTCTCTCTCCCACTCATTATATATATATATATTACTTAGCGGACTCGAGTATATAAAATAAATAAATAAATAAAAATATGAAAAAATCCACTTAAATTGCATAAAATATATGGAAGTGAATAGATTTAAATAAAAATTATTATAAAATTGATTTCGATAAATTATATATATATTACTTAGTAGACTCGGAGTATATAAAACATATAAAATGTATATATAAAAAAACTCATTTAAACTGCATAGAATACATCGAGTGAATAGATTTAAATAAAAACTGCTATAAAATTAGTTTCGATAAATTCTATATATATATATATATATAATATGAATTTTTTAACTAATTATTAATTTTTTCCTTTAAAAAAAAAGGAGGAGGCCAACCATTAAAAGGGAAAAAAAATGATACTGCCATGGTGAATGACAGGCCAACTTTTTAAGAAAAGAAAAAAAGTGGAGGCCAGCCCAGGAAAAAAGAAGAAGAAGAAGAGTCTAGCTCGGGAAAAAAAAATAAAAATAGAGATGACCAACTCGAATTTACATACTTTCATCTGTACCATAAGAAATGCAATAAAATTTTGTTCAATAAAATCATCCACGAATCTTTTTAGATATGTTTTTGTCATGGTCTAAATTAACTGAATGCTTTACTGATCTTATTAATTTTAAATATGCTGTTTTTTTTTTTTAAAAAAAGAAAGAAATGCAGCTATAATTCTGTGAGGTATTTGATGATTTAGCATGACCATGCACTCCTGTAGGTTTTTTATTATTCTTAAAAAAAAAAAAAAAAAAGGAGGCCAGCCCAAAAAAAAAAAAAGAGGTCAGCCCGGAAAAAATTTAACGACAGCCCAGCCATTTGAAAAAAGAAAAATAAGAAAACCAAAGGGACTAATTGATTTATTTCTTAAAGAATGAGGACCAAGATGTAAAACAAAACATGAATAGGGACTTCGAGTGTTTAACTACAGTGAATGAATATTTATAACCCCATTTCTTCTAGTTTTTTTTTTTAATTTAATAGGCGTGTACGTGAGAAAATATTTTATTCTAGCCAGTTCTCCTTTTTCTTTTTTTCTTTTTTTCACTGCTTTGAAGAATGTATGGGGAGCATGGTGATAATTAAATTGATTGGGAAGCATAAAAGCTTGAAAATTATATTATTTTTATTGTTAGCGGGAATTATTTTGGGTTAGTGACTGGAATATTTCTCCCTTTCTCTCTCTTTTACCGAAGACAGCAGTGTTAATTTTGATTGGATTCCCATGTCAATCTGTTTGAAGAAGTAAAATGTTATCCCTGACGTTAAAAGAAATCTCCAGCGAATAATTTTTTAGACGGAACTAGTTGTACCACACTTTGTTATCCATAAGGCCCGAGGGATGCTGGACATAACAATTTAGCGCCCATTTGAAGCTAAGAGCCATTGAAATCCGTTTCGACCAATAACAACGGCCCAAAAGGCTGGATGACAAACTTCAACCTTTTTTTTTTAAAAAAAACCTTTAATAGACTCCCAAAAGAAGGATCATTCACTTCTCCGATTCGATTTCTTTTTTTTTTCTTTTTTTTTCTTTTTTTTTTTAGTTTTCAGTTAATCGAATTGATTAAAATCAAAACCAAACTGAATAAATTTTTTATTTTTCGATTAAAAAAACATAAATTTTTGGTTCAATTTTTTAGTTTTCGGTTAAAAATTGATTTTTTACATTTTTTGTATTTTTTCTTATGAATTTTGAATCTTCTCTTAGACCAAGCTGAAAGGCCTTTTTTTGTATTTTTTTTAAATTATATATAAATATTGATATCCTAAAAAATTTATTTTTTTATTAGTATTGACCATATTTTATTTAATTTATTTTAAAAAAAATATTTTTCATTGATATTCACAAATATCTATTTAGTTTTTTTAACCATCGCTTTTTTTATAAAAAAAAGTTGATAAGAAAATAAAATGAAAAAAAATAATTAATTAATTTTAAAAAAATTAATTATGTTTTTTTTTCAAAACCAAAAAAACTAATTTATAATTTACTCTAGTTTTAGCATCCTGTCTCATTCGTGCTAGTTTAATCAACACCGACCTCACAAATTTACTCAAGAGTTTTTTGAGTTTGCATTAAAAAAAGAAGTATATACATTCAAATTCCGACATCCGTAATGGCGAAACAAATAGGCTGGAGATTGGAGATGTAGTTTTTTAACTTTTATGCATATTTAATGAAAGTTCATAGTTTAGTCCTTTCATCTCTAATAATGAATTATATCATTTTATTTATAGAGAAACATCTCATTTAAATATCTTTTGTTTCTATAAAAAAAAACTCCTCACTCGTCGCTAATTGCGAGTCAAGAAAATCTTTATTTGAAAAAAATTAAAATATGTGGAGATTACAAATTTATAAGAGTTAAAAATTGTTATGAAATATAAAAACATATCAATTAAATTATATACCAAAGAGTTCGTAACCCGAGTGATAGTGGTTTTTTGCAAAAAGTATTTGAGTGTGTGTGTGAAAAAAAAAATGATTAGGTTTTTAGTGGAAACCAAATTATATATAAAAAAAAACGAACCGAACCAAAATAATTTCGATTTTCAGTTTCAGTTTTTTTCCAAAATTTTTGTAGAAAACCGAACCAAAATTGCTAATTCGGTTCGGTTCGATTTTAATTGATAGTGCTTACCCCTACTCCCGCATTCCATCCGTTTCCTCTTTCATATGTTTTTTTTTTTTTGAAAATCACCATGTATTCTTATACTATCAATTTGTTATGGTTTAATGTCAAAAAATACTTTTAAATAATTAGATTCTAGAAATTTAAGGTTTATATTATCAATTCGAACTTTTTAAATCCCAAACTATTCTTTTTTGGATAAATATTATCATTTCTTTGTTATGTCTAAGAGTCAAAATATTAATCGTAAAATAAAATATGGTTGAATGACAAAATTCATCTTTAAATTATTAGAGTTGTGGCAAAATAACATCTATATTATCAATTTAAGCTATTTGAACTTTAAACTATTAATTTATTGAAATTTTATTCTTCTCCATTATTTCTAATAGTTAAAATGTCGATCGTTAATTGAATTGCTTAAAATGACGTCGTTTAAAGCATTTAAGATTTTTTTAGAATTAAAATTAAGTTGAAAAAAATAATAATTGATTTTTTTTTTAACTAGATTGATTCATTACACTTCATTAATTATCTAACAATAAAAATAAGATCCATAAATAAATAAAAAAACCATCCAAGCTACCTCAAAGCTAATTATCATTGAATATTTTTTCAAAATTAATTTTAGTTCTTAAAAAAAACAATTCAGTTTTTTTAATTAGATGAATCCATTATACATCATTAATCATTCAACAACAAAAGTCAAATCTATAAACAACATAATCATCTAATCTTTCTTAAAACTAATTATTATTAAAAAAATTAAAATTAATTTTAATTTAAAAAAGAAACAGAATGGTTAACACTTTGTACAAAACAATGAAAAAAATAAAATTTTGTCCAAAAGCTAATAGTTTAGGATATAAATAACCTAAATTAATAGTGTAAGTCTTATTATACGAAAAACCATAATAATTTGAGAGTAAATTTATCATTAAATCACGTTTTAATTAATGATCAATGTTTTTACTGTTAGAATTAACAAAAGAAAGATAACGTTTGACAAAAAAAAAAAATTTGTAGTCCAAATAATTCAAATTTATAGCATGTGTCTTAAATTGTCACAATTCAATAGTCTATAAGTAATTTTTATCATTAAACTATTTTTCAATTATTTGAATTCTTCAATCCGCTTCCAATGCAAACCAAACTTTGTACTAAAAAATTTATAACTCAATAATCTTTTCATCCTACTCTGTTACTTAAACGATCTCGAATATTTCATATTTAAACTATTAAAAACCACAGTTAAACGAAAACGTTTCGCACAAAACATTCATAGACATGTAAGTTAAGACTACTTGGTCGCAAAAATAAAGAATTATGAGGTTTTGAAGTTTTAAATCTAAAAGGTATAAAATTAAATTTTAGTCTAAAATAATTGTTTAAAAATAATTTTTGAGGTTGGATTTGAGTTTAGAAGGTTTCGGAGAGCGTGTGTATGAGTTTTTTGGTAAAAACCTACGGCTTTTTTAGAGTGGCCGACGCTATTTGGCCAAAAGCCAGCAACACTTCTAAATTTCAGTTGTTTTCCCAGAATCCCGCGAGAAATTAACAAGATGGATCTTGGTCCTTAACTTCTCAATCCTCTATTTCCCATTCTGTTCGTTACGACCCTCAAACTTTTAATTCTTTCAGATAACCCTTTAAGCGAAATGCTTACGTTCCCAGAATAAATTTGACTGCTGATGCAACATCAAATCGTACCCATGTTCTCCTTTAAAAAATAGAAGTAAAAAAATTCTTGCTTTAAGGATGCACCTCCATACTCTATTGATGCATTTAAATAAATTTAATAAAGTTTTTTAAATGATGATTCCAAAATTTAAATTCAAAAAAACGAAACAAAAAATAAACCTTAGCCTCTCAAAATTACTGCTGGCATGGATGCATACAAGAAACTCTCTTCATCAAGACACAATATATCCATCCATGCACATGAAAACTAAACTAGACCTCAAAATTCTTCACAAAAACATCTTCATGAATCATCACCACAACCGCAAGAAAACACAAAAAATACATCTTCATATCATGCACAGTATTCCACGACCTTATTCTAAAGAGAAAACATTGCAGATGTTTACAGCATATGAAGAAATGGCCATGTATGGCTGCCATTAATTTGAAATGTGGACAATCGCAAATATCTAACTATTCCCACAATAATTTTGATCCACTCTTTCCCATTTTCCACCTCAAGAATCCAAATTATTTCCCATGATCTCAATTACTAAATACTAATCACAATTTTGATCTACTTCTCTTCCCATTTTCCTCCCCAACAGTCTCATCAGACACCAACGTATCCAAAACCTCACCTAAAACAACCATTCTATTCTTAGCATACACTTGTCCATCCCACTTTCTCTTAAACAACTCCTCCCCTAACCCAATCGCCGCCTCCACAGTCTCCTCCGCACTCCCACACGCCATATCCACAATCCCTTTCTCCACCGCCATCTCCGCTGTCCATTTCGCCGCCTTCAAAAGTATATCCCTCCTCACCCTCGCATCCCCAATTTTACACTCGATCAACGTCATAAACCAAGCAGGCACCACAAGCCCAATATCCAACTCACTCATATACAAAAACCCTCTATCTCTTCTCATAATCATATAATCATGACACAAGGCAAAGACCATCCCTCCTGCCGACGCGTGGCCCGTGATAGCTGCAATCGTCGGCATGGGAAGGGAAACAAGATCGGATGCAACTTCGCGCAGTTTTGATGACATCATCTTGTAGCGAGATAGAGTGGTGGATTGGGATGTTGTGGATCGGGCCCAGGAAAGATCGTAGCCATTGGAGAAGTACTTGCCGTGTGCTGTGGTGATCAAAACGGTGGAAGGGGAGGTGGGTTCGGAGCGGAGGCGGTGGAGTGCTGATCTGATTGAGTCGAGGAGTGTTGGGTTCAGCCTGTGCTCATCGTTGCCGGTTAATGTCAGGATAAAGATGTTTCCTCGTTTCTCTAGAGTGCACATTTTTGTTGATTTTGACGATTGGAGTTTGTGATTTTCGTAAAATACTGTGTGAATATAAAAGAAACAAGGCACCAGCAAATAAGGATAGGGAAATGCAGAAGGAGAGTGCAGTCAATATGTTTGTCGTGAGTGACGACGTGTGGTTCATGTTCCTTTTAGATGTAACAAAGCTGGAGCGCTGTGAACCTGTGATTCCCCATTCAGCGTGTTTGAGTTGTCAATTAGAGTAGAAGTAATTTCACCTTTTTTTAGCTAGTTGAACCGGTTTAACGAAAAACACAAGGTTACACTTTGCAGCCGGCTGCATCCTAATTCGGACTATGATTAGCAAGAAAACGGGGTACTATTTTGGTAAACGAGTATATGGTTGATAAGTAATAAATCTGTGTTTGACTGTTTGGTTATGAGATGTCAGTATTTTTACATGAGCGTAGTTTGATTTTAAAAAAAAATCAATTTTAAGGGTTTTCCCAAAGGTTTTTTACATTTTTTTTAAAAAATAAAACTCGGGTCAATGATATGAAACTACTATTTAATTACCACTACCTTAAAAATAAACGAATTAATATAAAGATGATAATTAGACATGTTTTTAAATCGACAAACTTGTGGATCAAAATTATCATTTCTTTATAGGAAATTATAGTACCTTTTGATCATAATTTAGCAGTCGCATATTATTGCTACGACAAACTTGAAATTATGAGCCTGTTAAATAGCCGAGTAGTCCTAGTACTGCATCAGTAGTAATCGAAAATTTTTGTTACAGAATTGCTTGTTTAATATGGAGAAGGACAAAAGAAATCTCGAGAGTGGATTACAAGTTATAATTGTTTTTTTTTTTATTGGCGTTGGTATTCAATCACAATCCCAGAAAAGTTAAATCGGTTGTGTCTGAGAAAAAAACCTCTCTGGTTTTGAAAAGTCTCAAAACAAAGTTGGACCTTGAACTTGTCTTCCATTGTCTTGGTCATTTTCTCTACATAAGCAGTCTGAAGCTCAGGAGAGGGGACCAAAAACAGGAATATGTGCACTTTAGAGAAGAGAGGCAATATCTATATCCTTACTTTAACTGGCTCGGATGAGCACCGGTTAAACCCTAACCTCATTGACTCCATCCGCTCAGCGCTGCGTCGTGTTCTTGCTGAGCCAGCTTCCCCATCCTCAGCTCTCATCACCAAAGCCGAAGGCAAGTTCTTCTCCAATGGCTTCGATCTTGCCTGGGCTCAATCATCCCAACCACGTCTGGAACTCATGTCCGCAAAGCTTCAGTCACTGGTATCAGAATTGATATCTCTGCCTATGCCAACAATAGCTGCAGTCACTGGCCATGCATCAGCAGCTGGAATGATCTTAGCTTTGAGTCATGACTATGTGCTCATGAGGAAGGACAGGGGGTTTCTTTACATGAGCGAGCTTGATATTGGACTTGTGTTGCCGGATTGGTTCATGGTGTTATTGAAGTGCAAGATCGGAGATTCCAAAGTCACGCACGAGGTAGTTTTGACAGCAGCAAAATTGACAGCAGAGATGGCTGCAGTGAGGGGGATTGTGCACTCGGCGCATGATAGTGCGGACGAGACAGTTGAGGCAGCTGTTAGGTTGGGGCAGGAGTTGGTGAAAAGAGGGTGGGATGGTAACGTGTATGGGAAGAATAGGATGGTGGTTTTGAGTGAGGCTTTGGAAAAAATAGGGAATATGCCAGGGGAGATTAAGACCACATCAAAACTGTAATGTAAGCTTCAAGCTATGGCGGCAAGCTGAGAAAGATGAATATTTTTAAATAAAATAATTAGAAAAATGGTATCGGCAATCAACTTTTGGTTAGAAGTCAAATTTGTAACGCTGATACATATTTTAAATTTATTTCTTTTTAAACTTTTAATCCTTGAAAACTCCATTCTTGTTTACCAGTAGTTGGAAGTTAGAAAACAGGTATTTCATGGTCTACGATGTGGTCAAAAAGCATAAAATTCCGCAGTAACAAGAAGCAGTTTTGAAGAAAAAAATTTCCCCCTAATCTTGACAACTCAGCGTAATCCTTGTGATTAGAAACTCACAAACACTAAAACTTCAGAACAGAATCAAGAGGCGATGGGGAAATCTCATATATAGGTGCTATAACTAATAACTATGAATGAAAGCAGCTATGACTATAAGAATTTTGTTAGTGTCCTTGAAAGAGGCCCTAAGTGAATTTCAGACCGAGGACTAGAAGATGGGGAAGATCTCATAGCTCCCTTTTAAAACCATCAATCTAAAATCAACCAGTACTATAACCAGAAGCGATTCCAGCACATGTTTCTCCCAGCATGTCAGCACTTGTTTCTCCCATTAGGTCAATAAATCCATGGGCCACAGTGATACATTGGAGCAGAAGTGCACTTGCGTGCTTGGTGGCCTCTCCCAGCACAATTGTTGCAGATGATAATAGCCATGCAATCCTGGCTGAGATGGCCTTGCTGTCCACAATTGCAGCAAAGATAGTCATTAAAGCGGTTTCCTATCTCTACTGCCAATCTTGACTTGGGACATTGATGGGCTACATGACCTGATGCATTGCAAATGCAGCAAAATGGTTCATTAGGGCAATCACGAGCAAGATGACCAGTTTTTCGAAAATTATTGCAAGACTTCTCATTTCTGTAGTCAACAGCAATGTGACCTGGCTTATAGCAGCAGAGACTTGCATCATGAACCGGAAAATCAGGTTCACAGCACTCATGAGCAAGGTGGCCCATCTTACCACACGTATGGCAGATTGGATCATTGGGGCAATGGCTAGCAAGGTGTCCAACAAATAGTCTCTGAGTTGCATCCAGCAGCAATATGGCTGAAACAAAACAATGTTTAACATAAGTAATCAAAACAGAACTTCACAAAGCAGCTTCACTAATAGATTGCGGTCCACCAAGAAAACAAGTTTCTACTATCCTTGAACTTCACATGAAAGGTTTCATAGAAGCAAGTATGCGTAGTCATCTCACCCAGGAAGCCCACATTTGTTGCACACAGTCATATTGGGACAATCTCGAGCAAAATGCCCAGGTGGTTTGCATCTATTACAGAGACCATCTTGGCTGAAAAATAACAATATAACCATTTAAGAGGCAATCCCAAAATGGCAGACAGGAGATCTCAGATCTCACAAGAGAGAGAGAGAGAGAGAGAGTTAGACTGCCAGTATCAAAAAATTCAACCAATTACCGAATAACTTAACATCTCAACTGGATAAACTTAAATAAAACGAAATCGACAAAAAACAACCAATTTTCATAATGTCTCATGCATTAGCACAACAACATTCAAATGTATTCTCTTCCTCTAATTCTTCTATTCATGTTTCATGTATTCTGACAGGGTCAACAGATTCAATCTTAAGTTTCAGACAAAGCTTATTTATCCAAGCAAACATCATATTCACATGAAAAAATATCATCGCTACTCACATAACCACTGTGAAGAGCAACCAAGCACTACAGAAACTCTGCAACAACACATACAGCATTCCTATTCCCAACAATTTTAAAAATATCACCTTGATAGTCCTTCTCCAAATTAACCATAAGAACTGTTCAAACTAAAATTAGAAAGCACTATTAATTTGAGCAAGTGACATAGTAAATGCTAAACGTATGATTTCTGCCCCTGACACCAAATGCAACAAAAAGAGAGAGTTCCCATGGCAAATGCTCAAAATGAAATGAATCTATAAGTAAAATAGCCTCTCAGGAAATAAATAACAATTCATGCAAACAATGACAGTATATGCCTGACTAGAAAGACCTATAATTAGCATAGTAACAAAAGCATACCGGAAACTCAGATGATCCCTAGAATAAGGTGCATCATGATAAGATGGATTCATACGAAACCTTTTTGCTCCTTGTGGTGGCCTCTGGCTTCTATACAGACTCATGTCAGAGAAATTGTAAACTTCTCAAATCCAAAATAACCACCAAGCCCAGGAAAAAGAAAAAACACCAATCTGCTAATGCCACCATAAAACCCACATCTGATTAAATTTCATCAAATCAGATCCGCACAAGCCGTAAATAACAATTCATGTCAACATCTCAGAAGTTTTAAACTAGTCTTTTCATTACTAAAAATAACTAACAAGGAAACCAAAACAAATTCTGTTTTACTACAATTTCCCTTCAATTTCACCATTTCTCATTAAGCTAACTTAATAAGTTCGTTCTTATTCAAACATAAATCAACAATAGAACACATCCTTCAAAATTTCAAATCCCTTCATCTCCTCAGCAACAAACAGGATCAGTGAAAAAAGAAAGAAAGAAAAGTCACTACAAATTATAAACTAGAAAGAAATCACGGACCATTAAATTGCACAAAAATTCTTGCATCATTGATTATGTACACATCACATGCATGCATATATACGGACATGTATAAACCATAGTAGTATTGGGAAAATTTTGGATGGTATTGGGATGAGTTTTACCTGAGGAAGGAAACAGAGTGTGAAATGGGCAAAACCCTAGCTAGCTTAGGAAATTTGGATGTTATTGGGAAAAATTTTGACACTTAACGGAAGACGAGAGAAATAATGCCAATTCATAAGTAAAAAATATGACGACGATTCTCGATCGTGTCAAAGACGAGCTTGCTTACTTCTAAACGACAGGGCGTGGGTTGCGTTTATGCTGTCGTCTAGATTCTTATTTCTTTCTGGCTAAACAATCTTTTTTGTTCGTTTTTCTGTTAAATGTCGAGAAACTGTAGGGATCGCAAAAATAAGGCAAAAGGCCATTGCAATTTGCCCACGGCCGTATGTTTTTTAATCTTTCGAATTTCAATTGCTTAAGAAAAATCCATTTCTAAAAGATAAAATCGTTTGATTAAAATTTAAGATGTAACCCTTTCTTTCTGGGCTACAAGAAGGGCTCAGAGCCCAAAAAACCTACAACTGTCTACCTCTTTGCTGGATTCCTATTTCTCTTTAGTCCATTATTAGATTTTTCGCAGACGCTATACCCCTACGTTATAAATCGAATAAAATATATAAAATTATTTTATTTTAATATATCGTGTTATATTATGTGTTTATTAAAATATATTAAATTTTATATTTCATTAATTATTTTTTATATTTTTTATAAATTTTTTATTTAACAATATAAAGAATGTTAAAATAATAGATTCTTAGTTAAAAAATTATTTTGTAATGTTTTTTAAACCTTTTTTTGCCTTAAAATTTTTTATTTAAAAAAATAAGAGAAAAAATAACCAAATTGACAAAAATTAAATAAAAAAGAGCGATCAAAACCAAACAAAAAATATTTTATGGATTGAAAAAAACCATATTTAAAAAAGAGGAACTAAAGTGCAATATTAGAAAAATTTTCATTATAAATATATTAAAAAATGTTTAGAAACTATAAAAATGATATTACATAGTGAAATGAATAATTGTTTTACTTTAGTTTTATTTATAACCAGATGTTCACTAATAGAAAACTTGGAACAACTGAAATTGTATCTGATTTAGAGATTTATCTTTTTTTTGTTTTTGGTAAAACTTATAAAAATTTATCTTGAATCTAGGTGTTATCACTTAACATATGTAACTTTTTTTTTTACTGTGATTTTTTTAGTTGATAATATAAAGGTTAGACGAATTAATATTTTATTAAAAAATAAATTAATTGTTCAAGTATTATAAATAAGCACAAACAACTGTTACAAATCTAATAAAATTTTATTGTTAAAAAGAATTTTTTTTATATATAATGCAAACTGGGCTCTATATATGTATATATATATACTTATTGCTCATATTTATTTAATATAAGATACGCTTTTTTTTTTTTTTTTATCTCCCGTTATTTTCTGTATAAAATTTTATGCGATATTCAATTTAACAAATATTTGTTTTTCAAAATCATATCCAGACCTTAAATTTATATTTAAAAATTTTATTATACATAAATTAGATTTGTGAACGCTATTCCTGCAACGCGTTAAAAAGTTGTCTAGTCTTTATCTAAATTTAAACCAGAATCAGGAAAGATACTGGCACAAAATTTGCTTAAGGCTAGATAAGAATCTAATTTCCTTTCATAAGCTTTTTAATATGGTTAACCAGATTTAGTAAGGACCCACATCCTCAAGATTTTTGGAAAAAGACTCTGGACCACCTGAGAATCCAGCTCCAGGTGAAGCTGCCTAAATCTCAACTTCCAGGCTCAATTTAACCATTCAACACCGATTTATATTGTATACTAAAAAGAACCATCAGAACCTACCTTCTCCAAAATCTCTCCTGTTTTTGTGCTGTGGTTGTGGATGAAAGCAAAACATAAATCTAGGACCTCAAGAACTCAACTGCAGTCGTGTCTCGAAAATGAATAGACCGGTACCAGGAGCTGGAGGAGCATGCTGCCATGTACTTGTATCCCCATCACCATGAGCCCCAACCCCAGCCAAGAAATCAGAGCTTTGGTTACTTCCACGATGAATATGAACAATGCCACCCTCGCTGAAGGCGAACACGGATGTCACCAGTTAACACAAAACAAGGATGAGCTCGAGGTGTAGTCTCGAAAATGGCATGCATGGCTTCCTTAGAATAAGTTTCCAGCACTATTGATCCGTCGCCTAAATTCCATGCCAAAGGTAGGCAGCGTTGACAAATTGAAGTTCAGCTATCATGATGGTTGCCGGTCCAAGGTAGCCTGAAAGACCTGACAACCAAACACCACGATTGTCATGGATGGGACCACCCATTCCAGCTCTTCTCAGATTATTACCCAATGAGCTCCCAATGGCAGATTTGTTGACCTAATCGTCTTTCATATTGAGTGCATCTTACCTTTTGCATCCCTTTGTTGCATCAGAAAAGGCACAAAAGTTGTATAAGAAGACTTACGTTCGACGCCTTTCATAGCAATCCATGGAACGAACTCAAGAAAGGCAGCAAGTCAGCAACCCAAACTCGTCTTAGGGATGGAGGTTATGCTCCTAGAGCCAAGGCACGCAGCTCTTTCCTTCTTTTTGCAGATTCCTTGGGAAACTGCCTCTGGGTCGGTATTGCCATAATTCTGTTGTAAGAAGTCCTGCAACTCCAGCCCTGATGATTTTCTTTTTAAGAATCTTCTGGCTCCTCGCATTTTTAGGTGATGCCAGCCCGACTTAGACGACTCATGCCTTCTCACTACATACCGAGTGTCATCCTAGTAAATGTAGTAAAATAAAATACAGAAGAGGAAAGAGTTTATTAGATTATCTACACTTTCGTTAGAAGGGGATTGCCTTGTGCATCTTCTAAAGATGCCATGGATGCTTCTTTGATTACATTGCAGAGGATGGAAATGAAAACTACAAATTTTAATAGCCAAGAAACTGAATGGTTACAACAAGAAGCCCGCTACAGAGAATAGATTATCTTGCTGCATGATCTCAAGGATCAGTTTGGTCCATCATCGGCATATTAGAACAACATGCAGTGCAGAGACTTCCAACTAGAGAGGAAGGTACACCTCAAGAAGGCAAAACTATTTACATCATTAATGTGGTTAGCCAGTGACTCGCCTACCAGCCCATTAATGTTCTTCTAATTCTGTCCACTATTTGTTTTCTGGCTTGAACATTTGCTAATGGATATTCACAATTTTCATCCAAGAGGAATCTGTAGACTTCCCACTGGCGATCCTGAGTTGAGTGCCTTCCAATTTCAGCCTACAAATTAACAATGAAGAGAACTTACTCTCGCATTGTGGAAGATATATGCCAAAATGGAAGAAATGCAGATATTGAACTCTTACCGAAAAAATGCATATTCCCAGCTTTTTCAGAGCTAATGTAACATCATAAAATACACGTGGTCTTCCTTTGCCACATAACTCAACAGGGTTAGCAACTAAGAGTTCAGTATCTGGTCCTCTGTTGGTAATGATCACTCGCAATGGATGAAGCATCTCCTCCTTCAATCGAGAACAAAAATTGGACTGAAGCTTCGGATTCACAATCTTCTTCCCGTCTGTTTGCCGAATAAATAGATCCATGCTACGGTATCCTTTTACGCTAGACAAAAATCTAACATAAGCAACCTACATTAGAAACAACAGCAACCATATATTGTTAAATACTAATTGCAATCACTAATAAACATAAACAACCATTTAGTTTCACAATAGGCCGAAAAAAAACAAGTGGTACTGCTGTGAGATTTAATGGATAGATTATCAACCAATCTACATTATTTCCAGAGATAGTGGAGAAATGTAAGTCCAGAAAAAGGGTATAAAAGGAGAAGAGTAATGATACTGGACAACACTCATACTAACACGACTTCTCAGTCTGTAAGCACCTTGCATGCCAAGGTGATATTTTGTGCAACTTGATCCATTTCAAGATGGTCAGAGTAGCATAGCAAAAAAATTAACAAGAAAAAATGTTCTTATTAAGAAGCTCATGACCACTGTACCACGATATTTAAGTCCTTTGAAGTCCTCAATATGTCATAAAATAGACCTTTTTGATCAACACATTGTATTTGAAGTAATGTATGAGCTGGGCTCAATAGATTATCCACTGTGATGATGGCCTTCTTTGGTGTTGCTGTAGCCGTCCCAAGTGCTTGTGTACAGGATTCCTTTTCTGACAGCTCACAGCTAAACAATTCTTCTGCAACTGCCAATGGGAGGGAAGAAAACGTCTGCTGATTTTCACATTCAGGACCTGCCAATTGAAGTTCACAGCTGATACAATGCTCTTTGAATACATCACACAAATATCCACATGTGTCATCTCGCCTTTTTTTCATGTGTAAGAGCTCCCTGAAAAGAGACTACAAATGTCAATTGCAAACTGACAATATCCCTTCTTTTTTTCTTTTTTTTTTGACAGAGCGACTACAAACTGATGGTACATAACTGGATAATAATAGGAATAGTTTTTGTCTAATTATGAAGTTTGCTTTCTGGAGATACTTATCATAATTATATAAACAAGCTGTCCCAAGGCCTTGGCGCAGGCAGTGTAAGCAGCAGGGTTGGAGGGGATCAACATTCAGTCGTGCTTGAATAGAAAAGGATTTGAAAAACACAAAACATGATACTAAGAGAAAACTTCATCCAAACTAGAAGGTTTTGACAGAAGCAAGTCAACTTTAAAACTACGAGAAACATGCCACGTGATCAATAATATAACTAAAAAATTTCTTAGCAGTTTTAATTTTCTGAAACATGCTTCCATTTTTCATGGCAAAAGGTTTATCTATTTGTTTTAAGGTTTTTCCCTAGAATATTTTTTTTCTATGTAGTAGGATTCTCTGCCCAGGTTTACAATTATTCTTTCCTACCCTATATTATGTCACAGCCATATATCTACAAAATTTCAAGTAGCAAATAGGTACTAAGATTTGTTGATAATGAGTTTCATATTTTAACGCATGCCTTTAGATAATGATTTCCTACTCTGTGGATGGTTATAGCCCTCTGTTGGAGCGAGTAACACATTTGCAGCAAACATTGTGCACAATGTGCCACCATTGGACTGGCTTGTGATAAGCCAATTATGGAACAATGGTTCAGATATAGGGAACGCTTGAGCACACTTTAAATCCAAAAAAACATCCGTCTAGCGCATCTTAAACCACCTTTAAATCTTCCCAGAACGCAACATTGCAGTTCATTTATGAAGACAAATACTTTATGACTCAATATAAACGTCAATGTCAGTATATTGACAAGACAGCCCTATTTGACAAATAAAAATTACGAGAACTTTCAATAGATTTCACCAAAGAAAGAGATACAACTACAATGACACATAAACTACCAAAACCATTAAATGTAACCTGTCACTCCATCGATAGGTAGCCACTAGCCAGCAAGCATCATGGGAAGGTATATTAAACACATTTCAGGGACATTTACTGCAGTTTGGTTCCATATATTCAATTCAAGCGAATTCAACAAAAAAAGAAAACAATAGGAAAATTCACCTGCCATCTGTAATGAAGAACAAGTCCACAACTTTCTCATCTGGTGTTGTCATCACTTTTAGTCTTTGAATCGTAAATTCAAGCTCAGTTAGAACTTCAGTAACATCTACATAAATAAAACAAAAGCCAAGTTATTTGTAGTCCTTGAATTAAATAAACAAAATAAAAGAATAAACACCAAGTCTGCCATCATCTACACAGTTACCATGTAATAATCCTTTCCGGTCAACACAGCAAAACTTCAACAAATATATCGAAGGAGCAGCCGAGGAACCATTCAATTTCTGATCATAATAAAATGGGGTCAAACATGGAGGAGACACACTCAAGAGCCGGTTTTTCAAGCTATTCCAATCAATTCTAAGCAAACTTGAATGTTGAACCACCCAGAATACTATGTAACACCACTTTCCATCCGTTTGAAAATCTGCCGTCATAAAAAACAAAAACATGATATATATATATATATATATATATATCATCGTTAGAATCACTGAATGTCCTACGAAATTCACAAGAAATTGTCTCCTTGGAGCTTATTTCGTTAACTATAATTCACATCCATAAATAACATCCAAAAGAAAAGAAAAGAAACGGGCAGATTCTAAAATTCAAAACACGGCAGAAAACGTAAGTACCTGCGCGAGTAATGTGTAGCCCAAACTCAAGAATTATTCTGCAGAGATCGCATCCAAGGCCAGACTTGTCAGGGCAATTGACAGTGACGACGGTGGGATCATCGGGATTACTGCCTTGTTGTATCAAAACCACGTCGTCAGCCAGAATCCCCATGCCTGAGATATTCCTGGAGGAAATTACAAGAGTTCCACAGTGAAAATGTGAAAGGTTTAGGTCTTTGATCTAGGGTAATGAGAGAATTTTGTGGAGTTTCAGGTGACTGTTTGTTTGTTGGCTGCTTAGGTGGAGAGGGGTTGGTTAAGCTATAATTGGTACAGGGACCAGGTTAGAACTTAGAAGCATGTCTTCTTCTTTTTTCACTTCTTTTTCCTCCTTGATTTTGAGGATCAGAGTGAGGAAGTTTTTTTTTTTTTGCGGTTGTCGGGTCAGAGGGACCCACAAATGGGGTTGTGTCCAGGTCAGTGAGTTTGGGTGGGCGCATGCCCTTTTGGCATTTTGTATCAAAATTTCTCTCAAAAAGGGTGTCTCAGTAATTGTACATCTCATTGGGCTGCGTTTGTCATGGCAGAATTAGTTTTTTTTTTAACCAAGTTTTGATAGTGAGAAATTAGGTACTGTCCGCTGGTAAAGTGTCAGTTATGAGGGGGTAAATAATAGTTACTGACTTATAGAGAGATATTCTGTCCATTTATCTCAAGAGGTTTTATTCATGGCATTTAAAAGCGATAAATTATTATGCGAATTTGGTTTACCATCTAAAATGATGGCCCGAACCAGATATAATTTTTACACATTATTAAATGTATCCATATAATTTTATGACGAATGCATCATCAATTTTTTTATTTTATAATTAAGAATGTGCTGATAAATATAAAAAATTTTACATTCTAACTGTGATTTACTAAATAAATGAGTTTGATAAATTTAATTATTTTTTATTGATTTGGTTAATAATTCTAGACAATAGACTTGATGTGAATAGTAGTTTATTAAAGAAAAACAAGATTGTTTACTTCATTCGCACAATATATTATTATAAATTTTAATAGTTATTTAATTGAGACAAATAGTAAGCGTTATTTTTAGTGTATTTCATTTAAGGTCTTAAATTTTGCCAATTACTGTGTTTATTTATAATGATCTCATCCTCTCCAAACAATGAATTTGATGGAAATTAAGTCTCCCAATCAACGATGAGCAAAAATCTAAACACTTGAATGCCATTAACCTAACTCAGGTTTATCCAACAGAGTTTGTTTAGTTATAAAAAATGTTTAATTACCGTGGTTGGGTTTTTAGAGAAAAGTAAGTTCCGAGTTGTTTCTACTATTCTTTTTCTAAGCATTAATTATAAGCAAGTCCAACATAAAAGAGAGCCTTTATCGAGACATTTGCCGTTTATTTCATTGATTGTTCTACAAGGCTCCAGATTCAAAGAGTTAATCATAAAATATTAATCATTGAATCCCAGAGTAAATCATTATATTTTTGCACGTTCTCGAGTTTGTTAGTATTTTTTTTCCTTCATCTCTCAGTGACAAGAATATCCTTCAAGATATAAATTTTTTAAATTAATCCTCGAGTGTTGTTTAGTAAGAGGTGAAAAAATGAAGGTGAATTGTTATGGAGTAATTACTACAAAAACTATTTTTAAGGGTGTAAGCATTAATCTTTAAAGATGTTTACTATATTTATAAATTGAAAAGTTAAATGTTAGGAGAAAAAAGATAAAATAATTAAATTACTTGTAATTGTTAAGAAGAGATAATTAAACATTAATTTGATGTGTACTCTTTTTTTTTAAAAAAAAAAAACACTACTTGAAAGTTAATAGCTACCCTCTATGCTTGAGATACTCAGCACTCCTTGATAATTAATACCCTAAAAAAAAATCCCGAACAATCTTAGATTTTATCCTTGTAAAATTAAAATCTTTTTAACCGTTACTAAACACCCTCTCAAGCTTTGCTTTCTTTTGCTTTTTCGGCGGCTACCATGAAGCTGATGTCCGTCTATGACGCGCTACTTAACATTTTATAATCATACTTGCATCACGATCAGTGGGCTGTATGAGACAAGTTTCGAAAGAAAGACAAACTTGACTCGATCACGAATCACGCCTTCGCACAAACAGAAGCCCGTCCCCGTCGGAGAACACTGACGAGTCCATCTGACGTGGCAGCTGTTAGATTCCGCCCAAAATAACCACACATGGGAACGGCACACCATTCGTTAAAGGGTTTAATGACATAGATTTTTTCCTCAACTAGTTAGTTTGTGTTAAAATAAGTTCAATATTATCCATTTGTTAAAGGGTTTAATGACATAGATTTATTCCTCAACTAGTTAGGTTGTGTTAAAATAAGTTCAATATTATCAATTTAGATTATTTAGATATCAAACTATTAATTTTTTAATTATCATTTACTGTTCAAAGTATTGACTTCAAGTGAAATGTCTAAAATATTTAAGTATTTTAGTTTTTTAATTAAAATTAATTACAAAATTTAATAATCTATTTTTTTCAACAGATAGATCCATTACGCGTTGTTAATTATCCAATAATAAAATTTAGATCTATAAATAATAAAATCATATGAACTTCATTGAAGCTAACTATTATTATTTTTTATATTAATTTTAATTCTATAAAATAGTTTTGCTTTACTAGATAGATCCATTACAATCATTAATTACTCAACAACAAAAATTAGATTCATAAATAAAAAAATTGTCTAAGCTTCATCGAGACTACCTATTGTGAATTTTTTTTCAAAATTAATTGTGATTCTAAAAAACTGATATGCTTGATACGACTTTATTTTTAGTATTTTAGTTACTGGTTAATACTTTAATTGTAATACATAACCAAAAAAAAAATGTCAAAAAATAATAATTTTGGATTTAAATAGCTTAAACTAATAGTATATATCTTGTTTTGTTACAACACTAATAGAGCGATGAGAGAATAACCAGCCATTTTTATGTCATTTAATTTACTATTAGATTTGTGTTAACATAACTTGAAGGGATTTGACCCAATGGCTAAAGAGATTTTTTTTTTTAAAAAAAAAAAACTTTATAAGTTTAACCATTGAGTCGAATATTTGAATTTTTTTATTAAATTCTTCTAAATATAATTTATCGATTTTAAAATATATATTTAAAATTGTATAAGAATTGATTTAAATTTAATTAATGTGCAAGGTCAAGAGTATTTTTACCATAAATAAAACAAAAGGATTTGGATTAACAAAAAAATCGCATGGATAACATTGGTTCCTTTCGAGAAATTTTAAAATATACAAGGAGTAACTAATGACATTTACGGTAGTTATTTCATGAACCAACTTTGAAAAGATAGATAGACACGATAAAAAGATAGAGAAACAAGAGAGAGAAATTTTTTTAAAAAAATTAAGTAAATGTGAAAATCTTCTTATCAATGATGGTGGGTCCGAATATAATTCAATATATCTATCTCTCTTCTCAAAATAAATACATAGAGTAATTACTCGCTCCATGTGTATTTTAAAATTTCTCCTTCCATTATACCATGTGTGCCTTTGAAAAAAGAAGGAATTATTTTAATAAATTGATAGCATCTTTAATTCGTTCAAAACAAGATAACTTTTGTTTCATATTATTATTTTTTATTCAAACCAAAATAAAATAGGAGAATTTTTTTTCCCTCATAAACATGCATGTCAGGTTGATTGCCAATAAAATGTTAAAAAAGAAAAAAAATATTTAATTTAATTTTTTTAAAAAATGATCGAGTTCGTGCCACTAGATGGATGGAGACATGGAGTAATTTCATAGTGATGTTCAAAGAATCTGTCCCGGCAAAACCAAGTGCAGCTTGACATAGGCTTTCCCTTGTGTATTTTTAATTAATGATTGGAGTCTTGTCGTTCCATAAACATATTTAATTAATATGACACGTCATGCCAGGATTTCCATTTGGATTTCATTTTCATGCCAAGCCATTGCTATAGTTAATAGCATATGAAATGCTTCGTAATAGTCAGTGGTCATCTCATGAATAACACCATTGGATAATGCGAAAGAATAAAAAATGTGAATGATTGTCGGTGCAGAAGGTTCAACTGCACGGGGACAGGGATTCAAGTTTGCTGAAAAAACAGTAATTTGGATCAAAGTTGGTGATGAGACGGGTTTGGACTGAAGGGTGTATCACCTTCCAATGTCCCTGATCATTTCTGCTCCTTCATGGATGGAAAACTTCCTTCAATGTAACTACATGTGAACTGTGAAAGGTGAACCTCAACGAGATAAAGATTGGTTATTTTTGCGATCCCAATTTTGGATTAAGATTGTTTCCTAAATAACCGCGATCATATGTGTTCTCCTTTTTTCCGCACAACTTTTCCACCCTTCATGTAAAATTGTTAGTTTTACACCAAATTCCAATTCTTGATTAGTTTGCATCTAATGGCCATTGTTAAACCAAACCATTTCTTTCTATTAACAACTTTATTTTTTTAATTAAGTTCGTACATGTTTTCAATTTCCTATGATGCCTTTAATCCATTCATTTCCTTTTTTTTTTTTTTTAACTACTACAGGTGGAAGAAAAAGCAAACCAAGGGTTGACAGTTTATAACAAATAGTTATACATATGTATTTTTTTTTTAAAGTTGGGATGATACAAGGAAAATGCAAACCTATATTTCATCGCAAATAATGTAGATAAATTAGACAAATTTTAAGAAATTTCATAAATTCTTCTTCTCAACTGTATAAAATGAATAAGTAAAAACCTCTAAATGATAGAACATGGAATGCAATCTGGCTATGAAAGAGCATCAAATTGATATTTTGTCAAGAACATAAAAAAAGAGTAAATTATAAATTAGTACCTCTTTGTTTTGAAAAACAAATTAATTAGCCATTTTCATTTTCAAAAAACTAATTTATATTTAAATTCTGCTAATAACTTAGTTCTTTTATTAATTTTTAGTTAGATTAGTGATAATATGTGATACTATAGTATTTTTTGTTTTCAAATTACTTTTATTTTGAAGCCTTATTTCTTTCTTCCATCCATTTTTTTTCTTTCTCCTCAAGCATAAATTAATTAAAAAAAATTAAGAAAAGGGTCACCATAATAGTCGAGAAAAGAGAAAAGTTGTCATAATAGTTACGGAGAGAGAAAGTAATTGAAGAAATTGAGTGAGAGTTCACTATAATGGTCGAGGAGAGAGAGAAAAAAAGGCTGAGTGAAAAAGAGAGATAAAACATAAAGGAAAAGTAATTTGAGGGTAAAAGAATACTACATTACGACACCTCATTACTAATCTAATATAAAAATAATGAAAAAACTAAGCTAATGACATAATTAAAACCTAAAAATTTAAGTGATTAGTTTTTAAAATGAAAGTTACTAATTAATTTATTTTTCTAAACGAAAAGAACTAATTTATAATTCACTCCATAAAAAATCTCCAATTCTTCCCAAAAAAAACATAAAAGAATCTTAATGGAATAAAATAAAACTTTTCATGTTCATCAATAGAGGCCCAAAGGGCAAGAAAACCAGAAGCCCAAAACAACTATGCTATCGGAAAGCTGGCCCAGACCAGCTCCACTTTAATTGTAGGCTGCACTTAAACCAGTTTCAGAGATAAACCATTATCAGTCGCCAAACAGTCCCTCACTGCATCATCATCAATAAGGCGGACGGCCGTAGTCTCAGATCATTTTGCAGCATCAAAAAGATATTCGCGTAAGAGAGAGAATCGAAAAAGAGAGAAAAAGATGAGGAAGTTCGATCCATGGCCAGTTTTCTTCAGGAGAGAATGGAACCGTAACTGGCCTTTCCTTGTTGGCTTTGCCATCACTGGCACTATCATCACCAAATTCTCTCTCGGCCTCACCGGTAACGCCGCTTCCTTTCCTCACTCTTACGATTTCAGATCTGACCTGTTTATTTTTGTTTCAATCATTATGTTAAGCTATTTTATTGCAATTTACTCAATCAATTAGAATTATGTGAGCAAAATAAACATAAATGTTACAAAATCTGAATATTTCTGGAGTAATTTAGCTGACATTTCTACGTAATTAATGTTTTAATTTTCTTTCTCCAGAGGAGGATGCGAAAAATTCTCCTTTCGTGCAGAGGCACAGAAAGTAAGTATGCCTCATGAAACCCTAGATTATGATATTATCAGTTCGTTTTCTTTATTTTGTTACAGTGCTGTGCTGTGTGTAGATTACAACATTATGTTGCCAAATTGGGGTATTGTTAGTTTCAGTGTGCTATAAATATGGATAATGCTTTTTTTATTGATTCACTATGAATAGAGAGCAAATTTTGTCTCTGAAAGCTTAATGCGAAGGCTTGTGAGGGAGAGAAAATGCATCTATCATTGCTGTACTTGTTTGAATCGAAACTCTTTCTTATTAGACTATTGGAAACAACTATTGTTAATGTTTGTTTGTTAAAATTTTTCATTTTTAGTGTATAGGAAACATTATTTTGTTATTTTTGTGTGGTTATGGATTCATTAGATGACTTCTTTTTATATGAGTTTCTCGCATGCATTCCCTTGGTTTTCTCTTTATATTCTTGAAACCTAAGAACCTGTTTTTCCAACTAGTCTAAAATTGGTGCTGCTGATTTAAAGAATTGAGATATTGTCCTCTTATAATACAAGTTACAAACTGAACCAAATGACTGTATACATGAGAAAATAAGATGAGAAATTAAGTGGATGATTTTGTAATAGTTTTTTTCCGGCCTAAAGTCCTTGACCTGGTCGATATGGATCACATTCATTATTTTTTGGAGACTACCTGCATTTCTCTATGTTTTTTCTTAGTTCTTACCTTGAATTTTGTCTGGTTTATGATTGCTGCTAACATGATTTCTTTCAGGCACTGATGTTAACAAATCCAGTCCAAGATGAGCTGGCTTCTGGTAATATTTTTTCCCCTTCCTTTCTCTCCTTTCCCCATATGTATAAAAAATAACTGTATCTAACAAGAAACTAGTAGTTAAAGGTGTCGTCAATCAAGCTTTTTAAAAATGAAAGTTGCTTATCTGTAGTGCCAGAAAAACAAACCTGGAACTATTAATTGCAACATTCTAATAATGCTCGCCATGCCTTGCAGGTGAATTTGGAAATGTGCTCTCCAGGTGCCAGATCAATGCTCATTTTGAAGGCATTTAGCTTTGTTTGAGTTCATCCCTTATTATTTTTCAGAATTTTTGTTTCAGTCACTTTACAGTTAAATAGACGGATTACTTGTGGAAAATCAGGCCTTGTCTAGTTAAAATGAGTTCATTGCATGCTACTGCTGTTAGCCTCTGCAATGCAACACTTTGTGTGAAAATAAATGCACTTTATGAATAATTTTTTTTCCCATAGACTCTGCTAGGGATTGACCATCCATTTTGATAGGACATTGCATGCTATGATCTTGTTATTCTACCATTTTGATTATTTATGACTTGGTTCTTAATTTTTGTATTGAATGGGCTTTTGCCTTTCACTTTAAATTGGATGCGTAAACTTACTTGGGGAGGCCTGGAATTTTGTTTGAGCCCATCGTCATGAGGTTGGAAAATCGATTCTCCTTTAAGGGAAAAAAATCTTAGAGGGTCGTTTACAAATGAGGTTTTCCAAAGTTTTCTTCTATCCTAACAGCAGACATTGTTACTTCCGATTATTACGTTTTTTTAGGTTAAAAAGTAGTTGAAATCATTAAATAGAAAAAGATCTGACTTACATTTTGTTCAAGTTTCAACCGAGTTTGTTTTGGTCTGAATTTCTAAATTCACCCTGTCAAGAAGGATGTTTTTTTTTAAAAAAAAAATCACAAAGAAATCAGAAACATTTTTTTTCCAAAATCAGCCCCAGGAAAAAACAAAACCATTAACGGCATGATGTTACAAATAATCCTACGCATCAGGGAACCAGAGCAGATGGGTTATACGTTCTCAAGGTTCTAACCTAAACCATTCACAACCTTGATAATAGAAATGAAAATAAAAACGGTAAAAGATTATCATAGTTTTGTAACTGGCTAGTGCTATCACAGTTTCTATTATCAGGAGCATAACCACTTACACGCACAATTGCTGTTGTCAAGTCACCAAGTAAATGGACCTAGCGGCAGAAAGCTATAGAAGAGTTCAGCTATAATTTGATTATCAGCAACGCCTGCCATCAATCCACTAACAAGATCGATAGCGCAAACACTAATAGGCTGTTCTGGCTCCTGAGTAAGTTCATCCAGCAGCAAATTATAATTCTTCAGCCCAAGAAATAGTTTGAACTGTACGTGCTCAGAAACCTAAATGACCAAGCAAATGTGAAGAAAAATTAACATCTAAAATGATCCCTTTTACGAGATGCTGCCTATTTTTCAAATATAACCTCAATATTACCTCTATTCTGTCTATTAAGCTTCCCTACTTGCGACTTCCTCAGACGCCTACACAGAGGAACGGAAAATTATACTACTGATGAAGGATAATTGCTCGACCACAAAAAGGCCCTTTCCACAATATGGTCTTTCATTAATGAGAGAGAAGCAATAATTACATGAAGTGCAAGGTTACTTCATTTGGGATCCTCCGTACACTTGAAAAAAAAGAGGAACTTTTACGAAAAAGGACTGCTCAACCACAAAAAGGCCCTTTCCACAACATGGTCTTTCATTAATGAGAGAGAAGCAATATTACATGAAGCGCAAGTTTACTTCATTTGGGATCCTCCATACACTTCAAAAAAAGGAACTTTTACGAAAAAGGACCCTCAAATCCAAAATGATATATTTTGGCCCCTGCACCTTGCCAAGTCTGGATTCGTTCAAAGTAATAAAAACAATCTCTCCTAGTTTGCAGATACAATGGATGGTATCTCTGTCTGATTAGTGTGCATTACGTAGCAAACATGGGAAAGTAAAAACTGTTTAGAGAATTTACTTGAAAGAGAATAAATAGTTAATCCGTATCTTCAGCATGTAACATGGAGAATTTAAGTTTTATATGCTAATTGATCTGTAATAGGAAAACAGGAATGTCTCATCAACCAAAAGGGTGCAGGAAAGGAAAGAAAGGAAGAAGGGAAGCACATTCATGGCCTACAAATGATAATACATAAGATAGGCAGCTAGTGCATACAATGCATATAGCAGGAAGTTTGATCCACCACCTACTGTTTGAAATAATAACTTAAAAATTCATAGTTCAAACAGAACAGCATGATTCACAATCTTGGAGAAAAAGATGAGGGGAAAACGGCAATCACAGATCCATATCAATCCCAAAAGATATAATGGGAGTAGCTAAGGTTCCTTATTTTAGTATGTGTTAATGCTTGTCTAAAGTTATACCCAGTGTATCATAATGAACGGATGTGAAATTGCAAAAGTGGCGAGTGATAGTACCTCTTCGTTCTCGGTCTCCTTTAATTCATCAAGTAAAGCTAGGCTCTCCACAAAAGAATCAGCATAGTCACTTAGCCCTAAATTTTGCAGATCACGAATTTCTTTCCTCCGAGGATCACATGAAACCACATTGTCACTTGGATATTTTGTCATTAATATCTCACCATTCTTCCTACAAACCATTGCCAATCCTATTCCGTCTGCTTTAATCCTGAGCTTTCTGGACCATAATTTCATTTCACCATATTTTTTCTGACCCCATAGCTCAATATACGTGGTATCGAGGTCGTTGAGAAACACAGAAACGGAGTTATCAAACACCAAAATTGCCATCCACTCATCGGACTTCGTAGCTAAATATGGAGACAGCATTATCGTCCCAAACGAGTCATTTGTTAAATCAAAAGATAGTACAAATCTATGGCCCATCTCCTCTCTGTCTGCAAGCCAATGAAGAACCCCGTTCAGAAAAACATATTTGTAAGAACTGGAACGTCCCCATAAGACTGAAGGTATGCGGATAAAGTAACCAAGAGCAGGGTTAAAATCAATGGCCTTCCAAGATCTTTCTTTGAGCGAGTAAACCTGACAATAAACTTGGTTTTGGGGTGTGTCAACCCTAACAATCTTGTAGTCATTACTTTGCGAATTGAAGCCAAAACCAAAAATACCGTGGAAATGATCAATTAACCTTGGCAGTTCAAGATTCAAAGATTTTCCAATGGATGGATTCCACAAAATGATACCGTGGCCATGATCTTGGGGAGTATTTGAAATACATATAACTCCATTACAAGAGCCAATTATTTGGAAATCATCATCTTCTCTTTTAAAAGGCAACTCGAAGTCTGAGTTTGACCACACGTCTAAAGACTCGTTATCAGAACGCAAAGAGTAAGACTGATTGTGGTGATGAAAGAGAAGTAATGGCTTTGCCTGAGCCAAATGGATATTGATAAATTCAGCTCTAGTGATGAGAGAGTTCCAAGACTTTGATACAGACCTAAATCTTAATAAGGATTTGGCAGGTAATGTTATGAGAATCGTGATCAGCAAATCTTCTGGAAGACCGCCATCCCTTTTCACCGCTTCTGACATCTTTTTGTGTCTATCAGAGTATCAGGGAACTTCAACTATTACGAAAAGACTGCTTGTGGGGCTTGTACAATACATCTGGGAATTTGGTGGTGTTTATTGATAAAGATTAAAGGTTTTACGAAACACAGAAAGAATCTTTGATTCTTTTCTTTGGTTTCTTGGTTTGGTAGAGGAGATGAATTGATGGAGAAAAAGTTCTCTCACTGATTGATTTCTGAGGTTTTTTCTTGGTTTTTGATGTAGATAGAGTTTTGTTTCTCAGATTGAAAAACAAGAAGAGAAAATGCGAGAAAAATAGTAGAGGAGAGTAAAGATTCATGAAAGGCTATATGGCATTCATCTGGTACCTACAGAACACATTCCTTAATTCACCAATGAAGACTTGAGACTTTCAGATTTTCAAGTTCTTTTTCACTTTCTCCCATGCTTGGCTTTTAGCAGTCACTTAATATTGGATTAACAAACTTGGTTACTTGTGGAAATTGAGCTGTCTTGTTAAAACGATTTCATTGATGCTACTGCTGTTAATCTCTGCAGTGTAACTTCATGAAAACAGATCTTTTTCTGTTTCCACAGACTGTGCCAGGGATAGCCCGATTGGCACTGTTTTGGAGGTAGATTATGGCATGAATATATCCATTTACGACCATTCTGAGTTGGTTAATTATGGATTTAGCCTTTCCTTTTCACTTAAAATCGGATGATGCATAAATTTAACTAACAACTTGGGAAAAGCAATTTCTGAAAACGCTGACTGTTGGGATCTTATGTGGCAATCCATTCAGGAAAACTGGCAATTGTTTGTGCCTGCGATTGAATAAGGTCCAAATATCCAACCCTCCCAGATAACTGAGAGGAAAAATAAATTAGAGGTTTAGTTAAAACTGAAAACTGCTACTTTCTTCAATCCTATAACAGTCCTTACCCTATGTCTTCATATGTATATGTTCTTAGTCTGATATTAATAAAGTACTAATTAGTAAATAGAAAAGAAAAACTGGTTTGCCTTGTTGATGATTTGCAACTCAATTTCGCCCCAAGGAAAAACAAGACATGCACGGCATGTTACAAGTATTCCCTGTACATCAATGGTTTTCACGGTATAACAAATCGTTAAAGTAACAAATATCTTTTACTTATTTCTGAGATGGTCCTGGTTCGAGCTAAAAACATTCACAACCTTTAAGAGAAAAGAAATAAAAAATATCAATAAAAAAAAAAAAAGCAAGAAATCATATACCTCTACTGAAATTTGTAACCGGCTGGCGTTGCACAGTATCTAGTGTCAGTGGCATGGTACTGTTTACTTTTACAAAGCTATGATCAACCCTTCCCATCAACCATTAGCAAAGTCAAAAGTACAAAAAGATAAAAGAATATTCTTAGTAATTTCATCTACCATCAAATCATAAACTGCAGAATTTGTCAAAACTGTGAAATAGTTTGATCTGCCCATGCCCAGAAAACTACCAGACCAAGTATACGTGAAGAAACATTAACATTTAAAAACGATCCCTTTTACAAAATGCTATTTCACTGTTCGAATACAATCTCTAAGGTACCTCTTTGTTCCCTTTATTAAGCTCCATTCGTCGCTGCGTGTCCAGCCGCCTGGGCAGAAGAACGGTGAAAAGTTGATCAATCCAATCCACAAAATGGCGTTTTCCATTATAAGGTCTTCTGTTAAGAGTAAAAACAACAGTTGCATAAAGTCCATGCTTGGATATTTGACCTTATCGTAACAATCTTTTCGCAGAAATTTAGGTAATAGTAGCATAGTTCCCGCGCCTTTCTATAATATATTTTAAATATTGCATAATACAAATTAAATTAAACAAATTCTCACTATTAATGTTAATTAATATTTACTTGAAACTTAGATTTTTTTAATTTTTTATATTTAATAATTGATTTAAATATCCTATGAATATGTTTGATTTTAATCAATAAAAAAATACATTTATTTATTTTAAAAAAATCAATTACAAGATGGTGTTAAATCAATTTATATTAGAAGAGTATTTAATTTTAGGAAATGAATCTATAAAATAATAATTATTATTAATTACTGAGAAAAAAACATAATCCAGTAATAAAAAAATACAGAAACTCAATTAATAAATATAAATATTTTATTAAATATTGCATAATACAAATTAAATCAAACAAATTCTTACTATTAATGTTAGTTCATTTTTATTTTACACTTAAATTTTCTAAATTATTTAAAATACTGAAGTATACTATGGAAAGGCGCGAGAACTATACTAGTATTATCTATTGCTTCAGCAAAAAAGTTGTTCCAATTGGTCAAATATCCAAGCATGCACTTTATTCAACTATTGTTTTCTATAAAATAATAATAATTAATTATTGAGAAAAAAATAGTTCAGTAATAAAAAAAATGCAAAAATTTTTTTCTAACAAATACAAAACCTTTTTTTGCAACAAATTAAATTTAAAGACCGTTTTATGAATATTAAAATAAAAGCATAAGGAAAAAAAAAAACGGAGGCCCTTTCAGATGGCCCTAAGAAAGTAAGAGCTATGCGTCTGGCCTGGAAGCATAGCCTAACCATAAAAAAAAAAAAAATACAAAAACCTTATTGTGACACAAATTAAATTGACGAACTGTTTTATACAAAAATTACAAGGATGCTAAAAGAATTAAAATGTTTCAACAGTAATCACTGTTGATTTACTGTGGCTACAAACTCATCTGCACTGCATAGGGAAGCCTGTTTTTTTTTTTTTGTGATTTTTTGGATTTTCGTGGACAATAATATGAAAATTATACAATTTTTTACACTTTAATCCTTGATATTTTTTAACATTTTATTTCAATTCATAATTTTATTTACTAATACATTTTGGTCCCCGGGAGTAGAGAGGAAGAAGGAAAGAAGAGAGAGATGGGAGAAGACAGAGCATCGGCCAAGCTTATTTAGACCATTTTAGCCAACGAAATTTCATTAGATTTTTTTTATCTTCGAGAGATGAGTTTGAACACGATGGTTTCAAACCATCAAATAATTGAAGGAGGCGGATCGAGCCAAAAAAAGAAAAGAAAAAATTCCGATTTGAATATGTTTTTTTTTAAAAAATATGCATTAAAATGATTTTTAAGGTTTTAAAAGTGTTTATTGATGTTATTTTGACCATTTATAGGTGTTTAGAAAAAAATAATACCGAAATTGAGTTTCTTGGGATCTAAAACTTGAACCATGATTTTTCGACAAAGCTTTTGATGAGCTTGAGTTTGCCGAAGTTGTAGGTTTTTCCTTTCGAGTCGGCCAATGGCCTAGGTCCGGAGAAGCAAGCCCAAGCGACCTTGGCGTGTAAGCTCGACCAACCATGCCCAATCGGGTCGAATTGATCTAATTTTTAGGAAATATAAAATAGAAAGGAGTTTACTTATATGGTATTTTATATTTGGAAAATATGATATTTTTCCATAGTACAAATATAATAGGACATCACTCGTTTGGAAAATACACCCAATTTCTAGATATTTTATAAATTTTGTTGTATAAAAACAATACCTATGTGATGTAATTTACCTTTGTTATAGATATATTTTTTCGACGCTGGATATGTTCTAAAACCTACATGGAAATAGATTATATTATTTGTAGATATGTTAAAAAATACTTTATTAAGGAAAAAGGTTGTAAGATATTCCCATTTGGAAAATACACCCAACTAATTCCAACACCTAAAATATTGAGGTATTAGAAAAATTATTTTTATCTCAAAGACAACGAGTTGATCAATTCCTTCTCCCTAAGATCATTTTTGCCTTAAGAATCTTTCATTTCTTTTCCAAAAGCAACACTATAATTTCATGATATATTAATGATAATATCACCCATATAGATATGATAATATAAAAAATATATACTTAAATTTACATAAAAAGTGTTTATGATAACATAGAAAGAAGACAACGCAGAAAATTCAAATAAACTATAAAAGGTAAGGTAAGAATATTATATGCTATATATTATGCAATAATACATTTTGTATTCAAAAGATAATATTGGGTATTATATATATATATATATATATTCTTACCTTTTATAGTCTATTGAATTATAGCTATTGTAGCATTTAGGTATTGTTTGATAATTAAGAATAAAATATTGAGAATAGAAATAAAAGTTTCATTCCCATCATTTTATTCATGATTACTAAACAAATTACATGGCCTTCTTCCATCGTACAACCTCTTAAAAAATTTGTTCCATCATAACCTCTCTAGCTCTCGACTTATTTCAACCTAAAGGATGGCTAGAAAGAACCCTTTTTTTCCCGTTGTTCTCATGCTAGTTCTCTTGTTATTCTCAAGTTTGTATTGTTTATTTATTTAGTGATTATATTCGACAACAACATCAAATAAATATACTTGCATATATCTTATTGTTTTTCTCTATATTTTAGATTTTTAGATGAAAAGAATTGATCGAGTTTATAACGTGTAAGCACATTCACATTTAATGTTTGAATTTTATCTAGCCAATTTGTATTCTTTAATATTTTTTATAATATTGAATGAGATAATTTATTCTTGAAAAAAAAATGATAACATAAATAAATAAATAAAACTCTTTAAAATCAAGTTTTTGTCTCAAACATGAATTTTCATTTTCAATAATAATCTTTATCCTCCCATAAAGTTAAAGTTTTTTTTTCTCGGATTGTAATAATGTGGTTGCCCAACAACTATGTTGCACCGAACATTTCGAGCTAGGCACTCGCTTGCCGTGTCATGACGACAAACATCCAAATGGAAAATGCTACAAGTATTGCATTCGGAATTGCCCCAATAAGAAAGGAGGTGTTTGCAAGCTATAGGGCCATAAACATCATTGTCATTGTTTATGTTGATTTTGTTATTGTTTTAATAATGGGACAATAATTACAAAGACACAAAAAGAGCGAGAGGATGGAAGCTTGGTTTTTTTTGTGATTTTTTAGACTTTCGTGAGCAATAATATCAAAATCATAAAAAAAAATTATACTTTGGTCCTTGATATTTTTGAATGTTTTATTTCAATTCGCATCTTTATTTACTAATTATTTTGATCCCCGAGTGTAGAGAGGAGGAGGATAGAAGAGAGAGACGGGGGAGGGGGAGAGAGCACCGGCCAAGCTTACTTAGGCTATTTTGATCGACGAAATTCCATTATATTTTTTTATATTTAAAAGATGAGTTTGTTCATGATAGTTTCAAGCCATCAAATAATCGGAGGAGGTAGATTGGGGCAAAAAAAATAAAAATAAATAAAAATTTGATTTGATTATGTAATTTTTTTAGTTTAAATGTGCATTAAAACGATTTTTAAGATTTTAAAATTATTTATTGACTTTATATCGACTCATTTAGAGGTGTTTGAAAAAAAAATAATGTCGAAATTGAGTTTTTTGAGGTCCGAAACTTGACTTGTGATTTTTCGACAAAGCTTCTAATGAGCTTGAGTTCGTCGGAAGTTCCAAGTTTTTTTTTTTTTTTTTTTTGGGCTGGACAACAACCCGGGCTTGGAGAAACGAGCCTAAGCGAGCCCGGCGCACGGGCTTGCCCAACTAGACCCAATATGGCCGGATCGCCCTCGCAAGCGAGCTTGCACAAGCAACCCAAACTCGTGAGCCCGGCCTTATTTCTTATTTCTTTTTCTTTCTTTTTCTTTCTTTTTTTTCCTTGCTATAGTCTATTTTTATATATATTTTTTATCATGAAATTAAGTGTGAAAATATAGAAAATAAATCGCTAATTTTTTTTTTAATTTTACATATAGTTTGACGATGATAGAATATATAAGATATTTTTTAAGATTTTAGTTTAAACATATATATCTAATTATATTACTCTTATTGTTTCAAATTTATTTCTTCAATTATTTGTTTCTTATTAAAATCCTCATCAAATTATTTTTTTTAGTTTTTTGATATAATTTTAATCATTAATAAATTTAATTGATATATATATATATATATGAATTTTTTAATAAAATTTTAGGATGTGAGTGTTTTATTTTTTAAAATATATCATTATAATTTGCACAATGGATTATTTTTGTGATTTGTAAATAAGCGTAATATAGTTGCATATATAAATTCGATTACACACACAAAAAAAACTAAAAACGTGTTTTAGATAATTTGACTCATTTTTTTTGTAAAAATTAATAATTAGTTAAAAAAAGAATCCACAAGTTTTATTTTCTTTATATATACATAATTAGAATTTATTGAAACTAATTTTATAGTAGATTTTATTTTAATCTGTTGACTTCAATATATTCCATACAATTTAGGTGTTTTTTTTATATATTTTTATTTATTTATTATATATACTTTGAATCTACTATATATATATAATTAGTTTTTTTAGAAATTAACTATATATATGTATACATAACACAAATTATTTTTTATATATATATGTTATAAAATCTATATTTTTAAATAAAATAATTTAAACAATGTTTTGAAAGAACCTCCCAATCATGCAAATACAAATTTTTATGCTAATATTATTAATTATTTTGTTAATAAATATATATAAATCAAACGATTTTGCTCAATATATAAATTCGATTTACATTAATCACCATAAATAAGACTTCTATTCACACCACATCATATATATATAACGATTGTCTAAACGTAGCGTAGCGCAGTGTATCTAACTAGTAAAAACTAAAGGATTAAAGTGCAAAGACGTGTGCAAAATGTCTAAAAATCACCCCTTTTTTTAAAATAATAACGTGGTTTAAAAAATAACATAAAAAAAGTTCTTTTGTCTATTGTAATAGAAGTTTAACGACAGTAAAACTATGATTTTTTTTTACTCGTGTTATGCTATGGATCGGACATAAAACATAAAATTATTTTTAAAAAATTACTTTAGTTTGATTCCTTGTGTTATATTATGCGTCTATCAAAATATATCAAATCAAAATTGAATAAAAATCCATTCAATTTTAAAATTTTTTATTAAAATTTTGTATTTGACTCGATTATTCTTTATATTTTTCATAAATTTTTGATTAAAAAATATTATTTATTTATTTCTATCTACATTCTTAACTAAAAATTTATAATAGTGTAAGGAAAAAAAATGTCAAAACCAATGGATTCTTAACTAAAAAATTATTTTGCAAATTATTTTTTTTCTAAGCATTTTGTTGCCTTCAAATTTTAAATTAAAAAAATAAGAAAAAACAAGGACCGAAATGAAACAAAAAAGAGACCAAAATGAAACAAAAAATTACGAACCAAAAAATTAATATTTTTTAAAAAGGATTAAAGTATAATATTATGAAAATTTTCATAATAAATAACTTTAGAAAGTTTGAAAACAACAAAAATATTATTATATAGTAAAAAAAACAATGCATATAATTACGTGTAAATAATAAAAACGAGTCTTGAGTGTTTGAAATAGTATTAATGAATAATAAATCAACATTCTACTTTAGTTTTTTCTGTTAGTATTTATCAAAATTCAACGAATGTAGAATATTAAATAACAATTTTTGAATAGAGTTAAAATCAGGACACAAATACTACGAAATGAAGTATTTATAAAAATAAAAATATAATAGAACGCACCCAAACTAATAAATATTATTATTATTATATAAAAATGTATTTATTTGAGGAAGAAGCTGATAAGAAACTCATTTTCAAATCAAAGACATCAATATATACGATTAAATTAACAGAATAATATTAAAATTGTTTATATTTTCTAGATATTTGTTTTTCATAATCAAACTCGAAAGTAAAAAAGAATTAACCGATCAAATTTGAACGCTTTTTTTTCAAATTAGATGTTGAAGCTCAATTTAAATTTACAGAAATCAAGTCCGAAAGAAAAAAGGAATATTTCTTTTTTTAAAAAAGAAATTATGCCAAGAATCCAATCTAAGAAAGAAAGTTCTTTATTTTTTCAAAACTGAAACAGATGCCATTGGCCTATCACTACCCAATAAAACGTGGCAACCTAGTATTGGATTGTTATCTCCGAAACTGAAAAGACAAGCTAAAAATCTGCCATCCCGTTCTGGTTTTTCTTTGACGATAGCCGATAGGATCCTCTGAGTTTAAAAACAACCAAAGAGACTGTGTTTTGCATTAGCGAGCCCTCAACAAGAAGGAATCAACAGACAGATAACCTTGTTGTTCTCTGCAAGAAAAAAGCTCTAAAAAATTGAAACTTCATTGAATACCTTTGCAATTTAAAAATAAAGAGATATGACAGCTAGAATAAACTACTCTATACAAAACACACTCAGTCTCCTAAACCCTTTATACTCTTCTGTCAATACAAGAACAACCCATTTAAAGACCAGCCTTAATTTCTCTAAAAATCTCTTCTTTTCTCGTAAATTAAAGAGACCTATGTTTTGCACTCGTGCAATAAGCAATAATGATTTGCAAAGTACTGAAGCAGCTGAGACTTTTGTGCTCACAACTCCACTTTATTATGTTAATGCCCCTCCTCATATGGGGAGTGCTTACACCACTATCGCTGCTGATGCCATTGCTCGATTTCAGGTTTTATTTTTTTGGTTTATGCAGTTTTTGTTCTAGTGGCATTTTGTTATTCTTTTCTTAATAATTTTTAGCTGTAAAGTTTAGTTCTTTATGCTCAAGGTTGCTTAAGATTGCCCCTGATTATATTAAGTTACACAACTGAATTCATTAAAAGAAGTTTGATAGTTGGGGTTTGCTAAATGTAACTATTTCTTTCCCATCCGGGTTTTTGTGAAGTTGATCTAATAGATTGTAGGGAAGGGCTGATTATTTCTGCTTATATCAATGGCAGAGGCTTTTGGGAAAGAAAGTTATATTTGTAACGGGAACGGATGAACACGGTGAGAAGATAGCTGCTGCTGCTGCTGCTGCTGGTTCCACCCCAAGGGAGCATTGTGATGTCATATCTCAAGCTTACAAGACACTTTGGAAAGATGTAAGCTTTTTCCAATAAATAAAGATTTGCTCTTTCGGCCTGGTAATTTGATCATTGTGAATGTTCTAATGGTTGCAAGTTTGTGGCTTTTCTGGCTTGCAGTTAGAGATTACTTATGACAAGTTCATTCGAACAACTGATCCTAAGCATGAAGCAATTGTGAAGGAATTTTATTCAAGGGTTCTTGGCAAGGGTGACATTTACCGAGCTGACTATGAGGGATTGTACTGTGTCAACTGTGAGGAGTATAAGGTGGTGCCTTTGCATTTCTATCTATTCTGTGACAATTGTATTTGGTGGAATGAAAGCATTAGTTTTGTAAATTCTACAGGATGAGAAGGAGCTACTTGATAACAACTGTTGCCCTATGCACCTCAAGCCATGCATTCAGCGGAAGGAGGATAATTACTTCTTTGCCTTGTCGAAGTACCAAAAACAATTAGAAGAAATTTTGACACAGAATCCAAAACTCGTGCAGCCATCATTTCGTCTGAATGAGGTTAGAAAATGAGCAATTTTTTTTTCTCTTGCTTCACATGATTTAGATTTATGTCGCATTACTATAAGTGCTGTAAAAGCTGATGAAGTTGTTGTACGCGCTCATGTCACGTGAATGTCATATAGTGATATGTAATTCTATTAAATTTTTGATGGGGAATGGAATGACAAAGCTGATTCCTGTTGAAGCTAACCTACAAGGAATACTATTTCAAGAGTTGTCTGGTCTGATTGCCAAGTACAGTTATATTCCTGGTGTGCCAAGTTCAATTATTTAAGATATGTGCTTTTTTATCTTTCAGTTGAAGTTTTGTAGACATTGATCTGAAAGCAGATCCAATATTTGGTATTGCGGTCTAATGTTCATATGATGCTTCTGTCTAAGATATTAATGCACCAAGAATCTATTAGTTTCACTATAACCTGACTGTCTTTTAGTTTGCTCATTTAATTTCTTCAATTGTGATAGAACCTAAAAATCATTTCTTCTGCCAAGCAGTTTGTTTAAGCTGTCTGAATTTCCATTAAGTTGGTGTGTACATAAATTTTACCTATCCATGACACTCTTCTGAATTCTCATTATTGCTATCAAAACTTTCAGGTGCAAAGTTGGATCAAAAGCGGTTTGAAAGATTTTTCAATTTCTCGTGCAGCAGTGGATTGGGGCATTCCTGTTCCTAATGACAATAAGCAGACTATATATGTTTGGTTTGATGCTTTACTTGGGTAAAGTTCTATTCTTTTCCCTGACTTGTGTTCTTTCTCAGATTATTTCTTGAATGATCTTGTAAGTGTTCTTAAGGTATATGTCTTCTTCTTTGTTAGTACTTATTACTGCAAAAGTTGGAGTATAATTACCTTGTTTCTGCTATGTTTTCTGTTTGACTGAATCTTACCTTTTATTGAGCAGCTATATATCAGCTCTATCAGTGGAAAAGGAGCAACCAGATTTACAAACTGCTGTTTCTTTTGGCTGGCCTGCTTCACTACATTTGATTGGCAAGGTTTTACTACTTTTGCTGCCCTTGATGCCTTTTCTTTTCCAATAAATTTATCAAACTGTTGTCTTAATGAAATTAGCATCAGAATTGCCGTAGCTAACAAAATTCAATAACTTGTTCAGTTTAGTTGCTTCCATTAATTGCTTTCCTATTTCCATACATCTAGAACGCTTCTAAAGTAGAGATTCTTTTTAGAAAATTTTAGTAATGGGCTGTGTGATGATTATATTATGGTTTATGGTTGTTTTTATTTGGAAGAAACAACTCCTATCAATCCTTGCACATCTTGTACATTTATGCAGAATTGAGCTGTTGTTAAATTGATGGGTTATTCGCACAGCAAGAAAAGAAGAGTTTTACTTATTATTTATTTTAAAGCTCTAGAATACTAAATTACAAATAAATAAATAAAATCCCTTCTTTACTTCCTGCATCAGTTGTCCTTTCTGAATTCTTAGCAATTTGTGTTAAGTTGGCATCTATGAGCATTATAGATGGTGGGTATTGTTTTTTCTGACTGTGGGTCAGGGGTATGAGAATGTACACCTTAGCATTGACAAGCAATGCTAATAAAATTGGCAGTTATTGGATTTCAAAGGGTTGAATTTTGAAGTAATAATACATATTACAATTTTTTATATAAGTTGAATTTTGTTGCAAGTAGATTGATAGGCTTGTTTATATCCTATTCTTACTTAAGTTTCTTGTAATGTCGATATAAGAATCCATTTTCTTGATTTACTTTCTGTCCTGAGATTTTCCCTGCTTATTTTTTTCTCCCTTATTTCTTGCTTCCTTTGTTGTTATGAGGAGATTATTGCTTTTATGCATATTAACTTGTTATGTTATTCATTGAACCTAAATGGTCAGTTTCTTTCTCCTAATATATCTCTGCAGACTTCAGTTGATATCATTGCTATTTCTCTCATTTTCTTCTGTAGGACATTTTACGTTTTCATGCAGTTTATTGGCCAGCTATGCTAATGTCTGCTGGACTAGACCTTCCTATGAAGGTCTTTGGGCATGGATTTTTGACAAAGGTATGAATGTCAAAACCTAGTACATTACATTGTTTTCTTTAAACTTCTCTCTATGGTTTGCTTTGTTTGCTAGACCTTCCTAACAACTTCTATCTAATACAATGGTAAGAATCTTGGGCTTTCAACCAAGATGTTGTGGACTTGAGGCTCGAGAACACCATTTCATGCAAAATTTCTGAATGGTTACTGTTTCTAGACCTTTCCTTCTAAGACTCCATACAGCAGGATAATAGCTGGTAATGACATTCGAACTTTAGCACAAAGTGCAGGGCTCTTTTTGTCCACCATTGTGATGTAAACTATATATTTAGGGCCTAGGCAATGTTTGAGTTCTTTCTTTTTTTGATTTTCTTTCTTTCCACAAGTTAACTACTTAATCTCTTTTAGAATTTGCTTCTCTGTATCGAATAGATGTGAAGATATACCAAATTTGAAATTGAGAATCTTTAGAATTAATTTCAATAGATGCCGTGGGAATAATGTGGGGGTCTTTCTGGAAATCATGGTCATCTATAAAATGTAGAAGTTAGGGCATTGGAAGTTGCAGGAAGGTAGTTGTACATTGTAAATGTGAATCTAAATATAGATTGAGATACAAGTGCTTTAAGTCTGGATATTATATTGGGTGACAGAGTAATACTATTTCAATCCATCTTATTAAATATTAGATGCTAACCAGCGTATAAGGTAGCACTTGTGCCTTCACTCTGGCAGTAAATGGGGTCAGTTGGCTCTAGGATGAGTTCTTGATCCAGAAAATATCAACACAATTAATGATGGATAATCTAGTACAATTAATAGTAATTTTGACATTTTTTGAAGAGGAAATTTACTTATCCTCGAAAAGAAAAGGAGAGAAAAAGAAACGTATTTGAAATGCTTTGAGCTCTGAAGTTAGGTTAATGTATTTTTGTGGATGTAAAATTTGATGCTGGCTTTAGTACAGTGTTGCATGAGTGAGCAAGTTGTTATTATTATTATTATTATTATTATTATTATTTTTCCTTACTCCTAATTTTATTTCATGCAGCAATGCTTTTTATTTTGAAAATTATAGGATGGTATGAAGATGGGGAAGTCACTGGGGAATACACTTGAACCAAATGAGTTGGTTCATAATTTTGGGGCAGATGCAGTCAGATATTTCTTCCTTAGAGAGGTGGAATTTGGTAATGACGGGGACTACTCAGAAGAACGTTTCATCAACATTGTCAATGCACATCTTGCAAATACCATAGGTATTTCTAGTTTGAGTATTTATAATTTTGCTTTATTCTAGCCTTTTGTGTTTATGACGAGTATATGGTTTTGTTCCACATAAAAAAGGTGTACACGTTCTTAACTCATTCTATGCAGGAAACCTTCTTAATCGCACGCTTGGTCTTCTTAAAAAGAACTGCCAATCAACTTTGGTAGTTGATTCAGCTGTTGCAGCTGAAGGAAATGTATTCAAGGACACCGTTGAGAAATTAGTAAGGCGGCATGAAATTTGTTATATTAGTGTAGTCAACATGTGCCATGAACTCTTACTTTTCCAAAGTAAATGGTAGAGTTTGACTGTGCGTCTAACATAACCTTGCCAGCAACCTTGATTGCAGGTTAGAGCTGTGGTGAACTTTTTAATTACAATATTAAATCCCAATTTTCTCATTCTAGGACTTGTTCTAAACCTTGACTGCAGCATAGTTCGTGATGATATTTGCTAGCAGTCAATAAATATCAATTAGTTGGCAGCAAATTGAGAATAGTGGATCTATCTAAACCCTGCTTGCAAACATGTGCTTAGATATTAATAGTCAATATATTTTTTGTATCTCACACTACACTTCAGACATTCATTTCATACAAAGTGTCAAGATTTTTCCATTATAAGGCATAGTCAGAGTTCTTGGCTATGTCTATGATAGTAATCAATGTTTTTTCTATACTTCCAAGTTTTATTACTTTACAACAATTTTTTTGATCTGATCCTAGCATTCACTTTTATAGGTTGAAAAGGCTCAAATTAATTATGAAAATCTCTCAATATCAGTGGCGTGTGAGGCTGTACTAGAGATTGGTAATGCTGGGAATGCCTACATGGATGAGAATGCACCTTGGTCCCGTTTCAAGCAAGGGGGTGCTGCTTCTGAAGCTGCTGCAAAGGTTTCGCTTATTAACCTTTTTATTTTTTTTTCAATAGCTTCAGCATAATTTGGTCTTGCCATCATTTGGAAAGACAAAGTGACTTGATTTTTTAGAGAAGAAACGTTTTTGTCTTGAATGTCCTAACTTTCTAATTACATATTCTAACCTAAGACAATGGGTTAACCTGTTGTTCCGGATAATTCTGTTGCCAGCATTCTGTGGTATAAAACGAGGTTGACCATGGCATGTTAGCATAATGACCTAGAAATTTTATTAACTGCTGCTTTTTTTTTTTTTGGTCGCTATGTTTCAGGATCTTGTAATTATATTGGAAGCAATGAGGATCATAGCAATTGCTTTGTCCCCTGTCGCCCCCAGTTTATGTTGGAGAATATATGAACAGCTTGGCTACTCTAAGGACCATTTTAACACAGTAACCTGGGTCTCTCTCTCTCTCTCTCTCAACCTCAATGTATGCACATACATAAGCTAGTTGATTTACTTATTAATCCTATGGTTTTGCATTGTAGAGTGGGACCAAGTGGGGTGGCCTGAAGGGTGGTCAGGTCATGGCTCAACCTAAACCAGTCTTTGCAAGGATTGAGAATAAAACAGAGCTGGAAGATGAAGCAACGACTAAGAAACCTGTGAAAAGCAAGCAGAAAAAACCTGAAGTTGAAGTAGCTGCAGAAGCTTAGAAATCACATTTCAAATTCATTTTGTACCTATCCCATAAAACATGCCACTTGGTACACTGTCATACCGTACAGTGACAAGCTTGTTTGATTTTCAAAATTGACGTGAGAAGTTAGATGCGAGAAGGAAATTTCATGCCCTGTTAATGAACTTTGGTCTGTTTGCTCGTTTATCATGCACTTCTTAATTAACAGCTATCGAGCCTCAAATTTCCCATAATTGATCTGATCTTGTCCACCTGTAATTTAAATTGGTGGACATTCTGTCTTTGGAAGTTGGAACAACTAGAGCTGTGACAAGGCTCCAAAAGAAAGTGTTCTGAAGGAAAGCACGGCAGCTTACAGTTAAGAACAAAAGGAGCTAGTAGTTGTTCAGTTGTTGATCTGTAGGAAGAAGAAACTAAAAAACTTCTAGATGCTGCCATTTTCGCCTCCAGCTATTGTGAAAATGTAGTACTTGCTCTTAATGGATTTAGCAGACAATCTCACGATTTTTACATGATACGGAGCCAGAATTTGTTGATCGGAATTACTTTTCTGCTGCAAGTGTCATAATTAGCTTTGAAGTTGAACAATGGATCCTTCACAAGTTCTTCCATGTACCTATGTGATCCCCGACAATAATTGAGATGTTTTAATATGATTAATGTCAATGTCTACATGGTTGCAAAAAATCTTGTGAGGTAAAATATGATTCATGACGATGTGTACAAGGTTGCAAAAAATCTTGTGAGGTAAATTCTTCGTCGAGTTGCTCAAATCCTAGAAAATCATGAGGCACACCTTGGCGTTCACGTTCAGGAACTTCGCTCGTTACTATTTCAATTTCCTTGTAGGGCTGAGTTTTGTTTGAATCGATGATTTTACCTAAAAAATGAGTGGCCAAATCGATGAAGAGGTCTGATTTTCCAGTGATATTTTTCAAACAAGGTACATACTAGTTTGTCTAAGATGACGAAAACGTGATTAGGGGGGATGTATCATTGGGGTTATGTAAAAGCAAAAGAAAAATGGGAGGGAAAACGAATGAGGAAAATGATTTGATTTTGAGCAAATAAAGGTAAACTAGTAAAGGAAAGACAGACATGTGATTTTGAATTGCCATGAACAACCACCACTTGAAGGATGTAAATTCCTCATGCTCATCTTAAGCCACAGTAAATATAAAAGAACCAAAATCTGAACCGACTGATTCTGTTGCCTGCTATTTCAACTTGCTGCTTGTAGTTTATGGCTGCAAAGTACTTCTGAGATTTTCCAAGATCACACCACTACTTGTTAAGATTTGTAGATTCTGATGAGTTTATAAGATACTGACATCATAGAAAATATTTTGTTGATTTTAAATGGTTATAATTCACAAATTTTTTTCATGAAATTTATAAATAAAAGAAAAAGGGAAAAAAATATAAAAATTTGATTTGCATCATCACCAATTAATTGTCCACCAAACCTCTCCTTTAGTTGCTGAAATGTTTTTTGATTTCTTCTCTATTTTCTTTCCGCTGCCAAACAGTCAAACATCATTACAAGAAAGGAAATCAAAAGAAATCTGAATGAGATATTAAAATATTATTTGCATATGTGTGTACGAGACGTATTCTCCCCACCATACAATTGGGAGTATTTCTGAATGGTGTAAGGGATGATTGGTGAGAAGGTTAGAAGGAAGAGAAGTTGGTTAGATGTAATATTAATTTATATGAGAATCTTCATTATTTTTCTCGTTATATAATTCATATTTAAGAGCATAGAAGTGGAATATCAATTATATCTTACTGTTCTTAAAAAAAAAATACAAGTGGAAAATTAGTTACACATTAAAATAATGAATTGTTTAAAGAAATTGAATTTGACACACGAACTCAGGTGTTATTCGTTAAACTGGAACTTAACGTAATCAACAGTTGGCTCAGGGACAGGGACAATCTTACTTGATATGCTTATGTTTAACCCATCCCATAAATCCACAAAATTTGAACCTGGCGTAATGCTTCCATCTCTCAAGGCAACAAGAGCAGAACAAATGAAGTATCTCTGCTCTCTTTATATGTCTAATCTAAACCAATTTTGCGGATACAAGTCAATTCACCATCACAAACAACAAAATTCTTGATAGATGCTGCGTTGAGAAACGCTTATTTCCACCCACTGATCGCACAACCCCAGCTACCAACTTCTTGTACTCTTCTATAGAAGCAGAGGTCTTCCGAGAGCAATGCTTGTAGTGCGATCTGCATCGGGGACCCATCTTCATAACCAAAGATGGAGAGAATATTATCAACATCTCTGTGTGAAATGCTGTGAACAACAACCATTTGAGCCATCTTTTGAGGACGTAAATTCCTTACGAACATCTTGAGCCATCGTATTATTACCAAACTAACTTAACCAGCTTCTTTTGCCAGCTATTTTATCTTCTCATTTAGTTTATGGCTACAAAGTGTAGTTTATATACCTGTAGGTGGCTGAGAAATCAGAAAATCCTTGTGCCAGCCTGTGATATATATATATATATTTATCAAGACATCTTTTTTTCTGTATCTGCTGTTGTAACTGTTCTTCATGCACAATCTGTTCTCTTGATCCGCCATAATTAAGCTTTGTGGCATCCTTCTGTGTTGCCATTTTCTTAATGAATTAGTTTTCCTGACTTCAGGAAAAAAAAAAAAGTGCTGGGAATTCAAATTGACAATATTGTTTACAATATACGAATCAAGAGATTTTTCAAATATCAATTGTTAAGATTTCTAGAATCTCATGAATTTACACTGACATCATAGAAAAATATTGTATTGATTAAATTCTTTCATCACGGGTTTTAATTATCAAAAAAGGAAAAAGAAAAGGGAGAATGAATATACTTTTCCATTTTTACCTTTTTCCAGCTATAATCGTAGTTACAATATATATATATGGATTTTGTACATTGAATTGTTCATTGGACGAATTGATTATCCCTTCTTTTTTTTTTTCATCTTTTAGATAACAAACAAGAGATTGATTAGGAGGGGTACTCAACTTGTAGGCCAGATAAGCGGATTATTAGTTATATCCATATTGACGTTTAAGATCACTAGTATATTCTTTTTATTTTTTTTCCGAAGTTGGAAAATCAGTTTCGTTGATGAGGTCAACGCCCCGAACTGACTTGTCGCTGAAAAGTGTGAAAATGAATTACTACTGTCAAGAGTAGCTAGAAAATAGGACAGACGCTAAGATAAAGTTATGGAGGAACCATGAAAAATCCACTGCTGTCCACTCCCATTTCCACCAAGTCTTTTCAATCTTACATTCATTTTCAGAATAGATATAGAATTGCAACGAGTACTTGGAAAGCAAATACCAAAACTATAAACTCAAACAAGGGAAAAACACATTTCTTGTATTATGCCATAAACCTTCCCAATGCAACAGCAGGGGGTGAGTTCCACACATCCTCTGAGTAGCACTTCCAATAATAAAAAGTTCCAACTATTTATTCCAAAAAGTAATATAATAGGATAAAAAGGAAAAAAGGACACCGGGGGAAGGAACCCGAATGCTGAGCAGTTCTCAATAGCTGCTACGGACAAATTCACTTGGTTCAGTTCTTTCTGGGAACTCCAAGCCTCTGTCGGAAATCATCCTCCATGAGAGGAAGACCATCGCGTAGCTTGATCTTTGGTTCCCAGCCTAACAACTCTTTTGCTTTTGTGATGTCCGGCTTTCTCTGACGAGGATCATCTGGTGTGTTCTCCACCGATATGATCTGTACTTCAGGATTGATAAGCTGACAACAAACATGATAAAATTAACCAAATAGCCAGATTGAAGTATGGAAAGTTTAATTTGTATGAAATGTATTTTTAGTTTTCAACTAATCATAATGATGTTTGGACAGACTAGGCCAGTAAACCCAACACATGGAATATACAACTTGCTATGTTAAGGACTAAGAAGCAATGCCCTAATTTCAATGGGCCCCAAAAACAAAATAGACTAACCTCCTTAACAGTCTCGGCAAGTTCAACCATGGTGAATTCACCTGCAAAATCAAACGTTAGATTAAAAGGGTAACAGTTTCCGTTTTTTTTCATGAAATACGTAATTGAAGAAACACCAAGTGATTTGTTACAGAGCTTGAAGAATAACCTGGATTTCCAATATTGATAGGCCCAGTGTTCTCTCCTTCCATTAGTCGGATAAGGCCATCAACCTTCAAATAGTTGAAATAAAGATTAAGAGGAGCAGACTCATATGAAGACCCAATCAAGACAATTTAAATCATCTACCATCATTTAAAGCAATGAATAATTTCTTGCCTACCATGTCAGACACATAACAGAAACTCCGGGTTTGAGTTCCAGGTGCTTGAACAGTCAAAGGCTCGTTACTGCATAAATTCACACAGCAAGTGGCAGCAAGTTATAAAGTTGCAACAAGAATATAATTAACTATAGGCTTAACTGTTTGAAACAACTACAGGAGCTGCTGTTGTAACAACTTACCGGATTGCTTGGGCTATGAAATTGCTGACAACACGTCCATCATCAATGTTCATTCGGGGTCCATAAGTGTTGAAAATTCTGGCAATTCTTATCTCTGGAATAGGAACAAATTTTGACATGGCGAAACCACAAAAAAAAAAAAAGACGTAATTCAACATTAGCTCGGACGGGGAGGGGGAGAGAGAGAGAGAGAGAGCCACATACCTATCCCATGCTGCCTATGATAATCAAACATCAAAGTTTCAGCCACTCTCTTTCCTTCATCATAGCAGCTTCTGACTCCTGCAAAAAAAAATTACCAACACATCAGCAAAAGTTAATGTACATTACAATTTACTTTTTCCTTTATCATAGATTTACAAGTTAATAGAAATCTAGAACGGTTAAACACACCGATTGGGTTAACATTTCCCCAGTAGCTCTCATCCTGAGGATGTACAAGTGGATCTCCATAGACCTCGGAAGTTGATGTAAGCAAAATCCTGTTTGCCAATTATTGGGGCATCAGTAACAAGGGATGATACATTATGAATAATTAACTCTGAGATAGTACCGTCACAAACCTTGCTCCAACCCGCTTGGCAAGTCCCAACATATTCAATGTCCCAATTACATTCGTCTTTATGGTCTGTAAAGAATATTTTAGAGTTCAAATGGCAATTCAATGGTCAAAATCGGGGAAGCTCGCAGTTAGAATAGCTTAAGAGAACTGCTTTCACAAGAGGAGAGAGAGGGGTGCGTGAAAAAATATATAGACAAGGACAGGAGCATGATATCTACATGCATACCTTTACAGGATTGTATTTGTAGAAGATCGGAGAAGCAGGGCAAGCAAGGTGATAAATTTGATCAACCTCAACTAGCAATGGCTCAGTGACATCTGGCACAAAAACAAAGCATCATCACAGTGCCCTTAATTAATGAACAATAGTGAGAGTTAGGCATTATCAACATGCATTGGCTTTGAACTGCTGGAAGCATAAGAAGTTAAAAGCAACAGTACCATGACGAATGAGCTCAAATCTTGGATGACCAATCCATTTCTTTAGGTTGTCCTTCGAGCCAGTGAAATAGTTATCCGCCACAATAACCTAAGAGACATAATAAACATAATTCAGAATAGACCAACCACAAAATTCAAATATTGTTTACAACTTTCTCGCATTCTAAGCATGTGTTCAAATGCTTTCCCTTTTTTATTGGCTGAAAAACTATATGTTCTCATCAAAGCAAATGAGACATAGCCAAATGATAAAAATCCTGTCAATCTTTTGAATATCTTCAGAGGATTTCAAAACAAAATGTGCTCACCTCATTTTTTTCGTTTTCCATCAACCTGTCCACCAGGTGAGAACCAATAAATCCAGCTCCTCCAGTGATCAAAATCCTCATATTGGACTGCCAAAAAAAGTAAAAATAAAATAAAATTCTCATATCAAGAGGAGAAGAACCATCCTGCTGAGAAAAATATCTATTTCTGATAAAACCACCAAACAATTACCCTCTAACATAACCAAAAAATAACCAAAAAAAAAAAACCTCAATTAAAGCAAAAAAGAATCCAAGATCAGGTGCTAATGCACAAGTACTTGAAATTTTCTAGGATCTGTAAAACAGAAACCATTCCATGATGGGAAAATCTACCATTAAAATTTCCCACCATCAAGGAACTCTTCGAGCATGGTCTGGCAGTGGCAAGCACTTTTTCAGAATCAACTACATTGCACTCAATTTACAATTAAAACTTCTTTTCATCACAATCCAAAACTCAAAACATGAGGAGTTACATTGCCACCCAAAAAGACTAGAACTAAAAACAAAAGTAAATCGCAAATTGGGTATCAATATGTAGGTTGAAACAGATTTATCACGATTTGTGCCATACACGATCATGGATCATACCAAACGCTTCGTCGAGAGAAGAAGAAGAAGAAAGATCCAACAGATTAAAAATGCCAAATAGTTATACCTGAAAGAACTTGGAAAATCTTAAAGGAGATGGAGTTGGTGGAGCTTTGGTTGCAGAGTTGGGTTCTCCATTCGATGCTTCCTTTGCCATTCTTTTTCAATTTCTAAAAATCAAGAATAAAAAAAAATCGCAATCTGCCATCAATTTCATAAACAACCCAGAAAAGAAACATTGGATAATCATCAAATTCATGAATAGCCTACAAATCAAAAACCTTAAATCAGACCAGCAAACAATCAATTTTTTAAAAAAAATAGTAAATAAATAAATCCAGATCACCTGAGTGACGCGAAAAAAAAATATGGTCAAAATCTCAACTTTTTTTGCTGCGAGTCATAAAAACTCAAAGACTGCAGCTTTATATAAAGAGCTCAATTGTAACCACATTAGATTAAAAATTACAAGGTTAACAACTAATCATGAAAAAAACACACCAACAAACTACACCAACTTATGACAGAGAAACACAGAGACTCATAAATTAAATGAGACTTCAAAAACACGAAAAGTATAATGCTTCAAAAAAACGAAAAACCATACCCCACCAATTATTAAAAAAAAGAAAGAAAAATAAAGCTCAGATCTGAATCTCACAATCTCTCAATCCCATAACCATTTTTTTTTTCCAAACAACAAAAATCCCGAAAAAAAAAATTGTAAATTGAGATTACCACAGTGATTTTTGCAGGTGAAAGAATCTGAGAGAGAGAATTTTTTTTTATATAATTATATTTTGATGGGATTTGAGGACAGTGGATTATGGGGGACAGTATAGTATATATAGTGTTCAACGGTAGGTTAAGGTTTCGTGAAAGCGAAATTCGCGGCTGTTACTGACCGGAGAGAAAGAGGACTTGTTCATTTACAATCGAAAGTCTTTACTGTCCAAAGGCTATAATTGTCATGACACGTCAGATAAAGTTTTTATCTTTGGACTTGCATCTGTCATACATGCATTTGTTTCTACATTTGATTAATTATCCTGGGTAATAGAGTTTGGTTACGTAAGGTAGAGGATACGTGTGGTCACACAGGTGTTGACATTGCCATGTGAGCTATCGTGCACGGTTCCATGTTTTATCTCGATTTAAATAACAACGTCGTGATTACCAAATAATAATAAATAAATAAATTAATAATAACAATGTCGTGATTTCTTTTATGGATTTAAAAAAATGACATACTTTTATAAGATACAAATTTAAGTTAGAAGAGGAATTTTAGACAGGTTAAAGTAAAATAATTTTTTTCTGAACGGATAAAATTTAATATTTAATTTTTTTAATTTAAATTGTAACCAATTTAAAAGTTGTACAATCATGGTAGAATTTTAATTCTCTTATGTACATTTAAAAAATTAAATAATTGATATAATATCAAGAAATAATTTTTATCCAATCAGAGTAAGAAATTAATTGTCCAATTAATAAAATATATAGTAGTTTTCATCCCTATTTTTATATGGTTAGAGATAGTTTTTTTTGTAAGAGAATGATTTTATTTGATTGTTTCAACATATTTTTTCGAAAAAATACATGAACGAATTTCTTTACTAAAAGAAAAATTATATTTGAAATTTACTGTTTAATTATCCCAAAATGTCCTCATCCTCTTATTGTATTTATGTTGTTCGTTGACGTTTTTAGCTTTTGCTTTTCTAAAAGCTTGGCTGCTGTCTTACAAAAAAAAAGGAAAAAAACAAATCCATCAATCACAAATCCAAAGCATTGCGTTTTGTTTTTTGGCCTTTACTTTTTGCTTCGCTGCAGTCTCTTACAAAAATAGACTGTTGGCTAACAAAAATCAGGGTGTTGATTGGTTGAGACCACTGGTAGTCCGTGGTCTAGCGACCATGTGATTTTTAAAATGAACCTTGCATTAATCATCTGCCACGTAAGGTACAACACATTTTTTCCAAAAATGCTAGCAGCATATGCAAAGCGTGTCATAGTCTACGTACCAGCGTTATCCTCCTCGTCAGATCCAAATCCATCACGTCTTTCAATCCGAAAATATTACCTATCGATTTACATAAAAAAAGGAAAAAACTATTACCTCCCAATCTCTTTTTTAATTAGCACAACCCATCACGTTATGGCAATATATTAATTATAATCTTTTGGTAATCTTCTCCTTTGCTAGGAGTGTCAAGTTCAATATTCTTGTAATATTCCACCAAGGTCAAGTTGTGACAACAAACTCAATAAATAAATAAATAAATATGATAATAGAAATGTGCTGTTTTCCATTATTTTTACCACTTGAAGGGGGAAGCATCCTAACTATTTGGTTTCCGAAAGCTAAAGGAACACTTCATGTTGTCGAAGGTACTTGTTATGAAAGATGAAGCAAAGGTGAAGGTTTTGAGGTTTTACGTCTTGAACATAAAAAGTTATAAAATATATAAACTATTTGAATCCACACTTCTATGTAGTGGCTGTAGTTTAGTGGTGAGAATTCCACGTTGTGGCCGTGGAGACCTGGGCTCGAATCCCAGCAGCCACATTTTTTATCGGCTGTTTGAATTTTACTCCCTCGTTATCCTTTTTAGAAGGAGAGATTAGCATTTCGTATAATTTCGAGACTAATATTCTTCTCTCTCTCGTTTTTTTTTTTTTTGGCTGTCCCAATACATCTTGTATAATTTCGTATCAAATATATTATATATCCATTTAAATTTAAATCTAACTAATTTGATGAAAGAGAAAAATTATTGGGTATTCAAGTGTTATTCTCTTGCACTACAACAAAAAGATGAATTAGTGACTATCAATAAACCGTTGCTAATTTTCAAATTTGCAACGGTTTTAATTAATTTCGCGACAGTCTAAACAATGGTTGTTAAAATTTCAATTTGTGACTTTTTTTGCAACGGTCTAACAAAACCGTTGCTAACTCGACTCGGTTTAATTTTTTATACAATTGCAAACCGTTTTTGCAATAGTTTTAATGAAAAAAACCATTGCAAGTTTAGCAACGGTCAAAAACCGTCGATAAACCGTTGCTAACGAGAGAAAACCTTTAAAAAAAAAATTCCTCCCGATTGCCAACAGCTTTTTAACAAAAAAATCGTTTAAAAAAAAATTCGAGTTAGCAACGAGTCCAAAAACCGTCGCTAAACCCTTGCTAAACATAACCAAAGAGGTTAGCAACGGTTTTTTTGGTTAAAAACCGTTGGAAAAATAGCAGATAAGGATTGTCGCTAAACCTTTGCTAAAATGAGATTAATGGGGAAAAAAATTTTCGATTAGCAATGGTTTTTTAAATAAAACCGTTGCAAAAATATTCGGCTAAACCCTTACTAAAAATCATCGGATTGTTTTCGATTAGCAATGGTTTTTTAATTAAAAACCGATGCAAAGGAACTCCGTATGGACGAGTTGCTAAATCGTTGGTAAAACATAATAGACTATTAAAAGTAATTTTTGCAATGGTTTTTTTTCAAAAATAACCATTACAAAAAACAACATTAGCGACGTTCGGTGGCCCGTCGGTAATCAATCGGTAACATTAAACCATTGGTGGGAAACGGTCAAAATTTGATTTCAAAAATAATATTAGCAACGGTTTAGCGACGTTAAAACCTTTCCCTTTTAAAGTCGCCATTCTCCCCGAGAATTGGTAATTTCACCGTTTCTCTCTCAACCTCCTCTCTTGTTCTCCTTCGGCGGAACCGAGATCCGCCTCCTCTACCATTTTGTGTGTCCAATCTTCTCCTCTCTTTCCTCAAAACATTTCTCCCCTCAAAAAATCCCTCTTTTTTCCCCCTTTTCCTCCTCCTTTCTTTCTTTCTCTCCATCTCTCCATCGATCGTTTTTCGACCAACCAACTCCGACAAAGGGTTTCATCGACGCAACCCCTCTTCTCCTTCTCTTGGTGAAAGGTCCACCCAAATCTAACCCCTCCTTTTAATTTTTAATATTTTCAGTTATTTAGTTAAGTAAAATAATTTAGTTTTTTTTATTTGTTAGTTTAATTATTTATAATTGTTAGTTTAATTAATGATAATTTTTTATTGCATGTGTTTTTTTTTACTTGATTATTTAATTAATATTTTTGTAATGTGCTAATTTAGATAGTTTATTTGTTTAAAAAATGTATTGGTATTAATTAGTGTTAATTGTGATAGTAAATTTAAATGTTTAATTGTTAATTTAATATTAATTGTTATGTTAATGTTGTTGTTGATTTTTGATTAATTGAATATTATTGTTAATTGTTAATTTTGTTGCTATTGTTATTTTTAGTAGTTGATTGAACTAATTTGATTGTTAAATGTGAATTTACTTAGTTTAATTAATTGTTAATTGTTTTAGTTAGAAAATTTAATTGTTATTATTTTATGTTGTTATTTTAATTGTTATTGTTATTGTTATTAGTGTTATTGCTAATTGCTAATTTAGTTAAGTTATTGTGATTAAGTGATTAAAAACTTAATTGAATACATTATTAAGTTTATTTAGTAGTTCATTAAGTTAAGGCGTTAGGTAATTACAAAATTAATCAATAAATTAAATATTAAGTAAATTGTAATATATTGTTATTTAGTAAATTTAAAATTTGTTAGTAATTAAGCTTATTTAGTTGTTCATTAAGTTAAATAGTTAAGTAATTACAATATTAATTAAGAAGAAAAAATATCGTTTTTTCGAAATTATATTCAATAGATAAAAAATTAAGTTATTTGAAATATTTGAAATGCATACTAATTAATTCAAAAAATAAGTTGTATTAAACAAATTAATACATACTTGTTGAATATAGTTTTAGTACGTTATTAAAAAAATTAAGAAGTTATTAAGCTTACTCGGTGGTTCATTAATTAAGTTAAGGTGTTAATTAAGTAATTACAAATATAATTAAAAAATAAAATTTAATATTAATTTATTTAGTCAATTTATATTTTTTTTAGTAATTAAGCTTATTTGGTTAATCATTAAGTTAAATAGTTAAGTTATTACAATATTAATTAAGAAGAAAAAAAATTTCCCGAAACTATATTCAATAGATAAAAAAAATAATTTATTAGAAATATTTTAAATGGTTAGTAATTAAATAAAAAAGTTATATTAAAAAATTAACATATACTT